GGTTTGAAAACAGAAGTAAAAAAGTATTAACAACCAATTCTTTAAAAATTCTAGACATTAAATATTATGATGAGTGGCTAAATCTCAGGAACACATGTAAATGCTCACTGTTACACACAAAATGAAGAGACACTTCAAAGATGATTTGTACATCACCTTTACAGAGAACATGTATCGATAGAAGAGCTTGCATATGTAACAGCTAAACTCTCAAATTGCGAAAAGCATACAGTAGTCTATTAAATAGGCATTCCATATAAAAACTCAGTTCTTTATTAGACAGGTTTTAAAATATGCCTTTTTCCTATGCTTCAGGGCTTGTCTACTGTGACAGCCAGAGCAAATGCTTCAGCAGAGCCCTTGCTTATATAAACAGCCTTCGTCAGGCACATCAACACCATTTTGACAACACAAACTCACTCAATTTTATGAAAGAAATGTGCCAGCCAGTGTGAGCAATTCACTATCAGGCTGTCCTCCTGGATCCGGGTGGCCAGCTCAGGCCCCTGAGATTCCCGTAGACATTAGGCTGCTGCATTCTGGAGCTCGAGTACCAACTTCACCTTGGCCCTGGCACTAGGCCTGACAGAAGTGCTGGCCATGGGCAGAATGAGGCACCGGAGGAGGATGTAAAAGCTTAAAGAAGGCACTCCACAGCGCAGGAGATCCTGAAGGTGCAGTGCTGGCACAGAAGCCCCCATTGTTCAGGTTGCTTTTGTTACTTCCTGCAGCAGTGCAGGTTACAGGGGTCACTTAAGAGGCACCAAAAGCTCTGCTTTTCTTAAAGTTGGAGAGCTCAGAGCTATTCCCAAATGGAAGAATTTCTAAAACCTTGAAATCTGACTTCAGCCTTCATAAGTGGAGTTACCGATTATACCAAAGATCTGAATGAAAAAAAAAAAATGTATCAAATGTATGTAAATATTTTGAGCCCAGTTTATTTAAGGCAATGGTTTGCATAAGTGTTGTAATAGTTCATTAAATGTAAGATTTCTTTGACTATAACAGCTTTATTTTATGTGCCATTGTGAAAATGCTTTCAATCCTACTTAGGACATAATACAATGCATCAATGATAGTTTTATGGGAGACATAAATGGGTTACATCATCCTCACTTTGAAGTTTCTTTTATGTTATTATGTGAGATTTGGACTTTGCCTTCATTCTTTGCTGTGTTTGTGCGTGTGTATTATAAGGCACAACTTTAATTACTGTGAATAATTTTCTTTCTTTGCTTAGGTACCATAAAATGCATTGTTTTCCCTGTCTCTCTCCCTCCTTCCCCATCTCACTGGGAAGAATTAAGTGTAAGGTTGGGGAATTAAATACAGTGAGTGTGTCACTGAGGCTTGATTCTGTGTCCTCTCACCTTCTCATCAAGTGGGGCTTGGGGAATCTGAAAGTAAAGCAACTTATGCAGCACTTTCCATTTCAACGCCAGAGAAGCAGTGAGTATTACCCAATAAATACTGAGCATGTACTACCTACTTTATGCACATCAACTTACTTAATTCCAACAATCTTGTAAGGTATTTATCTATCTATCATCATCATCATCATCATCATCTAAAAACTGTAGGAGAAGCAACCATCCCTTCCCCCAACCCAAACACAGCCCAATGTGACAAGCAGTGTAGAACATGCAGTGGTTTCTGGTGACGTCCTGAAAAAGGGCCCCACATCCAAGTCTCCAGAGCTCTAGCAAGGCACAGAAGAGCATACAAAACTCCAGGGCCACTTCTTACACCAAACACATCTAAGGGCCCAGAAATATCAAGAGAGGATCAGGGGATAGTAAGGGGCATTGGAGTTGGGGAGAGGAGGGTACAGAATAAATAGTCTAACCAAAGGAGATCATTGGAAACTTGGACAATAAACATAATGCCAGAAGCCCCTGCCACCCGTACCCCACAACTAATTCAGACAGCAACCTGTAAAAAGGGAAGTGAGGAGAAAACACAGACTCTATGTCAGAAATGACCAAGAAAGCCAGATATGACACTAAGCACATTTACTGAGATGTAAAGTGACATGCTTGCACACCTGAATGGTAAAATGGGTTTTAAAAGTGCCATATCACCACACATTGTACGCCCCTCAGGAATTCACAAGCAAAAACAAACAAAAACAGCAAGAATTTATTCTAGGATTAGGTATTTCACAATGACTTTTACTCACCAGAAATGGAACCACCCCCATCCTTGTACCACACTTATTCTTTGACTTAAAGAAAAATAACCCCTTTGCAAGTTTTTGGGAACAAACTATGTGTGAAGTGAGTATAATATGTGTACAATAATTTCAGTCCATGAATACAATATCTTGTATTGTTTGGGAGGTTTACAGAGTCCATGTCATATACATTAATGCACTAAATCATGACAATAGCTCCATGAGGTAGGTATCATTAAATTTACAGGTGAAGTACCTGAGACTTAGAGGTCAAGTAACATGTCCAAGGAAACACAGCTTGTGACAAAACAGACTCAAAGCCAGGCCCTCTGATGTACATAATTTTTATGCATAACACATACTATAAATAGAGAGAATAACTTTTATATGTTCAACTCATCAAGGGAAACAGAAAAATTAGGTCATTAAACATGTCCCACCAATTTTTTGCTTGAAATAACTTGAAAGCTGATTTTTTCACTGATAGGTCTGTTTATTTCTACGTTGATGCTGGTGATTACTTTATTCTTATGAAATTATATTTCAGATTTAATCTCCCCTTCTTAAAAATATTCCTACATTTTCAAATTGTGATCAACACACAAACTATCAATGTATATGTTTCGCTAGATTCTATTGCTCTTGGCACTTCCAAGACATGATGGCCATCTCAAGCACCCACAGCTGAATACTTGAATGGGCTGTCTTTAATGAACAACAATGTGATAAGTACTGCATTGTTAAAATGTCACATGAATTTGTAACAAGAAAACAGATAGTTACTGATATTTTGTAGTTACATAATTTACTTGTTGACAGAACAAAAATGGCCCAAACTTCACAAATCTGAGTTATCGCAGTCATATCCTATTTTAGAAATAGGTTAACTGATATTCAGATACACATACAAAAGTATTTCAGTACAACATTAATATTAAAACCTTCCTCTCTAATCAAATGACTTTTAGGTTTTCATTCATCTTACATCTTTAATTTCAGTGGAAAAAAGGAGCATTTTTCTTTACCATAAAAAAACAACAACCTGGTTGTTCATAAAACAGAATGTTTAACGGTCTGATAATATAGTAGTGAAATGTTAAGACAGCACACCTTGTGATTAAATGGAATAATTTGATCACACAATGAAAAAAAAAAGAAATCAACACAAGAAAGAATGATGTATTTGAGAACATTTTTAATAAATAATGTGACAAAATTACTTTTTTGATTACTGGATTTTCAGTATGCAAAATTATGGCTAAAAATAAGAGGCTTCTTACATGAACATAATGAAAACATTAATCACATGGATTGTTCCCTTAGTACTGCACACCCTTTCTATGTAACTTTTCAATTATCTAAGTGAACACATTTAGTTTTTGGTGAATACCAGCTTTTTTTTTTTTTGTGGTTCCATTTTGTTTGGCTTTGTTTTCTAGTGGGTCAGGCCTGATACCTGTGTAGGAATAAGTACATTTTTTTCTTCAAATAGCACCAATTATAAAGTCAATAAAATTTATATAATGACAAGAAAGGATCATTTATATCTACAATCGGAGGGCATTATTTGGCAAATCAAAGCACATAATGCCTCTAATTGAGGAAATCCTATGAGTTTCAACATTGGCCACAACAAACTTAAATCTCTGTTTCCTTAACTCCAGGAAAAGTAAGAACCACTGGGTTTATGGCCCACAATAAAGTACGCACATTACTTCACCATCTGTCATCATTCAAATATTCCAAACACAAACACAGAGCATTAACAAAACAGGTTAAAAACGTTTCTCAACATTTTTTTCAATAAGACAAAAAAGGTTAATAGTTACAATGGTTTACAAATAAAGTTTAGTGATTGTGCTTTTAAAACCAAAAAAAAAAAAAAGTTTAAAAAACAGTGCATTACAAAAACAAAAATCAGACTTCCTTAAGTGGCACTTCTGAAAGTTGAACTGACACTGCCAGAAGAAATTTAGGCCAGTTAAGATAGGGATGTTCTTACTCAATTGGTCATTAAAAACATTCAGTTGTTTGTATGTAATATGCATTTTAAATCAGTTTTTGATTGAAAAATAGAGTAAGGTTTTTGCTAGGCTTACTTATGACAATGACTAGACAACCAGAGATCCAACTGGCTTCCCCTACTTATCGAAAAGACGAACATTCCAATAAGAATATACTTCAATGATTGAAATGAAGTGAAAAAAAAAAAATAGTATCACCAGGGGTTGCAAGGAGTATATATTTACAATGTTTCTATCCCATTCAAATTAATTGTGGTTGTTCTGCATTTGATATATTTTTATTTTTCCCCAAGAAAGGGTGGTATGAAAAGACTGACTTTACAATCATGTTACAATGATTTTAATTTGCATTAGCAGTTGGTTATAGAAAGACTATATCTTCAGAGCCCTTGGTTGATTAATCAATTTTGTATCTTTGATCAATATTTTGCTATAATTTGGCTTGGTATATAAGCAGTGCAATGCCATATCTCAGGGGCAAAATGCAAAAGAACTATTCTGTTCCCTTTTGCTGGCTGATGACCAAACCAAGAATTCAAACACTTCCCTTGCTGGAAGTAAGTGTAATGGTTTGTTCCAACAGTGAGAGGAATAGGGTGGTTCCTTACAGGGATAGGGATCAAACAACAACAATAAAACCCCAGTAAAATTTTTAAAAATGGTATTCCAGTAAGAGGAATAAAAACGACAATTTGTACACTCTGATTGCACTGAACATTTTATCTGGCGTCATGTGTCATCAGACATGAGGCATCTTGAGTCACAATTTTCACATTAGATCTCACAAGCCTCTCTGGTTGTCTTCAGCTTTCAGTTTCCTATAAGAGATAAGTTATTTTTAAGTTTGAAAATAAATCTTAAGAATATTACGTTATATTTACATGTTTTTATTCTTATGGTTTTTCATTCCTTCACTAGCACACACTGGAAAGAGCTCATGGCAACAAATTCATTTGTCAACTTTAATTGGTTTTGAAAGCAAATGCAATAGTTCTGTAACAAGTACAAAGTGCGTTCCACACAGTGTGTCTGTGTTGCGGGTGTGGTGCTGGGGAGAGAGGAGCAGCAGTAGGTTGAGTTCTCTACTCCTCCTATCCCAATTCAGCATCATAGCTCAACTTTTACTGGTTTTAAATATTGGAGTCATTTATATATTTATCTCTATTCATCCCACAAAAGGTCTTTTCTTTAAAAACAAAACAACACACTTGAATAGCAACTTCTATAACAGTATTTGCAGGAGGAAAGTATTCTTACTCTAAATTTCAAAATCCAACTACATTTTGCATGATGAGAAATTTAATCAGATGTAATTACTTACAATTTTTAATTTTGTATTATTATAAGTTACAGTTTAACACTCCTTTAAGAATATCCTTGTGATTAAATATACAGTTGATCCTTGAACAACACAGGTATGAACTGTGTGGGTCTGTATATGTATTTTCTCTTCTTTATGATTTTTTCAATAACATTTTTTCTACAGCTTAATTTATTCTAAAAGTCTAATTTATAATATATATGGCATACAAAATATGAATTAATTAACCATCCATGCTATTTTATAAAAATATTTCTTTATTGATTTCAGAGAGGAAGGGAAAAGGAGAGAGAGAGAGAATCACTGGTAGGCCGCTTCCTGCATACCCCCTACTGGGTATCAAGTCTGCAACTCAGGCATGTGCCCTTGGCTAGAATTTAACCTGGGACCCTTCAGTTGGCAGGCTGATGCTCTATCCCCTGAGCCAAGCCGGTGGATAAGGCTTCCAGTCAACAATAGGCTATTAGTAGCTAAGTTTTGAGGGAATCAAAAGTTATACATGCATTTTTTTGACTGCATGGGCAGAAGGATTTGAGGTCCCTAACTGCCCTGTTGTCCAAAGGTCAACTATATCTGCAAAAAATAATTTTTTCCTCAACTTGCTTTCTTATGAAATGGAGAAAACACAATCTTAAAATGGGAGGTGATTTTAAATATTATAAGATTTATTGCCAACTCTCTGTCTGATGTCTGTTTATAGATTTCAACAAATAAGTTTATCTTTGACTCAAGAAATGTTCTCTTCCATTTGGAAAAGTCAGTGTCAGGACTGAAGGTGAAAGATAATGGACCAAATCAGCTGGATTGAGCCCAGTAATCACCAGGGTGGTAGCTAACACAGGCAGAATACCCTCGTTCACATCATGTAACTGTCACCTTACTTTTTTTTTAAAAAATATATTTTATTGATTTTTTACAGAGAGGAAGAGAGAGGGATAGAGAGTTAGAAACATCGATGAGAGAGAATCATTGATCAGCTGCCTTTTGCACACCCCCTTCTGGGGATATGCCCGCAACCAAGGTGCATGCCCTTGACAGGAATCGAACCCGGGGCCTTTCAGTCCGCAGGCCGACGCTCTATTCACTGAGCCAAACCGGTTTCAGCCTTACTGGGTTTTTATAACTTACTATAATACTATAAATTGTAATTATTTTTAGATCAATAGTTCTTATTTCCTAAAAACATGCTAGCCATGAAAATTTCTTATCGGAATACCTGTATGAAAGTTAATGTTAGATCTAAAGGGAAACTATTATTACCATTTAAAACTTTGGAAAACATTTAAGGAAATAATTATTTTTTTCAGAATTATAGTTTCTGGCAGCACTAATATTAGGGTTTGTGATAAAAAATAACATTTTTATAGACTGATAAATGCTCCTGACTTTAAGGCTGATATAATAACTAGTTTAATGTTGAGAAATGAAAAAAAAAAGTTATAGATACCTCTAATTCTTCATTATTATCTTCTCCTCTTTCATATCCTCCAAGAATTTGCATTTCTGCAATATTTCTTCGACCTACATTTGCTTGTTCTCTTTGTCTGCTTCCTGATCCCCTTGATGACATTGAACTTGAAGAACTAGGATCTCTGGGATTATTGGATGTCGGAAAAGTAGGTCTACAGTAAGGCAGAATATCCTCTGTGTAATGAAATTTAACAAGTGCATATTAATACCATTGCATTTTCATTCCATAATGTTTCACTCATGTCTATAATCCTGAATGGGGAAGCATCAATGTTTTTGAGGAATAACTAAAAACATTTTATAACAACTAGAGGCCCAGTGCATGAAATTCATGCATTGGGGAGGAGTCCCCCAGCCCAGCCTGCCCCTCTCATACTGGGAACCCTCAGGGAGTGTCCTACTGAAGGCTTAGGTCCATTCCCCATTGGCTTAGGCCGCCTCTATGGGAGGCGACCAGGCTGATCAGGGAAGGTGTCAGCCCCTTCACCCCACTGCTGCAGCCACTGCCAGACACCGCAGCCGTGAAGGTATTTTCATCAACATGGACTCCAGTCCCTTCACCATGAAAAATGACAACTTTCTTTAAGCATTTTCAAGATGTATCTTTCATAGGATATGACATTTCTTTCTTTCTTTTTCTTTTTATCCTCACCTGAGGATATGTTTCCATTGATATTTTCCCCTTCCCTCCAATTCCAGTCTTGGCCCCTGCTGAAGCCTAAAGCCTCCACCCCAGGATTTAGGCTTGGGAAGGGGTCCCTCCACCCCCTCTGGCACCTCTGATCACAGGCTCAGCCCCTTCCCAAGCCTAAAGCCTTTGCTCTAGACTTTAGGCTTGGGAAGGGGTTCCCTCTCCCCTGCCCCTCGGATTGCAAGCTCGGCCCTTTGCCAAGCCTAAAGCCTCTGCCTGATGGCCTGATGGGCGTTACCAATGTACTGAGGAGGTTCCCAGGTATACATGCAAATTAACCACTTTATTTGTTAGGTTAATTCGCATATTCACTCTGAATGGCTGTGGGTGTAGTGGAAGTACATGGTCAATTTACATGTTTCTCTATTTTTAGGTAAGATAATGAATAAGTCAGCTCTGGATTTTGTAAATAAAAATAACAAATCTTGCTGTTTTCTTAGCAGGGGTTGGATTCCACTCAAAAGCTTTTGTCTGCCTCAATATTACTTGAGAACATCTTTAAAGAAGTAAACCAAACCTGGAGTCAAATTTAGTTTCCAGTTCTATCCTTCACTATGTGAACTCGAGTTATTTCAGGCTTTAGTTTTCATTTTTTTAAAAATAACCCATGGAGCTTATAGTATGCATGTGAAAACAGAAGAGATGGTAAAATCCCTATGTAAACTCTGAAGAATTATTCTAGGGCACGTAATAGAAATGAAGCCCAGTCTCCTCTCACTACCAAAACAGAGCCAAGCTCAGGTTCACTTCCCAGACACCATGATATCAAGCTCCATTTCAACATCACATTTACATGGTGGAATCCTGATCTCAGAAGCCTCCCATTGTTGCTACTCCAGTTAACTGGCATCTCCTGAATGTCCATTTCCATAATCCTTAAATCTGTTTCTAGTTCTGTTGATTCAATCCTCCAAATGCTCACTTCACTCCAAAGGCTATCCACTCTACCCTTTGGACACCAAACACATAAAAAACAACTCCTCTACATGTAGTTTTGTTTTCCTTCCCCAAGTACTTCCTCAGTTGTCTGCATTGTATGAGTGAAATATGGTTTCCACCAAAGTTCTCTCCACCGAAAGGAGGATGGCTTGTCTGTAGCTCACTAACACTAACACTAAATCATTGTGTAAAAATATTCTCTTCTGGTGAAAGCCAAACCACGTAGTTATGGGGCCTGTTTTTTTGCTCCTTAATGCCACCTTTTCCCTTCCATTCTGTTCATCACAACATTCACTCCCGAAACAGACTTCTGACTCACTGAGGTTTCACAGTCCACAAAGACCGCTTCTTCTGCAACTTAACTTCTTAACACTTGGTCTCCTATAACCTTCAGCTTCTGTCCCCTATTTAGCAACCTTTTAATCTTTATTGATTTTAATTTTTGACAAACTACACTATGATAAAATCCTTCTCTTGCTAAAAACTTTCCCCTTAAGCTTGTGCGCTACGTTAATTAATACCTTTTCCTCACTGCTCAGCAAAGCTTCTTGAAAAGTAACTTGAACCCTATTGGTAGATGCAGCTCCCATTCGCTCTGTATTCAGGAAAATCTACTCATGCCCACATTACCACAATGAAACAGAAAATTCACTGTTGATTTTGATAATGCTAACCATGCTTCAGTTCTCTCTATTCTTTTCTGGCCTTAATCTGAAAGTCACTATCAATTTAAACATGACTACTCTCTTAGCTTACGGTCTTCCTTCCTTTTTGGCCAGACTTCTGTGGGTTCTTCTTATGCAGTGCCTCTAACATATTGATGTCCTGCAGGTTTTTATTTTAGCCCAGTATTTGTTTATATACATATTCCCACTCTGAGTTATTTCATCCGTTCTCACAGACTATAACCTCTTCTGGAATATAACTGTCATGAGAGTGGGTATTTTTATCTGATTTTTGTACTGATATACTACCAGCATGACATATAACAGGTCATCAATAAGTAGTTTTGAGTGTACAGGTGAGTGGCTTTAACTGCTATTTACCATGATGAATTATTCATTCCTATTTCCAACCTGTGAACTATGCTCTGAATTTTAGGTTCCTACAGCCAGGTCAATTGAACATTTCCTCTTGAGTGTACCTCAGACTCAACACATCCAACATTAATTTCATAATGCTCACTCCCCTGAGATTTCTTCTTCCTCTGTATTTCCAAGATTAGTTAATGATATCACTAATCATTAAGACATCCAAAACTAAGAATAAAAAGGGAATTATTTTAGAGTTTTTCTCTTCTTTCCAATAATCTTAAGTGCACAAATCCCACACATTTTAGCATATAACAGGTGAGGCTGATTTTCAACTCTAAAAAGTGTTTTGAATTTTCTCTTTCAATGATCCCTAGTCTCATAGCCTGGTTTATATTCTCTACATCTCCTGTCCAGAAATTGTAAATATCTCTTACTGCCTTTTGAGTTATTTCCCTCTAAACCTGTGGTTCTCAACCTTTAATACAGTTCCTCATGTTGTGGTGACCCCCAACCATAAAATTATTTTTGTTGCTACTTCATAACTGTAATTTTTAAAAATATATATTTTATTGATTTTTTATAGAGAGGCAGAGAGAGGGATAGAGAGCTAGAAACGTTGATGAGAGAGAAACATCAATCAGCTGCCTCTTGCACACCCCCTACCGGAGACGTGCCCGCAACCAATGTACATGCCCTTGACCGGAATCGAACCTGGGACCTTTCAGTCCACAGACCGAGGCTCTATCCACTGAGCCAAACCGGTTTCGGCTTCATAACTGTAATTTTGCTACTGTTATGAATCGTAATGTAAATATCTGTGTTAGTACTTCTAAAATGAGTCTTAGGCTCTGTGTTTTCTGATGGTCTTAGGCTCTACAGCAGTGGTTCTCAACCTGTGAGTCATGACCCACACGTTGAGAACTGCTTTCAGGGTCACACAGATATTTACATTACGATTCATAACAGTAGCAAAATTACAGTTATGAAGTAGCAACAAATTGGTTGGGGGTCACCACAACATGAGGAACTGTATTAAAGGGTCCCTGCATTAGAAAGATTGAGAACCACTGCTCTAAACCATCTTCATTAAGCCACCATTTTCTTACAAGAACTACAGGATCTCTATTACTTAAGCTTACATTTACCTCAAGAGCTTCATCTTAACTATCTAGTGGTTTTTTATAGTCGCCTCAATGTACCTCAAAGTTCTCTCCCTCTCTCTCTCTCTCTCTCTTTGTATTTTCTTTTGCCCAAGGATGTGTTTTTGCTGATTTTAGAGAAGGGCTGGGAAGGGAGAGAGAGAGAGAGATGTGAGAGAGGCACATTGATTGGTTGTCCTGACCTGGGATTGAACCTACAACCCAGGTATGATCCCTGACAAGGAACTGAATCTACAACCTTCTGGCATACAGGATGATGCTCAAACCAACTGAGCCACTGCCAGAGTTGTACCTTTAAAGATATTCATGCTGACTTCATCTGCCTGAACACTCTATCCACTCTTTTTACCCAAGCTAAATTCCACCCATCCTGAACACTCAGCTTATGTGTTATTTCTACCAGGAAAAAAGTTTTTCTTTATATTTTCCAAAAGATTGGGATAATTCTCCCCTCTATGGACTATCAAGTATCATGGCAGCATCAACATTATACCAATTATGAATACATCTGTGAATCTATAGATTACCTGTCTCCCTCTCTGATATTAAAATCCTTGAGGTCAAGGTTCATGCTTATATATAAATTTTAAGACTAGTATGATGTTTAACAACACAATTGATGTTTGATATAGGTAAAATAAATTGAACCAATTGAGTAAATGTCCGCCTAAAGACCAGACATTCCACTCTTTTTAATTAAAAACAATCATTTGTTACACAAGTAAATCAGGGTGCCTCTTTCATTATAAATAATGTAAATTGAGTAAGAAGGTGAAATTATAGCAATGCATAGAAATATTAATTTAATGATACACAAAGGTCTATGGTTCAAATAAGACTTTGGGAAAGCAAGACATAAAAATAATAACTGGTCCTGTATAACAGGTTCCCATGGAAATAGGCTTCCTTATTTGTACAGTGATTGTTCCAGTGTTAGTTCCTATATTAGAAATATTTTTATAAGACAGAGGACAACTTAATTGAATTTGTGAAGATGGATAAAAATAACGTAGTCCTTTGTTCTAATTATGCATACACCAAATTCTTTCTGGGTTTATACAATTATTTCCTGAAGAAACCCAACTACTTGGGAGGGAGCCTGTTTATGAGCAGCAAATTGGTCCTTACTTTCAGGAAAGATACAAATCTAATAATTTAGAGCATGACATTTCATTTATGAATCATCACTTGGACTATAGTTATCATGAGTCAAAAATTCAGATAATCTTTGGCTTAGCTGATAACAATAAGGTAAGTGTCACAAAGTACTCTGTGAACATGAAGTAGAGAGAGATATCTCTCTGAAATGCATAGTATCACTCATCACTTCATTGCCAAGTCTGGCCCTAGGTCAAGAGTTCAGGTTTCTGTCACAGAACAAAGTGAAACTGTCCTCCATATGGAAGGAAGTTGCTAATGGCCAGGTGCCCCCCCAAAATAGAACAACAGATTGATGTCTGATCTCACCAAAATGTGTCAATGAAAAGAGAGCAGTAAAGTGCCCTTTTAAGCTTTTTAAGATTCATTTCCCTATCACTTTTTCCTGCCTTCTTCATCAATGACCTTCATTTTCTTGTATCTCTTCCTCTAAGATGTTTTTTTTCCTTCTTAGTCCATAATAATGTTCATATGCCTTTTCCTAAAACATTCTCACAGATTCTGCCTTCCTGCCAAACCCTCTCCCTACCTTTTTTTCCCCTCTCTCCAACCTTCTAAAAAGAGCCTGTGCTCACCATCTCCCTTCCACAGTTTCCATTCACTTTCACACCCTGCAGTCTGTGTTTAATTCTGACTACTTCACTAAAAATAGTTCTTTTGAATATCACATATAAACAATATGCTGCCAAATCTTTGTATTCTCCCCTACCTGCACCGAGGGCCACCATTCACATTCCACTTCTATTTTTTTTGGTGACATTTCATATTTCTTCCTATCTTATAATTTTCTCCTCCATTCTTTCTAGGATAGTATTCTCTCTAGTTTGGATACCTTAGTTATTTTATATCTGAGTGGGTCCTTCTTAGTTTGCATCATAGAATTTTGTTACTGTGTCTAATTTTAAATACCATCATCCCTGACTACTGGTGTGCACATTCTCACAGAGTATATTGTGTTGTCCATCTCTTTCCAACTTCATATCCACTAACTTCATATAAGTAGCTTGAAACCAGCCATTTTGGGAGTAATTACTCAAAAGAAGTATATGGCTACAAATTAGGGTTTTGTTTTGTTTTTTTCCCCCCTCGAAAACCAAATACTGTACATTAACCAGTATATCACTGTTGATAATTTGGCTTTTGTAATTCATGCAGTTTTTACCTTTGTGATAGTTCTAACATGCTCCCTCTAGCTGTAACCTTTCTACTGATCTTTAAACTTTGTTCTCCAAATTCTTATTAATTTTTTTCCATAATTGTATTCTTGACAGCATCTTACTCTATTCAAAACTGAAATTATTTTCCCCATCATATCTATGATTTTCCCTACATTGCTTAACACAATTATGTTCTACTAATCTTACAGGCCATCTAATTAACACTTGAGTAACTTTTGTTTTTATTCCATTATTTTATTTTAGTTTTCTATATTCAATTAGTCACCAAGTCCTATTGGAACTATCTTTGAAATACCTGTTCTCTCCTCTTTATTGCGCAACTGATTTAACTCAGTACTTTCATATTTTATATCTAGATTATTTTAAATTTTCTGATACTTTCATTTACCTAATTTTAGTCCTTTCCTTAACTATAATGTGCTGCCAGTTATTTTTCTAAAATACAAATCTGATTATACGTTTTATTGCTAAAAACTACTTGTTGGCTCACTGCTGCCTATATCATAAATCCCAACTCTTTAGCACAGTATTTCTGGCCTTCTCAATCTGGCCCAGCCACCTTTCTAGTTTTATCTTTTACCATGTGTCCCTGGCCCCAAATATCCTATTCTCCAGCCAAACTGGAAAGGAGTGCTCACTAAACATTCAATTTTACACTTCCTTTTTTTTTTTTTTCTACCTATTTCCTTTACTTGCGCTTCCCTTCTCCCTATTTAATCTGCAGAAATCATGTTTTCTTTTTTTGAAATACAACTCAAGTGGAATCCAAGGAAGTATTGTATAATGTATTAGAATGAATTGTAAAAAAAAAAAAAAAAATTGGGGGTATATGCATATCTCCTCCATTAGAGAGCAAATTTCTAAATCTTACTGCTTTTCATATGGCCTTAGAGAACCTAACAGCATACCTTGCAAATATATGTTCAATCTATGTTTACTTGGCTCTTAAGTAAATCAGTACCTTGGATGAGATGAGTCTTTGCTGGTGGAAGGTCCCGTTTTGCTGCCTTGTTTCCGCGTCCTTTCCCATCATTTTGCTGTTCCTGTGCTTCTCTGGGTTCACCTGGATTTGTTCGCATTTCAGCAACTGATCTTCCATCCAATACTTCCCTCCCCTTATAATTGCCTCCTTTTCTATCTGATGATCTGTCTGTTCTTGCTTCTATACAAGGAAGTTTTGGCACCATAACAGGTCGTACTTCCAGCTGTGCCTTGGATTGGACAGTGGGTGACTTTATAGCAGGTGGTGGCACAGGAGGAGGTGGAAGATCTAAAATGAAATGTTTAAAATACTGTAAAAATATGCTATTTATAAAATAAGCAAATATTAGAAATATCATTGGAATCACATTCATCTGGGATTAGAACAATTGAAGGCAACCAAGAAATAAGACGACTAACAATTTTAATGTATTATTTATCTAGCACAGAAATATTGATTCGCAGAACTGAAGCTTACAGATCATCTAGTCTTAGTGTAGCTAATATAGGCATAAATGCTGTAATCTCCCCAACCTCCCAACCACTACAGATCTTCCTAATTGATTTCAGCACAATGTTGCCGATTCCAAATACATATCCTTACTCCTTCAGACAACCACTTCAAACTGATTGAAGTTGGCACTTGAGTTGAGGCATATTTGCTGTCTCTAATCTAGCCTAAATCCTTTCTTATTTTGAACAGGCAAACTCAACAACATGGACCTTAAATTATTTTTCAAACACAAAGGTAGCTGTGACCAGACCAGGACTAATGCCCTCAGATTCTTAATTTCTGATTCAGTGTCCTTTATACTGTACCATATTTATAATCTACCATTCATTGATGGGAATCTCTTAACTTTGTGTATGCAACCATAGGTTTTAAATTAGATACTCTCTGGAATAAATATAGAATAATTTCATCTATCTATAGTTACAGCTATATGTTAATATATTATATATAATAGAGAATTGTATATAACTCAATTTCTTATATTATAAATACAATTAAAAGATACTTAAGTATAAAATTAGGTATAAAGTTTGAAATTTAGAAAATTTATTTAAGTGGTACTATCTTTTAAAATAACTCTTATGAATACTCTAGAGAGGAGGAGAAATATGTATCCTTATGATAGTTGGTAAGTTAGAAGAAAATGAAGAGATTTTAGTTTTAGGGTTTTTTTGGCTATAGTGTGGATGATGGATACCAAAATCAAATACAGAGCCTTTCTTTCTTATTAACAATAAAATTGTACCTCTTTTACCTGATTGTGTAGTTGTAGACATTTCCCTATATGTACCTACAGCTGTATTTCTTTTTTATAAAGTTCATATAATGCTCTATTTAATGAATTATATTATTTATTTAGTCAACCCCTACAGAGAAATATCTAGGCTGTTTCCATATATATTAGTATTACTGACAATGATCTACTGACTATCATTTACATATACCAGCATGAGAAGCTATTGAATATTAAAATTGTGTATTGAAAATTCTTAATAGAATAGCAAATTAAGGGTCCAAGGAAGCGTCAATTTTAACCTAGTGTTTCTCATTCTTATATTATTTAAAAATAAATTAACCCTTATTTGTCCAGTAGACTTAAATTTTTTGAAATTAGTTTTCTTTTGATATTATGTGCTAAAGCCAAGGCATTTAAAATCATTGTAATGGTCTTTGAAAACAAAAAAACTTGAAGTACTATCTTATTACCAGATGTTTTACTCAGGATTCCATTATTAAAACTTTTACTTAGATTTTGTTGTTGTTAATTTTCATGGCTCACCATGTTTTTATTTTTTCATATAGAATAGCCTCAAGGTTTTATCTAAAACGGTGGCCAAAGTATAGCCAACAGCACTAATTTCCCCCAGATTCTAAAAATTCAAATGATTTTAGTCTTAAACATATATTGCCACTGTCACTGGTGCATGACTTTCCTCCTTTACTACTTAAAAAATAAACTTAAAAATAGTACTTGAAAAAGATGTAATATGAAAGCATCTGCCACATCTGCTACTTGTTTATTAAAAATAACTAAAGAGGGAGTGTTCAAAGAGAGACTATTTCAAGTTGTTTAAAGCTAAGAAACCCAACACCACGGAGTCCTAGAGTTCAGACTGAGACTGTAACTTGAAATGGGAAGAAGAGAAAGTCTAACTCTGAGCACATCTGGAAGCACAAGGAAGAGTGCCTACAGTCTCATTTCTATACTATCTACTTTCTATACACTTAAACTGGATTGTAAGCAGATATGAGGATACTGATAAATGCCAGTATCATCAAGTCAAAACATGTCTGGGCTTAATAGATATCAAAACTGATGATTAATACTGTTAAAAGTCTTGGTAATATATGACTCTCAAGACAAAATCTATTACAAGATGCTCTATATAGATGCTATCTATAAAAAAGGTAAAACAAATAAAAAGAGAATCAGAGAACCCAATGGTTATTTTAAAAGTTCTAACTTCCTGCAGGGATATGCTGGGAGTTTTTATTTTTATATAAATAGGTTACCAAATAAATTATTTTTAGGTGTAATAAAATAATTAAAATCAAATCAGGGATTATCAAATATAAACACTTCTGTATTTGATGTAGTGATAATTAGTACTTTCATCCAATTCATACCACTAATAGCTCAAACTGGGTTTAACAAATGGATCATAAATTTTATATATATATATATATATATATATATATATATATATATATATATATATGTGTGTGTGTGTGTGTGTGTGTGTGTGTGTGTGTGTGTCTAGGCTCTTTATATAAATAAGTAAAGACTATTCTTTACACAAGACTCTCCAAATACCAGTATAATGCATGTAAAGTAGTATGTAGGAGCATGCACATGCAGACAATTCTATTGCATTAATTTGCTATGGAGACCAGCACTCTATTTACTTAACTGCCTAAAACCCCAAGACCTTGTAATTAATAATAAATCAAGTCAAAATAATGTCATTCCAAAGAGGATGGTGAATTTATAATTTATGAAAAGTAGGGCTAGAGAAATAATGTAGATTTGGTTTTTAAATCAAATATGCAAATGCATTGGAAAGGGTTGAAAAGAGGGGGTGGGAAGAACCTATTAGGAAGTCCTAGAAATGCACTTATGCTTGGTTTTAACTTGATAGGATGCTGGCTGATAAATATTCATATATTTTCATCCTACCCTTCATCTGGATTAACCTTGTAAGTGGCAAATTTGAAATGAATAGATTGAGCCTCTTACTGTGACTACAGCATGAAGCACTTGGCTTTGCACTGGGTTCTTCCTACGTGCTATGAGCAAGGTATGGTCACAGTGTCACCAATTAGGGGCCAAATTGTGTCTCCTCAAAATTCCTCTATTGAAGTCCTAACCTCCATACCTCAGAATGAAACTATTTGGATTTAGGGTCTTGAAAGAGGTAATGAAAGTAAAGTGAGATCCTTAGGTGGGCACTATTCCACTCTGGTTATATATTATAAGAAGATATTAAGACACATTACATACATTGAGGAAAGAAAAAGTAAAGACATAGGGAGAAGATGTCATCTACAAGCCAAAAAGAGAGACCTTAGAAACAAACCCTGCCAACACCTTGATCTTGGACTTTTAGCCTCCAGAGCTGTAAGGAAATAAATTTCTGATGTTTAAACCATCTAGTTTATGGTACTTTGTTAGGCAGTCCTAGAAAACTAAGGCTAAAAGTCCAACAGAGCTGACTGACAAAAATCATTACAAATTGAAATATGGTAGCAATCATACTTGGGTAAAAACTACTGTTTGAATTTTAACCCTACTATTCTGACTTCGACCTTCACTTACTTGCTTTGTTCATCGCGCGATGGGCTTAGGGAGGATGAGTTCAAGTTCTGGGCAAGGTTACAGGCAGAACTTTCTTTTTCATTAAAGAGCCAGCCCTATGTACACTTAGTGGTTATCTCGATGCTGGCCTCAAAAACAATGCTGTTCTATCCAATTAAACCAAAAAAGTGCACCTGGCATGGTATTGAGATTGTGGGCATATCTGCAAGGTCAGACAGCTAAGTTTATCTTCATCATTCTTCAAACGAGCTAAAGCAAACTAGAAAGCAACATTTTATCTAGGAAGAACAGCAGAAAATTCCAAACAACAGTTTGTTGTAGAATGGGGGTTTTCCTTCTCAGAACCTTTAAAAAGAACTAGCTGCCCCTAAAGCCTCGCAGTCGTGTAGGGTCCGCCTGTGTGTGGTGCTCTTGTGGCTGCCCCGGCCAGTTCAATAAATTCTTGTTTGCTTTTTTTAAATAAATTATCAGCCTCCGGTGGTCTTATTTTGAACCCAGGGTTCAACCCCACAACACAAATTACTCTCCATCATCTCAGATATAGCCACACTTTGTCCTTCTTTAGGCAGTTTACAAAAATTCTGCAAAAAAATTGTAATTTAAACAACATTTTCAAAGTAAAGATGTTATAGTCTCAAGACTGATGCATCATATTCTGAGAAGGGTTCACATAAAAAGGTCTATTGACAATAATCAAACTCATTCATCATACTTAATATATATTTAATTATTAAAAACCAAAAATTAAAAAAACCCTCTATGTTTTGCTAGTAGATTTAATTCTGATTTTAACAATTGGTAGCTCTTTCAATTATATTCCCCTTCCCTTCTCTCTTTTAAAAAATATATTTTTATTGATTTCAGAGAGGAAGGAGAGGGAAAGACAAAGATCAATGATGAGAGAGAATCACTAATCAGGTTCCTCCTGCATGCCCTCCACTGGGAACCGGAGCTCACAACCCGGGTATGTGCCCTGACTGGGAATCAAACTGTCACCTCCCACTACACAGGTCAACACCAACCATTGAGCCACATTAGCTAGGCCCCCACTCTCTTTTTTATTTTTTATAATTGTACAAATTGCATCTGTCATTGAGTTTCTTTATGAAATAGTCTGAGTATTTTTTCAGAAAAAGCAGTATAGAAATTTGATAAAATAATTTCCAAGAAAATTACTTTTGTTTCAATGTCCATTGTTTCAATAACCACTATCATTAGGGATATGTGCATTTCTTCTATTTGGTGCATTAAGAAGAATAGGCATTTGCATAATTTTAGTCAATCAATATGCGTTATGTGATATATATATAAAATAACACATAGCAATGTTATTTTTGTCTTTACCAATTTAGAAGGCATCCAGAATTAAAGTTAAGACTTGTTAGGACAATAAGTATAACTGAAAAATACTTGGTTATCAAAATGCTGAAAGAAAGTGAAAGCTAAAATTTAAAAAGTAGCTTTAGTCATATTTCCATTTTGTCTGTTTTTGTGACTTCAAAGAAATAAATATCGACTTCAACATTATAATATTATACTGTGATAATTTTACATAATTACTTTAAGAAATAAACAAATAGAAATTTTAAATTAACTTTTTGGCTTTATAAATATTTCAATTATTTCGTTGTTTTTTCTAAAATAGACTTGAAAAAACTTGGGTGCTTCCTTGTTCAGTTTAACAGTTATTTTTCTTGGATTAGTAAAATTTAAATTTAATTATTAAGCATGTTGAAATAAGTACTACAGAATGTGGGACAATACATATAGATCTCAATTTTCAAGCACAGTGCAATTTGTAGTTATAAATTTATGCTATGCCCTTTAAGTTGGCATTACATTTCTTAGAGTATTTTCAAAAACCATCATTCAATGCCAGAAGCCTCTCAAACAAGTATAAATAAGAGGCAGAAAGAGCTACACACAGCTCTAGGCCAGATTTCCTCCCTTATGAATTCAACTTTGATGTGTTTACATCAAGGTTTGATGTTTGACCCAATTTTCAGTTAGGGGCATCTCTCTTCTAGATAATAAAACTAATACAACAGCTATAAAACTTGCAAAATGCCATTAGAGGGGTCCCATAAATGTAAAAGTGCTGATAGAGTTTGGCGATTTATACCTAACGCTGTCCCTTCACAGAGGCAAACACGCACAAAGCCACTGTAATAACCCTTCAAAAATCAGATAATATTCTGGCAGCACAGCTTCCCTGACAAAAGAGTCCTGGGCAGAAGCCAGGAGGCCCAGGTGTGCCATATCCTGCCAGTATTTAATGCAGTCTAATATCAGATATTTGCTAGTGAGAGAAAATACTCTGAGTAAAAGAGAGATAATAGCACGGACAGCCACTCATTGCAAAATTACTTGTGCTCATCATGCTGTGAGCTTTGTATTAAATTTTTCTGTCAAGTGGCAGGAATCACAGGGAGAAGTGCCTCAGAAAACCCTGCTTGTAACCTTGGATAAATATCTATAATATTAGGCTTTCATATGATAATGGCAAATGATGGCTTTTGAAAAATGGCTGACTGGTAATGAAAGTACTAATCAGATTGCGGTGGGAGAGGACCCGGAGGTAGGAATGCTGTGATGCCTCCTTCCCCCGCCCCTTCAGCAAATTTAGCAAACTTGACAAGATGGGCGAGTCGGAGAGAATTTATCTTACACAAATTTCCAACAAAGCCCTTGGGGTTGTTTTAGAAAACGAGAAGGTGGCAGTTTAATAAACGCTGGGCCACCTGAGGCTCTTTCATCAAAAACTTTCTTTAGACAACATCCCAATGTTTGCATTATTCTCCTGAGCTCCCTTGTGAATGCAAGCCTTAACTCTTCCGTGAGAGTCAGAACTGTCTGTAAAGGCATGAAGGAAGATGATTCTCCTTGCCTCTTGGTGCGCAACCTAACTGTTGGTAACACCATAGTTGATAAATATTCATACGAGTTGTCTTCTATTTGAATGCAAAATTCCACATGGGGGAAAAATGAGGATTCTTTGGAAGATTTATCAATGAATCTGATGAAATTTTATACTATACCATTATTTCAACTACATTGATGTCTACTTGTCCGATAGCTTTAAAAAATATTAAAAGTATACATTGCTTATCACCTTACTAGAAAACTGCAAGGACCAGAGAGGCTTGACAAAATATGAAGGCAATCATTCCTGTAAGTATTGTAAGGCTTACTGTTAATGACTGCTTCGTGTAATTTCTAATGTTAGCAGATGTGTTTTCTAGTCATGAAGTGCCAGATAAATGTGCAAGGTTCATAGACGTTTTCATCGTTTCAATGGACTTACCATCTGTGTAGGCTTCTCTGCGCAGGTGTCCCGGCTGGTGTTTTGGCTTCTTGGCTGGCCTGGTCTTCTGCATCACAGCGGTGCTCATGTTGCTGTCGGTGGAAACAGGACTTGTGGGCCGAGGGCACTGGGATGCATGGAAGTGTCGGCGGCCTGAGAAAAAGAAATCAGAGCCAAGCTCATCAATAAATTGTAATAATAATAATCATGCAAACTAGAAACATCCCTAACTTTTAAAAAAGCTTTACTAAACCATTTTAGCAAATAATAAGATTTCTGATACTCTGCTTGCACTGTCCATTGGGAAAAATACTCTAAAGGCATTTTCAGGCTGTTTTTATTTTTTCCACAGTACTCTTAATCTATTAAAATTTATGGTACCTATTCACTAAAAAAACCCCAACACATTCCAATTATTTTTTGCAACGAACTGCACTAAAATTATTGTTACATACATATTAATTAAAAATTTGCATAAAACACTCAGTGTTGCTTTCTCAAGGAATAGCCAGAATGAACAGTACTAATTAAATCTATTTTAATTAAATATGTTTGTTATTATTTGAAGATAGATTCTCAATATCTTAATATATTCTCCAGTATCTTTTCTTAAAGAAGCCTGGTATTAAGCTAACTCACATATTTAAACCTACCAAAAATACTCACACCTCTTTTTTTATTGCAAGATAGAAACTTGCAGGTTCTGGATACTTCAAATGACCTCTCCGGAGACATTTATTTTTCTCGGTGGTGGCAGAGGTGGGCTTTGATTATAGGTATACCTCAGAGATACTGCAAGTTCATTCCAGGCCACCACAATTAAGCAAGCATCACAATAAAAGGAGCTGTAATCTTTTTGCTGGTGGCGGGCTTTGCCTTCAGTTTGTAAAACATACATCAGTGAAGAGCAGCAATACATGGAACCACAATAAAATGAGGTGTGTCTTTATTTGGCTTTGGAGAGACAATATTCACAGGTACCAGGGATAACTGACCTTGCTGATCAGATAAGGGGCAGGAGAGTGCTCTCCTGGCCTCTGGCTGTCTTACAGAGATGCTACATAACAATGGCACCACACACACATTTAATCCATCATGGCAATGGACATGTATTGGCCCTGTATTTGACCCTTACTATTTTGATTTCTAGAAATTCCAAAGACACAAATCCAGAAGTTTTTGTTGTACCATAAGATACTTCCAACAGACCTAAACATGTTTTTTGATTATAAATAGGAGAATCCACATATAGTGAAATCAACGAATTTAAAGGTGCTAAATGAAGCATATAAATACTAGTAAGACATGAATGCGGCCAAGTGAGAAGCAATGTGATAGGATCATTCATTCACATTAACTTAAGTCGTATGCTATGCAGCGCCCTCTCCTGAAAGGAACATTTTAATAGGCAGATGCCAGTGCACGTTTATTTTCATCATAATTATGAGCCAAACTAAAACCAGGAGTTCCACTAAATTACAATAAAATATTGAACCAAACTCTCTTTAGCTATGATGGAGACTATTACGATTAAAGTTACATATCCATGAAAGGGAAAATTAGGGCTGCGAGTAAACACATTATTTATTTGATTATATAAGGCCATCTACTGCTATAGATTCTAAGGCATAAGGTTTTTTCAACTTGAATACGATGAATTTTTAACGTATTTCTATGTTTCATTGATTTAATGAACTGAAACACACCCTTAATGCAATCTGAAAGCAGTAGTTTGAGATGATTAATTTCATTTTTATAGAAGATTAAAAATGAGAAACAAATGCTACATATAAAATTAGAATATTATACATGTATTAGAAAAGATACGTAGGTTTGCATCTTATTGTATTGAGCAGTTACTGGGATGGGGGGAGGAATTTTGGTTGCACATAAGCCTGGATGAAATAAATATACATTCTACTAGAATAGGTTGAAAGATATTAGACATGTCTTTTTGCAATATACTTTTGATAAATAATAGATAGAAATAACTTTGTGATGTGAGTTAAATTTTCTTTGAATATATTCTACACTGATAAAAATTAATGACCAATTCAATATATGAAGTGAACATGGAAAATTACCAATGAAAAGTAAAACAAAAAAATAGCAATACTTGATTTGTTGTGATAGTCTTTCTCTTTCTTGCTGACCATATTACTTTACTCTTAACTACCAGAAATACACATAACATGTATATGAATGTGTATATGTATATATCCCACTCGATTAAAAAGTCATATGATAAATGTATGATTTAAATTATTTTAATTTAGTAACTATTTACTTTCTAAATAGGATTGGGAGTAGGAGATAAACGAAAATGGGTTAAAACATCAGAATAGATATATGGTAATTAAAAACAGGCTACTGGCAATGAAAAGGAAAAATATATATGATTGCTTGGTTTAACTTGAAAATTATTAGATTAATAATATTTACTTTAAATATGGGGCATATTTATGCTTGGAAATGTTATGTCTTTTTACAAACATCTTTATATCTTTCCAACTAAATGAATATTCTAATTGAGAATGAAAAGAATGGGGTAAAAGAGAAACAGCCCCATCTCCAATGGTAGAGTGTTTCTCCTGGATATTAATCTAGTTTTTTTTTTTTTTTTTTAGAGAATTTCTAATTAAATGGAATAAGAATTTTTTATTACTTTTTACACCTTAATAAAACCCCTGTAATACACACCTCATTTAATTATTTATATACCTGGATAAATAAAAAAATATATGTTATGACTATCCTAAAAATAATAACTTCCAAAGTAGCTTCACTCATATTATTATATATATGATTTCTTTAATGGGGGGAAAAAGATTTAAAAATCCTTGTCGAGAAAAAGAATCGAGCTATTATATGTCATATTCTTGGGCCTTCGCTTGCTTAGGCAGAAGAGAAGAGGACAGCAGTGGGGGGGCCTTTCCCTGGGGCATCATGGGCGCTGAGCGGGCCCAGGCCGGCGCGGGGCCCGGGGCGGGGGCGGGGCCCGGGGCGGGCCCGGGGCCGGGGCGGGGCCCGGGGCGGGGGCGGGGCCCGGGGCGGGGGCGGGGCCCGGGCGGGCGGGGGCCGGCGCGTGGCTTACCCGCCGCGTCCTGCATCTGGCGCCGGGCCACCTTCAGGCCGGCGTACTCGGCGGCGGCCGCCACGGCCTGGGCGAAGTCAGCGTCGGTGAAGAAGGAGCCGTCGGAGGAGCTGACACTGGAGCGGCCGCTGGAGATGTTGTCCTCCTCCGAGGCCGAGCCCCAGCCGTTGATCATGGAGCCAGTGACGGAGCTCTCCAGGTCCCCGACACTGGAGGCCGGGGTCTGCTCCAGCCCCCGCAGCAGAAGCCTCCTGGTCTGCATCTTCGCCACCTCCACGTCGGCCTCGTCCTCCTCCTCTTCGGGCGCGTCCGTGTCCATGTCCGACACCAGCGGCCCCGAGATGTAGCCGTAGGTGTGCGGCGGGGAGATGGGCCGCGGGGGCGGCGGCGGGCTCACCGGCTGCCGTCTGCGGGGGACAAACAGGCCTGCTCAGCTCCCAAAGGACATGTGCACCGAGAAACTCACAGTGTACCCAGTTAACCTTTGCTTCTGCGGACCCAATTTATTCACAAAACAAACAAAGAAAACTGGAAATGAGAGCATGTCTAAGTTTTCAGGTGTAAGAAATTTACCTCAAAACCAGTCACTTTTAACCAAGCTGGACTGTTTTTTGTTTTTATTTTTTTTAATCCTCACCTGAAGATAGGTTATCATTGATTTTAAAGAGAGAGGAAGGAACAGGGAGGGAGAGAGAAACATCAATTGGTTGCCTACACACTCTGCAGACCAGGGATTAAACCCACAACCTGGGTATGTGCCCTGACCTGGAATCCAACCTGTAACCTTTAGGTGTACAGGACAATGCTCCCACTAAATTAGCTACACTAGCCAGGGCCATGCTGGGCTACCTTTTGATTAAAGTTTAATAGACATACAGGCAGCTATCTATAAGACTCATCATGCTTTAGCATATGGTTAGGTTCAATTAAAAAAGGGGAAGTAATGCTTATTTTGACATTGATGTCTGTGTACTTGTCCTAAATCATATTGGATAATTATTGATAGCTTATTATTACCAAAGACAACAGACATCAGTCCTGAAGCAGACTGTTCCATAAACATAAACATGTTCCTTTCCCTTTCTTTAATTGCCATCCCTATCATTTTAGGTTCACCAATTTATTTTGACTATAGACAGTAGAATTTTTCAGGATTAAAAATTTATACATACAGCATATGACATAATTTCCTTTAGATTTTATTCTGTTTTTTAAAAAAGCTATGAGCTAAGCCAGTGGGGCTCAGTGGTTGAGTGTCCACCTATGAATCTATGAGCCAGAAGGTCACAGTTCAATTCCCAGTCAGGGCACATGCTTAGGTTGAGGGCTCTACCCTCAGTGGGGGCGTGCAGGAGGCAGCTGATCCATGATTCCCTCTCCTCATTGTTGTTTTATTTTGTTCTTCCTTTCCCTTCCTCTGTGGAATCAATAAAAATACATTAAGAAAATAAACAAGAAATGTGTATTAAAAAAACATACTAACTATAATATAAGGTCTAGTCAAGACCTAACAAAGGGGCCTAGTAGAGAAAAAAAGGGAGCTCAATACAGAACAGTTTATTTTACAGAGAGGAAGGGAGAGGAACAGAGAGCTAGAAACATCGATGAGAGAGAAACATCAATCAGCTGCCTCCTGCACACCTTCCACTGGGGATGTGCCCGCAACCAAGTACATGCCCTTGACCAGAATCGAACCTGGGTCTTTCAGTCTGCAGGCCGACGTTCTATCCACTGAGCCAAACTGGCCAGGGCCAGAACAGTTTTTAAGATGGGATGGCAATTGTTCAAAGAAAAACGTTTTGAGCTTTTTATCCCAATGAAATGAGATACTTCAACAAATGTTTTATTAAGACAAATGTAAAAGCATTAACAATAAAGGATTATTAAAATACTATAATTAACTTACTTATTGAGCACTTACTCTGTAATTAAGTATATTTTACAATGTTAACTCATTTAATTCTCACAACAATTTGCCAAACTACTTCTTTTATCATCATTTTATAGATAAGGATATTAAAATTCAGAGGAATTAAGGTCCTTGACAAAGTTTCCACAACTAGTATGTATCAAATTTAAAATTTAATACCATATTTCATTTCCAGGTCATGAACATCTTCTAGGAATAATATTACATATATATGGACACATACATATATATTTACATATATATGCATATATGTCATTATATATATATACACTATTTTTATATAGAGAGTCAGAGTTCTTAAATATAATGTATTAATTGTTATTTGTGGGTGGTTTCTAATGCATCTGTGTGTGGCACTAGAAGGAAATTTAGTGAGCTAAATTTGAAGTTATTTAAAAGATTAAATGGATAATCGTTTCAATATGGAGTGTGTTATACACATAGGAGGAAAAGCTTTGTTTAATTTAAATTGCAATAAAATACCATCCTTAAATGTTAATTTACAGTTCTTTGTCAGCATGCACACCAAATACCAAAGAAACCTGTTTCTTAAAAGGCATATAAGATTTTTCAGCACAAAGGGGGCTATTTTGACCATCAATAAAACGATGTAGAAAAGCCAGCTTCACTATGAAACGATGCCAGCATTGTTGTATTTGGGTAATTCACATTCTGCAGAGTAAAAACATCTCCATGTTAAACAAGGGCTGGCTTTTAACTATTACCATCCTGTGCAAATCATCTGTAAATAAGGCAAGCCCAAAGGATGTGTGATGATAACTATGTACAGTTTGAAATATGTAATATATTTAATTTGAAAACAAAAAGCAATTTCAGGATGCTGCATTCAAGTGGGTCTTGCCACAAATGACCCTCAACCTTCTATATTCCGCCTCCTTCCCCCCTTGCCAGGGGTTTCGACATCTCTGAAATAATGTACAAGTATACAACTGTGGATCACAACACACTAGGCTCCTATAAAAATGATGCCTTCAAAACCATGTTTAAGAAAAGAAGGAGACAATGACTTTAATTTCTGAAAGCAGGTGTTTATATAGTTCACCACATGCTATTTACCAGGTATAGTACAAAGGGGGGGAGAGGGATGCATACCTTTTTAAAAAAATATATATATATTTTATTGATTTTTTTACAGAGAGGAAGAGAGAGGGATAGAGAGCTAGAAACATCGATGAGAGAGAAACATCAACCAGCTGCCTCTTGCACACCCACTACTGGGGATGTGCCCGCAACCAATGTACATGCCCTTGACCGGAATCGAACCTGGGACCTTTCAGTCCGCAGACCGACGCTCTATCCACTGAGCCAAACCGGTTTCGGCAGGGGAATGCATACCTTTGAGGCTTTTTTTCTTAAACTGTTGTTGCTTCAATACTTTATTCCATAAATAAATATTACTTTTACTTTTCAATATATATATATATATATATATATATATATATATATATATATTTTTTTTTTTTTACTAAATATTAATTACAATAAACTCAGGAGGACCAGACACTTTTGAAACAACATATGTAAGTAAGTTTAATTATATTATTTTCACAGTTATTGTCTGAAAGAAGGATGAGATTACTATTATTTTAGTCAGCTAGTTTATCTAGTTTTAGACAAAAATGGAATGTCTTACAGGAACAGTAGAATAGCAAAATTTCAATATCATAGTAATGTGCCTGAAATATTTATCTAATTAAATGTTGCAGTATTATAATGGTTTTAGTTTATTAAAATAAATCACATTATTTCTATATGTCCTTAATAAACATCCCAATGTTCTTTTGGGATGAGAGCCTATCAAAAGGAAGATAAACAATACAATCAAAAAATGGGCAAGGGACCTAAATAGACACTTCTTGAAAGTGGACACACAGAAGGCCAAGAGACATATGAAAACATACTCAAAGTCACTAATTATCTGAGAGATGTAAATCAAAATGACAATGCGGTACCATCTCACACCTGTCAGGATGGCTATCATCAACAAATAAACAAGTGGGGAAAAAGGAACCCACATGCACTGCATGAAGGAACGCAAACTGGTATAGCAACAGATGGAAAACAGGATGGAGTTTCCTTAAAATATTAAAAATAGAACACCCATTTGACCCAGTAATTTCACTTCTGGGAATATATCCCAAGAAACTAGAAACACCAATCAGAAAGGCTCTATGCACCCCTATGTTCATAGAAGCACAATTCACAATAGCGAAGACTTGAAAAACAGCCTAAGTGCCATCAGAAGATGAGTGGATTAGGGGAAAAAAAAAAAAAAAAAAATATATATATATATATATATATATATATATATGGAGTACTATGGTGCTGTAAAACAAAACAAAACAAAACAAAAAAACTCTTACCATTTACAACAGCATGGATGAACCTGGAGAGCATTATTGCTAAGCAAAATAAGCCAGTCCAAGAAAGATAAGTATCACTTGAGCTCACTCATTTGTGGAATATAATGAACAACATAAACTAACAAATAAACATAGATCCAGAGAAACAGAAGCATCAAACAGACCACTGTCAAACCTCAGAAGGAAGGCAGGGGAGGGTGAAGGGGAAGGTGGGTAAGAGATCAACCAAAGGACTTGTATGCATGCATATAAGCATAACCAATGGACACAGAAAGTGGGGGTGAGCGCCTGTGATGGGGGGCAGGAGCTGGCGGGGAGAGGTCAATGGGGAAAATAGGAGACATGTAATATTTCAACAATAAAGAATTAAAAAAAAGAGGGGGGGAATTTAGTTCTATACTCCTGAATCTGGAGGGCTTCTCTGACCAATAGAATGTGGAAGAAGTGAGACAATGTTAGAAATTCAGCTAAATAGATATGTTCCTTGCCTGGATGGGCTTACTGTCCAGTGGAGGAGATAAACAATTAATTAAATATGCAATGATAATGCAGTATTCATGAAGCTCCATGACAGAGGTGGTCTAGGGTATTGTGGGAACTCACAAAATTGGCTCTATCTCAGGTAGGACATAAGAGAATTATTCTGTGGAGAGCATCTGCCACTTAATTTTAAGTCTAAAGGATGTACAAGTGTTAGCTCCAAAGAAGAGAGGGGTAATGTGCCAGGAAGATGGCACGGCATGAGGAAAGACCTCAAGGTGGATGAGAATACTGGCCATTCAGAAAGTGCAAGAAATAAGAGTGAAGCAACCAAAAGGAACAGTGAGGAAGGGGGTGGCAATGGATAAGGATGAGAAGGCACATACTGTATTTTCCGGCGTATAAGACGACCCCCTAATTTTACAGTTAAAACATAGGTTTAGGCCTATATTCGCTGTATAAGACTACCCCCCACTTCCCAGGCAACACCAGTTCTTTTTTTAATAGACCGCCTCTCTGACTCTGGCCAATCTGAGCAGGCTTTTTACTAGAACACAGTGTAGCTTCGGGTACAGAACATTTAAGTACTAAAAATGTGTCATAACGAGTAAGGGTCTGATGCTCTAGAATGAAATCTGTAGAGAAATAGGAATTAACATTTTTAATGAGTGCTAGCAGAGAAGTGGCAGGTGATGGGACACAGAAATCACCTTCTGAGGGGCAGGTATCCAGAGAGGTCATGCCTTTGAGAAGAGACCCTGGAGTTAACTGGAGGAGGGAATTGCAGCATTGTATATAGCACTGGAGAGGCAGGCCTGACTTAGCTCTATACTCCTTTAAGAAACTTTAAATAAATTCCAAGATTAAGAAACTTTAAATAAATTACAGTGCACATTTGCTTAAACTGCATATCTAAATAAGAAGTTATTACATGAAAATACACTGTTTAGTGAAAAAAGTAGCTTATAAAATAATGGCATATCACAAAATCAAAGCAATAAGTATGTAGAAGAATGAAAAACAACTCTTTACTGAGGTCTTAACAGTGATTATTTCTGACTACATAGATCATTAGTATTTTTATATTTTTATATTTTCATTTTATATAACTTTATTTTCAAAAATTTCTATAGAAACCATGTAGCTTATACTTTCAGCATAAAAGAATGGTAATAGTATTTTTAATAGGTTTTTATCTACTTTTTATTAGTGTCCCATGTTATTTCCAGCAACAATCCTGGAAATAAATTTAGTATCTTTCTAGACTAAAAATCCTACTTTTTTTTTTAAAGGTTGAATTTAGTCAAACAATTTTAAGTGCATTTCTCAATTACACATGTCCACGTGGAGTATCCATCCCTCTAAAACAACAGGGGTAGGTCAACTACAAACTCTCCTGTAGTATCAGATTCCATTAATCAAATAGTTACTGAAGAAAGCTTTGTGGAACTTAATGACAGGAATAAAACATTAGATCTTCTGTCAAAGAGCTTTTAACTTAAACAGGGAAACAGAGATACAAATAGCAAATGCTAATGCAACCTGGAATCTGATTAGAGTGATAGCAGAACTGTGAACAGACCATTGTAAGAATAAAGAAAAGGACTGGTTCATTCTGCCGGGCAATCAGAGGAAGGTTTCACAGAGAGGTACATTTAAAAAGGGCTTAGAAAGAAGAGAAGGGCTTGCCAGGCAATCAGAGAAACAGCATGTGCAAGACACATGCTCTTAGTGAGGACACTAAGCAAGTTGACCAGTTGGAAATGGCCATGTGAGGCGGAAGTCCCTCCTGCTAGCTCCGGAGCAGCCCTCTGTGGGCCGGGGATTAGCATTGCTCACCTGAATGTTGGAGAGTTTCAGACAAATTCAAGGGATTTCGAACAGACAAGTTAGAAAGGTGTATGTGTGCAGGAATTGGAAGGGTGGAAGGAAGTAAAGGGGAAGGATTGTGAAAAGCTTTGAATACTGGGCTAAACAATAAGACTTATCTCTGAATGGGGAGTAATGTTACCAGACCTGTGTGCAAAGGAAGACGTGGAGCACGGACAAAAAGGGCAGAGAGAAGAAAAGTGAAGTCAGATCAAAGATATGACAGTGTTTCAAAGGATGTATAGACTGAGGGCCTGGCCCTGCCTCTGTAAGAATGTTAACAAAGGAACAAAATTAAGATATATTTTGGAGTAGAACTGAAAGGACTGGCCACTAATTTAATTTGAGGAATGGTAAGAAGACAGTAGAAAGAAGTAAATAGTGGGATAATTAAACTGATTTTAAAATGAAGTGTGTGTGTGATTTTGCGATTTTGGCTATTCCTTTGTCTATTTTATTTTTAATATGTTGGTCAGATAAATAAGGATTGATAATTCTAAATCAGATAAGTTACAAAAGAGGAGAAAGAACACATTTAAAATATTAAATGCAAAGAAACATTTTGGTTTTAGACACATGCAGCTGGAGATGTCCAAGTGAAAACATCACAGTGCTCACTACTATTGCGATAGGTTTGCACAGAAACTAATATAACAACCCTGGCTGGCCTGGCTCAGTAGCTGAGCATTGACCTATGAACCAGGAGGTCATAGTTCTAATCCCAGTCAGGGCACAGGCCTGGGTTGCAGGCTAATTGCCAGTAGGAGGAAGGTAGCATATCAATGATTATCTCTCATCATTGAGGTTTCTCTCTCTCTCTTCCTCTCTGAACTCAATAAAATATATTAAAAAAGTAAACTAATATAACCAATAGAATATTATGTAGCAACATACTTAATAATTAAAAAGCAAAGCAAGAAAGGAAGAAAATATCTCAGTGGTGCTCAATAAAAAGAGCTGGGCTGGCTAAATAAATGTGAAAGCCATCAGAGTGTAAGTAATAGTTGAAACTAATGATGGAGTGATAGCATAAGGGTAAGGGCAGTAGGGAACTGATATTTGTTGAGTAGTTACCCTGCTTCAGATACTTCACATACATGAAATTGCCATTACTGAAGAAAGCTTAAGTTTGATAACATATGAGAAGCGTTTAGATTGGTCATTAGGAGGTTAAGTTCAGTAGACTGATGGCAGTAGAATGCAATGGGCTGAGAATGAATAGGATCAAAAAGACAGAATTGATTACACAATCCTAAGGTAAAGAAGGGAAGAAGAGCATGATAACTGCAGGTGGTTAACAATAAAGAGAAAGTTGGGTTGGAGAAAGAGGAAAAGGCTGAGAAGTCAAGCAACATGAAGGAAAACCAATTTTGTATTGTTTTGAGGGAGGTAGAGAGAATGACATAAGGGACAGAAAAGGAGAAGCTTGCTAAGAAGATATGGGGTGTCAATTGTAACACAGAAGGGAATGGTGAGGAAAGGTAATTGGAGAGAAGAAAAGAGGAATGCTATGGTATTTCACAGCTAATAGCCTCTATTAGTTTCTCATTTGTTTTGAATAAGAGAGACAGAGATAGTTTGTGAGCTTAATAGGGAAAAGAGATGCCTTATTCACTCTTAATTCTCATGAAGTTTCATGAGTTAATATTAAATTTAAATGTGTAACAATCCAGCTTCCCCTTTTGTCACTTGGCAAAAGGTTTAGCTTCTATTTTAGAAGGTTTCTTCTATTTTAGAAAATATATGATTTGAATTTCGTAATAACCTCTTACTAATAGTTCGTAAACATTGCAAGTTCTGTTTCAATTGACAACATTCAAGCAGCATAAACCAGAATTTGTTATCCATTCAAGGACACTGAAGGGAGATCTGAGGGAAATAATATACTCAGTTTCAAATGACATTAGGAATATAGGAAACAATATATATAATACACTGTGTCAAGGGCAATAAAATAATACAAACAAAACCATCAACTCTAGGAGAAGAACTCAGATGATGCAGTAACAGCTTTTATGTGGTAGAAATGACAAGTGAAGTATGTGTATATAATGAAAATGTATTGGTTTGCAACATTGAATATATTGGTTTAAAAAAAATCTAACACACACACACACAAATTACTTAGTAACCAGGACAAAAAAAAAGACTCCAACTTAATGTCAACACAAAATGAATATACCAAACTCATTCTCCTGCAACATTAGGAAACAAATCATCCTGTAGACTTAATTTAAAAAGACAGGAGAAAATCTATTTTCCACAAACCAAATGCATAAGGGAAACTAAGATACAAAAACAGCCACCGTCTATAAAACATTACAAGATTAGTAAGCCATATATTTACTACATATTTGCCATGTGTTTATAAATGCAATTATCATAAGTGGATTAGTATTGATGCACATTATTTTATGGTTGCGAGTTCACTGGGACCAATTAATTTAATGTCCTGGTCAACGATATTACTTGATACGTTAATTACCAGGGCTTCCTGAGTGATGATACTGGAAAAAAGGCTCACGTGACATGAAAATAACTTCATGTAATAGCATTCTATAAATGCTTCTTAGGAGTGGAAATTGCATGACATGAGCAAAGAAAGCTAGTGAGCACGCACCTCCTGTCGGGCTGGTGCTGCAGGTGGCCACTCTCCTCAGGGCAGTCCTGTAGCATGGGCTGCAGCTCCTCCTGTGGAGACGGGGTCAGGGTGGCCGTGGACTGGTGGCTGTAGGACACAGCGGCTGGAGAAGATGCTGCTCCTCGGATGGGGGGTGTGGGGCCTCGCTCATCTTCCTCCTCTTCCAGTTCGTTTTGTTGTAGATACATCCTCGCTGGTGGCACTGGACAAGGCATTTCTTGGTCATAGCTAAAACAGATTATAAGGATACTCAGAATTACTTCAGGTTATTCAAATAAACTGTGTAGTTAATGGAGTATCAGCCCTCAACTGTTTCTTCAACTTGAATGTTCTGGGCCACATTAAGGCGGTATTGTTAAAAAATATGGTTCACCGTCACACAGGTTTGTGAATTGCCAAACGTACATTATATGTTATATAATATACATTATATGTTATATCTGTAATATCTAAGAATTTTTTTCTTTGAGAAGAATTATATGTAATTGAACTTAATACTTCTAAAATGAGTCTTAGGCTCTGTGTTTTCTGATGGTCTTAGGCTCTACAGCAGTGGTTCTCAACCTGTGAGTCATGACCCACACGTTGAGAACCATTAGCAGGGTCACTTAAGACCATCGGAAAACACAGATATTTACATTATGATTCATAAGAGTAGCAAAATTACAGTTATGAAGTAGCAACGAAAATAATTTTATGGTTGAGAGTCACCACAACATGAGGGACTATATTAAAGGGTCACGGCATTAGGAAGGTTGAGAACCACTGCTCTAGATGGATCTGAAAAGCATTCATGCCTTTCCCTTGTCTCCCACCTCAGTGTGCATGGTTACTGATTAGAATGGCAGTGACTTACTGCTTTATACAAACTGTGCTCGTTACTACTTTCTCTAGTTCATTTTTCACCACCTGCTTTGTTTCTCTGAGCTCAGGAAAGTTGAGGCTCATGTAACATGATTTCTTTGTATCTTCTTTTACTTTACTGATCCCACCATGATGTTTCCTGTGTCAACAAATAACACTATAAACCTTGCAGTTTCTTTGAATTATTTCTCTCTCTTCTAACTCGAAGTATCCCCAGTTCATCTCTAGTCTATCTCTTAAAATTCTTTAGAAGCTATTTCTCTCTTTAAATCTGCTGTATGTGCTACAGCAATAACTTTTTAATCCATCTCCTGGCCTCCAGTCAATCTTTCTTCATTCTCTCACTGCTTTCCAAATTACTTTATTATAAGACACATCACTCCCTGGTCATTCATTTGCTCTGAAGTAATAAATGACTCTCATTGTCTAGAGAATAAAATATAAGTGCGTACAAGACATTCATGATATCTGGCTTACATTTGCCTTCCTAGCTTCCTTTCACTCACTACAGTATGTTTCATGCTAGTTCTCTAGGAGTCCACATTACTGTATGGTCGTCATGTCCACAATACTCCTTCTCTTGACTGAGAACCTTCTCATTTGTCAAGGTCAAGAACAAAAGCCAGGAGCCCTGGAAACCTTCATTCTTCCCAGTTAGACTCAGTTGGAGCAAGAGGTGTCTACTTTTGTTTTATTACTATATCAACTTATTTCATTTCAGTTCTTTAAAAAAAAATATATTTTATTGAATTTTGCAGAGAGGAAGGGAGAGGGATAGAGAGTTAGAAACACTGATGAGAGAGAAACATCGATCAGTTGCCTCCTGCACACCCTTTTCTGGGGATGTGCCCAGAACCAAAGTATATGCCCTTGACAAGAATTAAACTTGGGACTCTTCAGTCCACAGTCCACTGAGCCAAATCATTTCAGTTCTTGTTATTTTTATTTGTTTGTTTCTTTTTTTAGAACTAAAACAGAAATTAAAGTCATTATCACGGTCTCGAAAATGAATCTTTAAAAGTACAGTCTAACATCATTGTTTGCAGATGCCATATCTACAAATTTGCTTATTCACTAAAATTTATCTGTAACCTCAAAGTCAATACTTATGGCTCATTCACAATCAGTTGAGAGACTTGTGCAGGGAGGTAAAAAATAAGTCATCTGATGACCACATCACTAGCAGAGTGCAAACAAGGTGACACTCTGTCTCTTCCTTTCTGTGATCATGCTGTAAGTAGATGTCCTTTTCATGGTCTATATAGTGCCATATTATTCTCTCCGTATAAAATGGCCACAAGTGTATTACTTAAGTAAGTGCTGGCTAGTGTTCCTAAGGATAAAAAGACTGTAATGTATCTTCATGAAAAAATATATTAGATGACCTTTTTAAAGGAATGACTTATAGTGCTGTTGGCTGTAAGTTCAATGTTAATGAATCAAAAATATATACTATAGATGATGTCTTTAAACAAAAATACACATAAAACAATAAGTTGTTTAGGTTTGGATCATTTAACAAAAATGTGAGCAGAGGCTTGCAGGAACCTAATCCTGCATTCCAGCTGGGAACAATGGGTCAGTATTCTATAATTAAGCGATTGGAAAATAAAACTACAGAGACTTTGTCTCCCAGAATAGTTGGAACTATAAAACTGGTCTGGTGTGTGTGTGTGTGTGTGTGTGCATGCACACGATGAAAGAACAATGCACTTCTATGGAGACTGCATTTTCAGGTAGATTTTGCAGGGTTTCTTTGGGTTATTGTTAGTCCCCACATACAGTGAGTTCTCTACTGATCAGATTAGTGAAGTAGCTGCTTTGCTTTGGTGGGAGGTACCATGTCCAGTTTGACAGAATCTGGAGTGTGGATGAAGCACACCAACTTTCTAACTGCTGTCCTGTATATTATGTACACTTGTTAAATCCTTGTGAGAGACTATTCAGTCGATTTAAATTTCTATAGTTTTCAGTATAATGTGATATAATACAGATAGTTTTCAGGATGCTGTGGGTAAGACACAAACCTACATCATTACTTTATAAAAATTCAGAAATGTTCAACGAAAGTTCTGATATTTGAAAACCATAAAATCATATATGTTATAATAATATATATATATGGTCTCATAATATATCCATATTTATATATGTAAACTGTATGGATATAATGTAAAATGTATAAGTAATTCGTATTTATATGTTTGTGTTTATATTTATGATTCTTAGCTCCAAACGAAGTTTCCAAGGCACAACTTCCGCTTTTTCAGCAGCACTGAGGAGGGTTTATAAGTCCTGCTGACCTATCATGATTCTGTTTTTTTTCAGAGACAAGTGTTTCTGGACCTTAGGAATCAGTCTCGCCTTGCCTTGGTGATCTAGTTGAACAATTACTTAGTATAGACTTAAGAATCATATGTTCCGCTTATATCTGTTCTGAAATCCCTCTTACCTGTCATCCACAGAAATACTGAACTCTTCGCTGTTACTATGAGGAGGAGGATGCGCCGGGGGTGGGGGCAGCAGATCTGCCCAGTTCATGCCACCTTGCTTTGGTACTTTGGGTGTTCGTGTCCCTTTCTTGTGCCCTTGACTCCCTTGGAAAAAAATGAAATTCAGTCTTTTATTTCTGGCCTCTAAAATTTTTCTATCATCTTTGGGTTATTTTCTGTAAATATGATCTTATTATAATTCATATATATAAAGAAAAACACTTTTCTTCATTGATTTTGAACAGAACTGTACAATCAAAGATGTATAATTTAACTGCAAAATAAATAGCAAAAAGCAATAAAACCATAAATGAATTTTACAAGTTATATCATTAATAGCAATCTTCTTATAGCAATGGATTATCATCTAAAACAAATGAGCTGTAGACATACTTTCTGAAATTCCTTCTTAATATTTAATTACTGGAACTTTAAATACAATATGATACAGATACGATCTATTAATGTTCCACTGTTGCACTAAATCACTGAATATATATAATTTGTACTTGCCCATTGAAATGATTTACGCACAATGGAATTACTACTTTTTGTCAGAAAAGCAGGTGCAGATGAAAATAATTGCTGAAAGAATATAACTAGCAACAAAAGAAGCATGAAATTATTTTTAAAAAGGGAGAGAAGTATATTTAGCCATTGTTTCTATAAATTTATGGTTTAGAGTAAAATAATGTTTCTTGCACATTCTTAGAAATTGGAAATAGCCCAATTATTCACGTGCCCCAGTGTTCATATTTTAGAATTGGCACATTCTTTAAACACAGGTAGTTGAACATTTTAGAGTATTCATTTTAAAATAACTTGGGTCAAAAGTTATTTTGAGATAATATAGTCTTTATCCTCTTCCTCCATGATAATACATTTTAGATTCTTACATACATTATAGACAATGATTCTATAATTGTTTTCCACATATGATCTTTCAAATTCTGTGAATTGTGTTGATCTTAATTTTAAAAACCCCTTTTGAAACAGCCCCAAGTTACATGGGGTCTAAAACAGGTCATATGAGCCTTATTTATTTATTTATTTTTCACCTGGGAATTTTCAGTCAAATCTCAGTGTTTGTTAAGCCAGACATTCTTGATATGTTGCTGCTCCAAGTATGGGCCCAGGGACAGGCTATCACTAATAAATTATGATTGTCTCCTTTCTTTCTTCTTGCATTCAGCCTGTGTTGGAATGGCTGAGCATGTACTGTGGAGCTGACTATAACCAATGCTTTCCTCTTGATTTACTGGCACATATCTACTGTAAAAACTCCATCTGTGTCCTCAGACCTAACATCACAACAAAAATCTCTCCTACACTTCATTTGCTTGCTTCCTTCTCTCCCCTAATTATCACCAGCTATGACATTTTTTAAACTACTCATCGAATGTTAACAGAATATCTAGTAATAAATAGCAATAGAACATCAGAATCTAGATATTGAAGCTGAGGGATGGAGAAGGGCAACTATCGATAAATATTAATAACCCAGATTCATATTTCCCTATTAAGTTGTAATTTCCTAAGTGGCTAACAATTCAAAGATGAAATGGCATGAGATATCAATATTAACATATTTTCTAATTTTCACAAGAGTAGATCTTTGAAAATTTTCTGTTAATTTAGGGTTTACTTACTTTAAAAAGGAAAAAAGTAATTTGATTAGATTTTAATTGTTAAAAAATCAACATATGGTAGAATAAAAATAGATATAAAGAGCTATTTCTTAGCTTCTTTAATTCAAATATGAGAATACAGACTATAAAATACCCAATCACCATTACTAAATCAAGGAAAGATGGAAAATGCAAATACAATATATATATTTATAAAAACTTAAGCGACCGGACCAACTGGACTGACCAGAACGACCAGTTGCTATGACATGCACTGAGCAGGCAGGCAAGTGAGCAGTTAAGAGTGAGCAGGCAGGCAGATGAGTGGTTAGGGGCAAGTGGTCCAGGATTGCAAGAGAGATGTTCAACTGCTGGATGTCTGACTACAAGGATAGGGCCTAAACTGGCATCAAACATCCCCCAAGGGGCTCCAGATTGCCAAAGGGTGCAGGCCAGGCTGAGGAACGCCCCCACTGCGCATGAATTTCGTGTCCTGGGCCTCTAGTATTCATTATAAAAGAGAGGTGGAGACACTTTGGCTCAAAGCACCTAGCAACAATTTTAGTCCAGATGTTCAGAAGTGATATTTCTACCCTGTCCTGGGGAAACATAATAGAGTTAAGATCAATTGGTTGTGTTCTCATTGTGGTGTGACTTGCCACATGTTAGTTCTAATAATGAACTGCCTTTAATTAGAAAAACAGGACTTAAGTACTAGAAAGCTCCCATCTGCAGACCCTATCAGGAAAACAGCTGGCAAACAGCTGCAACAGCACGAAGACCACAGGGCAGAGGCATCAATGTGATTTCTGAGGTACTTGCAGACTTAAGTTGGGAAGTTGCTTAATGAAGTTTTACTGTAAGAATTGAGGGAGAGTTTATAAACTGGAGGCAAGTTTCTATTGTAACTAGATCTCACAATATTGTCGCTGAGGCTTTTGATTCTCAAGTGTCAAAATTTTATGTGCCTTCAAAAGGTAACATTAGAAGATGAACTATATATGCAAAATTTTAAAATTATATTTGGCTTGGAATTGGGGAAGGTGTAACAGCCTTTAAAGACTACTTCATGCCTCTGGTTTTATTAAAGCTCCTCAACAAGGAGGAAAATAAGATCCTCATCTGTGTTAGTAATTAGAACATAAAACGGTTTCATAAATAGATAGTTCTTCAAATTATAGAGATAAGACCCATATCTTAAAGATTAAAATTATATGAATTTATAGACAGGTCATATATACACTTCAGTTCATTAGCATTCAATTCATAATCTTATAATGCAACAGTTTTTGAAAAGAAATGCCGACTTTCTCTTTCTTTCCCCTTACTTACCAGATGTACTACTGCCCCGGTCAGAACTATTGTAGGATCCTCCTGTGTTCTGGTCATATGATTGGTTGTATGGGATAGTTGGAGGAATTGTGTCAGTTGCTCGATAATCTAGATATTTTGGATGAAAACAATTAAACATTTATTTTCTTTTTGGTGCCTCAATCATTTAACAACAATTAGGCTTTTTAAACCATTATGTTGATCACATGTGTAAATGTTCCAGAGGAAAAGGCAAGGAAAAAAAAAAAGACCCTTAAACACGACTCCTTTAAGATTTATAAGGAGACTTGACTTGGAGTGGTAAACACATGATACAATATACAGATGATTTATTATAAAATTGTATACCCAAAACCTTATTTATTAACCAATGTCACCCCAATAAATTCAATTTAAAATAAAATTTTAAAAATGATTTATAAAATACAAATTATCTGCATCATTTTTTTCACATGAATTAGACTAAACATAGATGTGAACAACTCCTATGAGAGATTATTTCTTCCCTTTAAACTCTTTGTAAATCAGGTTTGCCAGAAATCAGATTTGCTTAACTTCTTACCTTTATAAATAGAGCAACAGAATCATTTTAATAATAAGAAATCAGGAAATTTCATGTCTTTAAATAAAAAAAAAATAAGTAAAATAAAAAGGAAACTTGTCAGCAAGATTATATCTAATAAAATATATCCATGATAAAAAAGCAAAGTATTTCAATCTTCCACAAAGGCAGAGGGAACAGTCTAAATGATAAACTCACCACTGGAATGTAATGAGTAATAATCTGTCAGTCTAGTTGCATGCCAGCCTCTTTATTATAGTTTCACATACCAAGTCTGTTTACAAGCAGTATAAACAATAAATCAGAGTTCTGAAATATTTGTACAGAGGGCTGTCAGACCTTTCCACAGTCCAGAGGAAAGCCGTGTACTATGGAGGAATACTATAAAAATAGTTTGAATCCTCACTACAAACTCTATGACTGCAGAACAGTCTTATGCATCTTTGTCAGCCTTTGTCATGAACTTGTGCAAGAATCTTAAGAAATATTTATTTAACTGGGTTATTATGCCAATCAAGTGTTTTCTTAAACTTAGAAAAAAAAAGCAAAATGTGTATTATTAAATTAGAACATATAATACTAACTTAAACAAAATAGGTTTAAGTTGTTGTGTAATCTGTCCTATTTAAAAAAAAAGAGGTCTCAAAACTCAAGGCTAAAGAAAAATAAGTCCATATCTCTAATTATCTACAATAAAATGTATCTTTTACGTTGACACTCACACAAAATTGCCTGATCTATTCAAATGAGAGCAATCGCTTTTTTTTATGACATAACTTTACAAGTCATGTTATTAAAGCAGTAGCCTGAAGGACTACAAAGAAATCAAATACCACTCTCTTCAAACTCACACATATTACAATAGAGAAACATTCCCCTCTGGCCATAAAATACCATTCTGCTGCGACAAGCTAACACTAAACTCAATTTATTTTAGGTTCTATCCTGACAGACTTCAATCAGGTCAACCAAAGAAACTTAGGTTCTACAATCATACAGTAACCACATGAGGTGAGAGACAGCAAACTGAACCACTTCTCCAGTTCAATTTAATTATTTTTCTTCAGTTTGATATAAAAGTGCCATTCATTTATATGACCATATAGAAGCAATTATCTTCCATCCTTGACTGGAAAAATGAAATAGTCTATTTATTTAAAATGTGAAGTATTGTGACGGTTGTACATCTGCCTTATGAATAAAAGATCGTCTGTCCTAAGCAATCCCTCACCTACGATTAAATTTAAATTAATCTCAAAACCATTCAAAAATACTTATATTTATTTTAAAATCAATTTCCAAGGTTATTGTTGTGCTAACTAACTCTTTGACACTGGACATTTTTAAACCAAAGAAATAAGAATACTTCAGTGACAAAGGGAAGGTTTCGCTTGCTAGTGCCGGATGAGTTTCCGCACGTAGGGCAGAAGGGTTAAGGGTACCGTTACCGAAAAGAATGGGAATGAAGGCAAAGCTCTTCACCTTTGTTCAGTTTGTTTTGCTCCATGATGTTATACTGAATCGGCGCCATTTCTTGTTTCTGCTGCCCGGGTGGCTTCCAGTGCTTCTCGCCGGAGTCCCCACTGCCGTTGTTCATGTTGTTGCTGAGGTTTGACTGGATGAGCTGGGTGGTGGCGTAGGGAGTGGGCTGCCCTGATGGATTGACAAAACGCCCATCCTTCAGATTTGGGCTATTGAAGGTTTTCATCTCATTGATTTTGTTACTAAGGTCCACATCACCATAAACAGTTGACTCAGGGAGCATCAGATTTGTTTGTTTGTTATCCAGTTGGTTGTTATAATTTGCTATACAATCAGCTATGTGCAACGAAGAGGAAAAGGAAAAAGTCATTCTCCATGGTTATTTGTTTTAAATTTCTTTGTAAGTAGCTTTGCGAGTCACAGTAAAATTGTTATGTCAAGAACAAATAAGATAGAAGGAAAGGGCCAAGTATTTACATGTGCTTTCTAAAGAAAACAATTAAAATTTGATGAAATAAGAAAGGACACACGGAATTTATTCTGCTAGTGCTATATAGTAAATAATTTTCCCAATTTAGCATAACTTTTCTTTAACAACCCTATTAAGAGAAATTCCACCAAAATAATACATACATGAATAACTTTATGAACAATTTATGTGTCAGATTAAAATTTTCTAGTCTGTAGTGATTGAACTACTTGAAGCTACTGGTTAGCTATTGAAGCAATAGAACAAAGTGTATAAGTTCAGAATCCAAACAAAGAAAAAAACAACTCTACCCCCCTATCAAAGAACATGAGATTTAAGTATTTTAGAAAGTTTCTCTGCTCAAAAGATATGAGCAGCAAAGGAGTGATAGTATATAGTGCTCAGGAAATTTTATTACTTATTCTCTTGCTCATGTAGGATAATCATTCAGGGAAAGAAACTAATCATTTTTTTTTCCATTGTTTTACAAAGTTGGAGGGACTACAATACCACAAATCAAGTTATACTACAAAGCTACTATAATCAAAACAGCCTGGTACTGGCAAAAGAATAGGAAGATTGATCAATGGGACAGAACAGAGATCACAAAAATGTCAATATTGATGGCAAAAGGAATCATAAATAACTGGGGTAATTTAATCAAGTAAAATATGAAATAATATATATTATGTCTACTATCTTAATTTCCCTTTAATTTTTCCTTCATTGAAATATTAGAGAATGAAATAACTGATAAATTTACGTAGAAATATTTAAAGCCTGCTATTACAATATTTAAAAAGTAGGAGAAAGTCAAATCATAATTTAAAATTAAATATTTTACAATTTAAAAAAAATTAGTGAAGTTACAATGATAAAAATACTATTATATTATTCATGTAGCTCCTAGTGGCACCAAAATTAATAGGTCACCATGAAGATTGGACATTTTTAAAGAATAATAAATGAACATGGTTGATATTAAAGATGCAAACTTAAATATAATCTTAAGAAAAATTGCAACTTCTCTAATACTAAGTTCGACTACTTGTCATTTCAATAATAAATGACATAAGGAGCAGAAATATCTTATTCATCTGGCCTTTAGCAATTTTAATTTTTAATTTATAGGTATTAACTTTTGTTGAATAGTGGTTAAGAAATATTATTAAAGGCCACAAAGATTTGGCAACAACATTTCTCTTCCCCAGTCTTTCTGACTGAGTGCTAGAGATAATGGGCATGTTCTGTTCTGCATTGTGAATACAATAGCCACTAGCCACATGTGGCAACTGAGCACTTGATTGTGCCTAGAAAGAATGAAGAACTTTAGCAAGTCAGATACAGAAATATATTAAAAGATCAGACACCATGACCAACTGGGATTTATTCCAGGGATGCAAGGCTGGTACAATATTTGCAAATCAATAAATGTGATATATTACATAAACAAATCAAAAAACAAAAATAACATGATCATATCAACAGATGCAGAAAAAGCGTTGGACAAAATCCAACACCCATTTTTGATAAACACTCTCAGCAAAGTAGGTCACCTTGAAGATTGGATATCTTAAAAAATGATAAATGAACATGGTTGATACTAAAATGTAAACTTAAATATGATCATACCTCCACATAATAAAAGCCATATATGACAAACCTACAGCCAACATCATACTCAATGGGCAAAAACTAAAACAATGTCCCCTAAGAACAGAAACAAGATGGGGATGACTGTTTTCACCACTCTTATTCAAGTACTGGAAGGCCTAGTCACAGCGATCATGCAAGAAGGAAACATAAAAGGCATCCAGATTGGAAAGGAGGAAGTAAAACTCTCATTATTTGCAGATGACATGATAATGTTCACAGAAAACACTAAAGACTCTATAAAAAAAACCCAACAAACAAACAAACAAAAAAACTACTAGACTTAATAAAGGAGTTTGGCAATGTAGCAGGATACAAAACTAATTCCCAGTAATTGATGGCATTTTATACACCAATAATGAATTCTTAGAAAGAGAAACTAAACACTCTCATTTATCATAGCAACAAAAAGATTAAGATACTTAGTAATAAATTTAACTGAGGAGGTAAAAGATTTATACTCAGAAAACCACAGGACATTGAAAAAAGAGATAGAGGAAGATATAAAAAAGTAGAAGAATATAACAGTTCATGGATTGATAGACTTAACATCATTAAAATGTCCTTACTACCCAAAGCAATCTATAGATTCAACACAACCCCTATTAAAGAACCAATGGCATATTTCACAAGTATGGAGCAAATCTCCAAAAATGTATATGGAACAACAACAACAAAAAAAAGATCCTGAATAGCCACGGCAATCTGGAGAAAGAATAAAGTTGGAGGGATAACAATACCAGATATCAAATTATACTACAAAGCCACTGTAATCAAAACAGCCTGGTACTAGCACAGGAAAAGGCATATACATCATTGGAACAGAACAGAGACCCCAGAAATTGACCCAAGCCATACGCTGAATTAATATCTGACAAAGAAGGCAAGAGGAATCTCTTCAATAAATGGTGCTGGAAAAATTAGATATGGGCAAAAATAATGTAACTAGACCATCAACTTATACCATACACCAAAATTAAATCAAAATGGATAAAAGACGAAAATGTAGGATGTAAAACCATAAAAATCTTAAAAGAAACCATAGGCAGACAGATCTTAGATATCTCTCATAGCAACATGTTTTCAGATTCATCTCCTAGGGCAAAGGAAACTAAGGAGAAAATAAATAAATGAGACTACATCAAAATAAGAAGCTTCTGCACAGCAAAAGAAATAATCAACAAAATGAAAAGAAAGCTCACTGTATGAGAGAACATATTTTCCAATGATACATCTGATAAAGCGTTAATATCCAAAATATATAAAGAACTCATACAACTTAACAAAAGAAAGACAAACAATCCAGTTAAAAAGTGGGAAAAGACCTAAATAGGCATTCCACCAAAGCAGACCTTTAGATAGCCAAGAGACATGAAAAAATGCTCAAAGTCACTGGTCATGAGAAAGATGCAAATTAAAAGGACAATGAGGTGTCACCTCACATCTGTCAGGATGGCTACCATCAACAAGTTAAAAATGAGAAGTACTGGCGAGGATGTAGAGAAAAGGGGACCTTAGTACACTGCTAGGAATAATGCAGACTGGTGCAGCCATTATGGAAACAGTATGGAGTTTCCTCAAAAAAACAAAAAATGGAACAACCATTTGACACAGTGATCTGATTTCTAGGAATATATCCTAAGAAACCAGAAACACCAATCAGAAAGAATATATGCACCCTTATGTTCATAGCAATTCACAATAGCTAAGATCTGGAAACAGCCCAAGTGCCCATCAATAGACGATTGGATAAAAAAGCCGTGGTACATTTATGCCAGGGAATACTATACAGCAGTAAAAAAAGAAGGATCTCTTACCCTTTGAGACAGCATGGAGAGACCTGGAGAGTATTATGCTAAGTTAAATAAGCCAGTCAGAAAAAGACAAGTATCACATGATATGTGGAATCTAATGAACAAAATATAATGATGAACAAAATAGACCCAGACATAGAAGTACAGATCAGATAGTTGAGCTTCAGAGGGAAGGCAGGGATTGGGAGTGGGTGGGTGGGTGGGAAGAGATCAAATAACTTGTATGCATGTATGCATAACCCATGAACACAGACAGTAAGGTGGTGGAGGCCTGGGGTGGGGTGCAGAGGCGGCTATAAGGAGTCAATGTGAGAAAAAAAAAGGGGCCATACATAATACTTTCAACAATAAAGATTAAAAAATAGAATTTTTCATTTTAAATTGTATTTTTAAAATTTAAATATAGCCACCTATAGCCAGAGGCTACCACATGGGACAACACAGCTTTACATATATATATTTCAATGACTATTATACTTTTTTTTCTTATATAGAGCTCAGCATGGTCTTCCTTTTATTTATAATTATGTGAACATCCACTTGTCTGGATAACTAGCATATGCACCTTTGAAAAACACTGACTTGGTCGCAGGGTTATGTTACATTCCTATCCACACCTATTGGGCGTTCTTTCCAGCCAGAGCTACAAATTACACATGATTGCTCTTTATGTAACATATATACCATCTTTACTTAAATGCCATGTTCTGTTTCCCTGTTCTTAATTCTATGGATTAGAGATTATTTTACTTTTATATTCATATCTTCTGATTCTTTACAATTATTTTAATATTCCCATATTGTGGATGTTGAAGTTTTTAAAAATAAAAATCATTTATAATTTTTATCCATTCAAATATTACATACTACACATTCATATTGTAGCATGAAAGTTTAGCGAAGTAATTTACTTGCATATATTTCTGAACCAAGAACATACAACACAAAATAAAAGATGCATACACATCTGCAAAAGATATATATTTTTATGTCATCACGATTGCTTCTATACTATAAAAATGTGATTTTAAATTTCAGTTCAACATTTTTATTATTGTTACATAGTTGTTACTATTATTATTACTGCTGTTAAGAATTTGCTTCTCTCAAACTATAGGTTTATTCACATTTTGATGTTTTATTCCTCAAATGTTGAAAATAATTAATTATAATTAAAAATTATAACTGCAGACATTTTTATGAAGATGAAAACTTTTACATCATTTCAATTTTCCTAATTTTATTCCTATTCTGGAGTTTATATTCTCCATACTTCCATCATACACTGGGAATCATTTTTGTGGGAGAATAAATTGTGGAGATGTAGGGATGGAAAAGTAAATAGGCTAGACTGCCAAACCATACTCAGAATTTCACGAAAATGTTGATCAAGTTTTCCCTTCCAAGGTAGAGAATAAAAGAAATTTATCAAGAAAAAAAAAAAGAAATTTATCAAGATGTCTCAGAGTCTCTAACCTGGGCGACTGTAGGTAGTGAGGTTGCTATCGCTGTTCCCACTGCCTGCGGTGCAGCAATTGATGGAGCAGTCATTGTGATTGTTGCCAGTGTTAGGCCATGTGTCTGCCAGCCAGGGCTGTGCAGCGGGCTCACTGATGTTGAGAAGTCCTGGCCTGAAGAAAAGAAATATATTAAGCAAATGTTACATAAATAGCAAGTAATATTTCTAATTCAAATAGCAAGTGATATTTCTAATTCAGAATTTGAATGGATTATTTATTTCACTATTCTCATAAATAAATTGGTCAACTATACTGAATGACATTATTATTCCTTTTATTTTACAGACAAGGCAACTGTAATGTAATATTCTGTGATGCCCCTCAGTTTATATAAACATAATTTTGTAAACTGGCAATGCTCTACTCCATCTTTAGCCACTGACTAAAAATCAAACATGGAACTTAAGAATACAGAGACATGTATTTTTTTAGTTTTAGTAGCTGAAAGAATGCCACAGTTAAGAGTTTGCAATTCCTCACTTTTGACCCTTAAAATAGTCATGATTCTCCCCACAACATAATTTGAAAAATGGAACAAGATCATCACTTAGACAATGGATCCTGCACAGTAAGAACATTTGCATATTTTTCTTCACAACAATGTTTCAGAAATAGTGTGTCTGGGTCTGTGACATTTTGCAGAGAGCCCATCGATGTTTCAGTGCACAGTTCTTGAAGCTTGCCAACATTTTCTGATGGGGAGCATGTAAAATGCACAAAGCCCTATATAAACAAAGGAAAGCTATTGAATTAAACCTGGTAAAACAAAGATGGTCCACTATAAGAAATACTAGTGTTCCTTTTTTTTTTTTTTTTTTTTTTTGCACAACAGTTGTTAATCCTCTTGCATTATGTGTTGGGAATGCAAAGCACATCAGTAATTATTAATGGGAGCCCTAGACCAAAAGGGCCAGAGCTGCAAACTGGAGCCCCAGAAAGGCATTCAGGAGTCCTTTCCCAACACTGTCAGTGTTTGCAAACTGAGCAGAGGTGATGATGCAGATGTGCTGTCAGACCCACAATAAACAGACTAGGACTACAAATTCTGCAAAGGCATTCTTTTTTTTTTTTTTTTTAAATATATTTTATTGATTTTGTACAGAGAGGAAGGGAGAGAGATAGCGAGTTAGAAACATGGATGAGAGAGAGTCATCGATCAGCTGCCTCCTGCACATTCCCTACTGGGGATGTGCCCGCAACCAAAGTACATGCCCTTGACCGGAATCGAACCCGGGACCCTTCAGTCCCCAAGCCAACGGTTTATCCACTGAGCCAAACTGGTTTCGGCCAAAGGCATTCTTCATGGTTTCATTTTCTTTGTTTCAGTACAATAAACATGCTTCTCATTTACCTGGGAAGCAAGAACCTGACATTCCACTCTCCATGGTTCCTATGCTGACACAGTCAACTGAGAAAACTTATTATGCAAAGGATGATTATTTGAGGAAGAATTCACTTTATTTATTTTATTTTTAATCAATCCTCAACAAGGGTTGTTTTTTTTTTCATTGATTTTTTAGAGAGGGACAGAAAGAAACATCGATGTGAAAGGAACACATCAACTGGTTGCCTCTTGCATGTGCCCCGAATAAGGGCCCAGGCCAGGGAGGAGCCTGCAACCCAGGTACATGCCCTTGACTGGTCAAACCCGAGACCCTTTGGTCCACAGACCGACACTCTACCCACTGAGAAAAACCAGCTAGGATGAGGAATAATTCACTTTAAATGAAGCTTATGGGTTTAGACTTTATATATCTATTCATATGTAAATATATATGTCTATGTAATAAAATTAATATCTACTCTTTGCTTACAATGTGTGAGGCATTGTTCTGAGGTCTTAACATGTATCAACTCATTTAATCTCACAAATTTTCTACATGGAAGTTACTATTATTCAAACTTTACAGATGAGGAAATTGAGACTTGTAAGACAGGGTAAGAAATTTGTACTTGGTAATACAAAGTGAGGGAATGGCAGAGCTGAGATGCAAACCCAAGTAGTCTGGCTCTAAAATCTACATTTTAGTCTAGGATACTAAAATCATATACATTGGAGAGTGCTGACATTTCTCCAAGCCCTCATGTATTCTTAATAAAAGAAAGAGTGAGGAAAATGTCTGAAAACTTGAAATTCATAGTAACGCTGTTAAAACTGAGCAAAGTTACTATAAAAGTTGTTGATAAAAACATGCTTTGAAGGGCAATGTTGCTGAACTGTAGAAAGTTAACACATTTAAATGCAAGCTGCTTCATAGATATCTGGGGCCTTTGAAATAAATGTTAGTTATAGAAATTCTGCATCCATTAATCTTTTGCTTTCCTTATTTTATTTTCTCTTGAACTTAAACCACGTGTGTTATCACTAGAGAAGTTATTAAAAATAAATCTCTATATTTGGCATAGTAGAGATATTACAGGATGTTTAAAGTATGGGTCAAGTGGAAATTTTCCACAGTCTGTTTTACATGTTTCAAAAGGAATAGACAATATTTTTATGCTACTCTTGATTCCCTCAGCACAACACTTTTAAAGTTAATGTTTTGATATCATCATAGGCTGAAAGCACTCTTCATATGTATGGATAGTAGGATTAACAACTCACATCCTAGTTTTTAGTTTAGACTTGTTTGGAATGCTAATTATTTAGGCAAGAAGGTTAACTGTGCTTATTCGCTCATAATGAATCTGAAAATGCCACGTGCGTATTTTAGAGGTCTTTGAGGAAGTCAGGGTCATATGCAGCTACTCTGATAAGGGTATTATAGGGTTTTTTTAAACTAACAACCTCACAGGCTATTTTCATGAATTTAAGATGGTCTAGTGTGAATAAAACAGAGCTAGCTACCCAACAATTGGAACCGAAGCAGAAGCAAACCCAATGCCAGTTACAGGGATTAATATGTGCCTGACATGTTATCATACAATATATTGTCATGTAATGTTAGTTGTTGTATTTTCACATGTCTGAGTTTTGCCTATTTCTTCTTTGTTTTCAAAAAGACGTTATTTATCACGGAAAGGAAGACACAAGGGCCTACAAAAACCCCTACAAATTTATCATACAATTTATATTAGGCGGATAAATTTGTCTCACAAAGGAGAAGAGAAGAAATGAACTTAAGTAACCAGGTGACAGTTACCTTCAATTTCTCTGCTCCTTTATTCCAAGTATGCTGATCACTCACCAAAATCAAAACAAGACAAAGAAATACCTACTTGAACTCATAAACCACAAAATAAAATACCACATGGTTCAGGCGCTGGGGAAAATGGTGAAGGAGTCCAGGGTGAGGGTTGTTTTTAAACTCTCCTTTTTCCATTGATAACATGAAAGACTTTTGAAGCCATGAAGAAGGGAAGGACAGATCTAAAGAGTGGCCAATATTTTAAAGGGAAGCAAGCCTGAATTCACTTTCTCAACTCTCATAGTAAAAAAAAAAAAAAATGGAGTTGGTATTTTCCATCTGGTTAGACTGACTTCCCAACTCTTTTTTTTTTTTTTTTTTTTTTTAAGACTTTGTTTGCTTTTTCTTAGTTTATGCTATGGGTTGGCATTAAGGAGGATTTTTTTTTTAATAGGTGACTGGGATATTTGAGGTAAGGAAGTAGATGAGTAGGAACAGTACTTAATATTTCCAATATCTTCCCCTGAGTTACATCACAAGTACTCTCCTTTTTCAAACTGAGAAGAGGTCTCTTCACTCACCACAATCCTCATTCACCCTTCTCCAGGCAGAGTTAAATTCACAAACTTGAGAATTGTAAGTGATTTTTAGCTAAGCCTTCTCTTTTGTTGGAGGAAAATGTCCAGCACCCCAAATTTTCTTTGAAGTTGTCTGAACTTAGGTCTTCTGACATTCATTTTTTTCAATAATTCACACATTCCCTCCCTTTTTAAGTAGTTTTTGATGATTATTTTTTAAAGATCACTAATACTTCAGCCACTGAGAGATATGATCATATGCATTTCAAAATATTCTGGCTCCAAAAGGGCAAAGGGAATTCGCAGGAAATAGTCCAGGTTGAGATAGATAAAGCAGGACTGCTGCGAGCTTTTGTGATAGATTAGGCAAGAAAGAACAAGAGCTTGAAGGGAAATAAAACAGTGAGAGTAAAGGCGGGAAAACTTAGGATCAACAAAAAGCAGGAGCGGATGCAGGGGAGAGCAGGGCTGGAACATTTTGACTCAGGTGTCACTAGGCAGATGAGGTAGGAGGTGCAGTGAGGGCTCCTGGAGTCTGAGATGCCTGAGGGAAGCAGGGCTTAAGGAATGGACATGAGAGAAATGAGAGCAGGGGTTTGGTTCACTCCTCATTCTCTTACCATACTGGATCTTACACACACACACACACTTTCACAATGGCTAGAAAATAAGACCTCTTCCTAATGTCCTCCTGATCCCTCTTATGCTTTTCTATTTTTTCCCATATCACTCAACTGCCAATACAGGCAGTCCTCGGGTAACGTCAGACTCTATATACGTCATTTCCTGGTGACATCACCATCTCCCATTTATTTATAAAAAAAAGTTCCGTCATTTCGACGTATGTACATATGTGCTTTATGTTTTTTATTGTTTCTTTACCACAAATAGAGGTCAGGAATTGTTATCTTTCTTTTAATTTTTTCTCACTGTTTCACTTCATTACTGCTGTATGTGTGCTCCATGTGAGGGATGTAGGTGCTTATGTAGGTGGGTTCCCACTTACGGTGAAAACCGTGTCACGTGGCGCCGTAGGAATGGGTCTCCCACGTAACTCGAGGACCTACTGTATTATAAAGTTGATTTTTAAAATTTTTTATATTTTATCTTCTATCTCCCCCACGAAACTTAGATGCACACAGACAGGAATCTTTAGATGCACACAGACAGACTTTTTTCACTGATATATCTCAAGTGATTAGAACAGTGCCATGTTGCATGTTGGGTAGTCAATAAATATGTTTGATTAATAAATAAATTTAAAATTGTGTGCATGTGAATATAAAATTGTCATTTTGAGCACTGACTCTAACATACCGTATTTTCTGGAGTATAAGACGACCCCCTAATTTTACAGTTAAAACATAGGTTTAGGCCTATATTCGCTGTATAAGACTACCCCCCACTTCTGAGGCAACACCAGTTCTTTTTTTAATAGACCGCCTCTCTGACTCTGGCCAATCCAAGCAGGCTTTTTATGCATGCAAATTATACATGTTCTGTACTGGAAGCTACACTGTGTTCCAATAAAAAGCCTGCTAGGGCGGTGGTATAGTGCCACCCTAGATTTCCAAGTAAGGTGCTTTCTACCCGTTCTCTTTTCTCTGTTCCCTCTCTGAGACCTGAATTCAGACCACTGAAAAAGCCCGGTTGACTTTTTTTTCGTTTCAAAAGTTGTCTTATACGCCGGAAAATACGGTATTTTTTAGCTGCTCTCTCTGTAACATTTTAGCATCTTTTATCATTTCATGTGGTATAAAGGTGATTTCTATTTGATACTTGAAATAAGCCAGTTTTATTGCGATTCCATTTTTAGATTTAAAAGGTTAATTTTGCATGGTTATTAGTGAGCTTTCCAAATAGAAAAATATTTCAGGAACTCTGTAAATTTTCAGTCCTGCCACAGAAACTAGCATTCAGTAGCTGTAGGCTCCTGCCATTATACTGATTTGGTAACTTGGTCTGTTTAGGCTGTTAGTTCCCTTCCAGGAGAAACCAGGCTTACATTGTGCACGTGTGTGCACTGCATGCCCTCCTCTGTGCCTGTGCTCACGCAGGGGCCAGTGCGGAGAATATAGAAGCTGCTCAATAAGCACTTCCATATGCTTTGATTAATGAGAAAACTGAAGCCTGAAGCCATAAATAAACACAGGTAGAGAGGTGGTTATAAGTCAGGCATTCCAGTTTTACTCATGAGAGAATGTTCTTATGACAAAGGCTGTTTCATGAATGTCTGGCCTATGATTTAGATGGAAATCCCCTCGATGCAAAAACGTGGCCTGGTTTAATTCCTGAATCCAGTGGATTTATTCCTCAGGAAGACCTCCCTCACCGTGGGATCTTCCAGGGGCTGGCTTTGTTTCACAGGCATGCAAGCAGGGAGCTGCAGCAGCCGCTGGGAGTGCTTGTTGCCGTATTTGCACTGCATTGGTTAAAGGTTATCAGCATTTTCATTTAAGTCACTTTGTCATGTAGGAATTCAGTGGTTTGTATCAGACATATGTTCCTGGACTTCAGGAGCAATATCTTACTCATTTTGTCTTTTCTAGGAGCAGTCACTTCACCCATCTGTACAGAGCATGGCAACCAATAAATTAATTAAACTTGAATCATAAAATGGTTTCTGTTGGAAGATTTTTTTTCCCTTACACCTTAAGCAAAATGTCACAGTTTTTAAAAAAAGAAATAATCTTATTGTAGGAAATCCTTAAGTATGGCTCATATAACTTGTATATTATTTCATCCCTTTAAGCCACCTCTCACCTTAATTTGTAATTTCCCTGTGAATATATTAAAGTTCACTGAATAATAACAAAAAATTCATAAACATAGGATTGAGGTTCATTTTCATTATAGAAAAAAAGCTCTATGTTAATAAGCTACCTAGGTTTCTCCTTTTATTTCACCATATTTCTCTGCAAATGAACAGCTGAACTAGGCTGAATTCATAACAAGAACAAAAAACAAACATAACCTACAACTTATGAGCAAATGCTGTTTTCCGCAGATTTGAAATGAACACCTTTTGTTTGATAGTGTCTGTTAACTAGTTTTATTTCTTAATCTTCAAAAATGCCACCACTTGATTACTCTAAGTCCTTTTAATCATCTGCTAAATCAGCAAGTCTGTCTTTCCTGGTTCAAGTTCGCCCTCTAGTGGTCACTGACTTTGATGCAGCAGCTCTAATTAGAAACTGCATTTGTGTGTAAACTACCTGATATCACAGCACATCGGAGTAGAGTATTTCTGAAAGATCTGAACAGATTTCACCTTCAATTTAACTCTTTTAAGCAAAGATAATGATGTCATTAAGGAAGACAAGAAGAAATATCTGGAATTCCTCTTAGTATCCACAAAACAAGCAAGATAGTTACCTCCCTCCACTGCTTACAGCTTCGCCTCCTCTCTGATAAGTTACTAGAATGTTACAAACAAAAAAAAAAAAAAAAAAAAAAAAAGAAAAAAAGAAAAATTAATAGACATGTTTATATTTTTATATCCAAAGACAGTACATTTAGGTACATCTTTCTAAAATGGAATGTATTCTCCCTTTCTACTTAGAAACAACACAAAGATCATCACAGGAATTAGCAGATTTCTGATTTAAGTAATATTTCTTAAAACATTGTATAGAATTAAATATAACTTATTCTTATCAATATATCCACATGATTGAGAACTAAGCAAAATCAGTACACTCTTATTAAATATCAGTCATACATTTGTACAGTCGAATTCCCATAGATTTATATTTTCATTTTATTATTATATCATATCATTTCATAAATTTATTGAAGTAAAATCTTAAATTGGGGGGAAAAACCCCTATTAGGCTATTTCCCCAGAAGTGTAACAGTAAGACAAAGAGAAATGTCTAAGTAACCCTTCTCTCTCTCTCCCCACAAAGACGTATATACGCCACGCTGTGACTATCAATTAATGCAGTGTTTTTCTTTTGTGGCTTCTCCAGGCTCTTCTCATTTTATTTTCATCAGGTATGTATATATAGCAAATATATATTTTAATTCTCTTGAAAGCATCCTCAGCTTTAATAAATTATGGGTATAAAAATCTAGCCACAACAAAACAAGAATCATAGGCAAATGGTTAAAGAGATTAGCTTTTTTGTAGCTACAGACACATTTTCTAAGAAGAAATGTGTTTCTAAAAGCTGCCAAATTCTGCTACTTAGAAGAACTCCAAACCGGGAGTCTGCAGAGGAGAGATAACTGCTTCCAGTGATTACAGTAACTGGATTAGCAACGAGGAGGCAAGGCTCCAGGTACATCTTTCACTGGAGGTGACGTGAGAGTGGAGGACCACTTTGAAAGAAACAGAAAGAACAGAATATCAGGATTCTGACTTAGGGAAAACGAAAAGTTTTATCTTCGGGGATGCTAGATATTTTGGTTACCTTCAAGAATTCTGATTCTATGGACAGAGAATTGAAAGGGAGAGACATTTTTGTTGGAAAACCTGAAAGCTTAAGTTAAGGAAAAAATGTACTGCCAAGTATGAAATAATCAATAAGGTCATTAACATGTTAAATCATGCCGAGGGTAGCTACAGTGTGTCTATCTAATGAAATACATGCATACAAGGCTAATGTGCAGTGTGCAATATGGATAAATAACTGCATTAAATGCATGAAAAGCAACACCAACCATTTCTGCTTCAAATGCATGCCTGACATGAGTAAATGAAGTATTGTATTCCATTTAAGCCCTCTCCCCCAACTTACTGCAGAAAATGAAATAAAAACAGAAACACAATAGTACAACACATGCTGAACTAATAAAGGAAAGGAGGAGGGTAAGTGCAAATATATACCTGTTGGTGTGAAGGTAAAAGACGGGACTGAAAATCAAAACAAAATATAAACCAGTTATTAGGCTGAAGAGAGAAAGGGAACATATCACATTAGTATAAATCAAGCAGACAGCTGAACATAAGACAAATGTAAATAACTAAGCCAGCAGCTCTGACATTCTGATATATGAACAAAACAGAATCTGAGGTTAAAGAGAGAACTTGTCTCTACAGGTACCATTTTGAAGTGTCTGGCATTCTGGCACGGAGGGGAATTGTGCTGGGTTAGCCTGTGAATGACCCTGCATTTGGTAACAGATTCAGCTCATGGCTTTAGTACAAACAGGACCCCTCTACTATAAATCATTTCCAAACAGTGGATGATGGATTCTTAAACAAGCATGGTGGGGGCTCCTTCAACCTTATCTAGAAATCTGAAAGTAAATGCTTATTAAAGTGGACCAATAGGCTCTTAAGTAGTCATCATTAAGAGACAGAGACAAAGAGTGAAGGGAGAAGAGAGAAAGAAAAGCAGGAAAGGAAGGAATGAGAGGGAATAAGGGAGGGAGGGAGGAAAAGAAGGAAAGAGGGAGGGAGGGAGGGAGGGAGGGAGGGAGGGAGGGAGGGAGGGAGGGAGGGGAAAGGAAAGGAAAGGAAAGGAGGGAGGCAAGCAGAAAGAATAGAAGAAAGGAAGAATTGGAATAAAGAGAACCATTAAAATTGAACTATTTCAATGACAAGTAATGTCTGATACCTTATTGTATAAACAGTGTACTGCGACATTTTTATCATAGAAATTCGTGAATAGACAGAAAAAATGGGGAGTTTTAAACTTTAATTTTCCTATTTTAGTTTGTGTTTAGAAGCTTTTTAGAAGTTTGTGTTTAGTAAGCTGAGCACTTATTTTTTAAGGCCACACTCTGAAAGCTGAACAATAGAACAATAGCACCCCTCTGAAAACCTTCCTCTCTGCAGCTATAAATCTTAATCTAATCAATGATGCCTGGAATGGAACTGCAGACCTCAAAAGTAGCAGCCTTGCTGCCCCCATTTTCCTATCTTCTCCCATTCCTTGGTGTCAGGTGACACTATTGTTATTTCTATGATATTTCATAGAGGATGACTTATTTTCTAAACTCTTCACACCGCCCTGGTGAGGAAAGCAAGGAAACCTACCTTACTCCATGAAGACTAAAGTTTGCTTTTACAAAATCCTTAAATACACAAACTATAATATTGGCTAGCTATTGTGGATCAAAAAGCTGCCAAAAATGTATTGTCCACTTCACAGTGGAACATCTCCAAGCAATTGACTTTAGGATTAGAGCACTTGGACATGCTACACCCTCCTTCACAACTGTCACTTCTTACCCAATCTTTCTATCTCTGGGCATGCTAGAAAGAATGAAAAGAAAACCCTCAGTGCTATGAACCCAATTTATACACTAGCCTTCACCTGCAGCATGATAACCCCTGTTTTAAGAACCTATTGTTTTCTTTCAGAGTCAATGTAATTTAGCTGCAATAAAAAATTCAGAGCCATAGTAGCAAGTCTCCATTAAAAAACAAAACAAAAGGTACATTAGGAAGTAAAGCTATTCAAGCAAGACTAGAGTGCCTGAACACTAATTTGCTATCACAAGGACATAGGAAAAATATGAAAGGTCCTTGTTAGTATGCCTAGCTAACTGCGAGCCCTGGTTTAAGGAATTGAAAAAGAAATCTAAAGAGGTTGGTCTATAAGAGAAATTTTAACAACATATTCACCAAAGAACAACTTCATTCTCAAAGCTTCCAATAACACGGTACGTTCTTTGAGCCCAGTGATGGCACACTGTGAATGTGGACGGAGTACTAAGAGTTACAGCAGAGGAAATGCCTGCAGATAAAGGTATGTGTGTGTGTGGAGGGGAGCGGGGGGGGGGGGAGAGAGCTCCTTATTTTCCAGTCACCCTCTGAATTAATGGTTTAGAAGCCAATAGGCTCTTTTACATTTATTTCTTTAAAATATTTCACTTCCTTTCCTCGTATAATTACCAGCATTGTTTCTGACATAGATAGCTTAAGATTTCAGGAGGCACCTTTTTTTAATTGCATAGAAATAGAATTATGAAAAAGTGCCAACAAGGCAAAATGAGGAAAGCAGAATCAAATGCTCACCAATTACATTTGTGATTATGTTCTGTGAGTTCTGCTAGTTAAAAGGACAATGACATTAGTTTAATAGGTTTTGCAGAAAGAGCATATAGGCGTTTGCCAGCATGCATAAAGAACATTAGTACAGGAAAAGAAACATTTCAGGAAGAAAGCTTTTCATGTCACATCTTTAGATTTCAAGACAATACAAAGCATTAAATGGCTGTAACCGCACAGCTATAGCACTCTATTGCAACAAGAAATACAGGATTCCTGGAGAATTCAAGAGACTCTACATCTATATGTTAATTAGTCACATTTCCTCATTCAAATCAGATATCACCCCCGCCCCCACTCCCCCAACACTGTTCTGCTCCTTTCCGGCTCCACAAAGCAGATACTGGGAACCCTTCCCTGCATTGCTTTCAGTCTCAGGCTTTTTATGGTAACACATGTGCCTGATATTGTTCTACTTTGTACAGAAATGAGCACCACTGCTCCTTGTGGTAACATCTAAGCCCTCATTTTTTCCATTTCATAAAAGGGATGCTGACATTTTGCTTCATCTCTAGTGTGCGTCCATACATATCCAGGAAACACCTGGGGATGACAATGCTGAGGCAAAGATATGCACATGACAAGATTGCCGTGCAGCCCCAGGCAAGACGCATGTTGTTGCGTTTTGCAGGGTGGGAGATGCATGCCTGCTGACTCTTTCCTGCCAAGCCCCTCTGTGCCGGGAAGTATAAACATCTCAGGCTGCTCTTCCAGACTGTTTATAAGTGGATAGGGACATTCTAACTAGCACTGCAAATTCTTACTTTGCCATTTAATTGGTTAGAGAAATGACTTGGCCAACACTTGTAGGAAATGATCATTTAGAAAGTATGCAGACATTTTATTATTTTTTTTTTTATTTTAAGGTTGGGGATAGTAGGGGAAGGAATGTGTCTTTGGTAATTCTCTTTAACTTTGCATTGCGGCAAAGCAAAAGTGTTGTCTTAAATTAAGAAAGACCCTAAACCTAGGGTGAATGTATAATTTGTCATTCAAACCAGGCCATTTTGAGAGCAACAGGGGCACTGTAACAATTTAGTTGTACTAAAGACATAAATTGGCGCCATCCCTGAGAACTGCGACCTGGAGTCATCCCAGCCAGAGCCCGTGTCTGAGGCCCAGATCTGATAAATATATTTGGGGGTGGGGGAGGATTCTATGTCCAGCAGCGTTATCAAATCTCCTCAGAGAATAAAACCTAAGTTCTCAATCTGCAGAATTTAAGGATATGTGGCAAAGGTGTCTGTGCCACATATATGATTCGTCCACAAAATTATAAACAATAGCAGGCAAGTAAGCTTGATCTTCTAAAACTGTAAACATATTTGTAACAAAACACCCTCACTAATTAACAGCATATACGCAGCCAAATCTGCAACTTTAAATATAGCAAAGAAAAAGTACTACACCTCCTCTCCCTGGCAACCTGAAGGACCTCATTCAGTCACGTATTTCATATTCACAAGAAATGACTATTTTATAACTAATCAGAAACAACCATAAAAATAATGGTTTTTCAAGTAACCTCTTTCGCTTCACAAAGGCAACAACGCCACCTTAAAGCTGTGTGAGACCGTTCAAAGCTTGCACTTATAACTTCTGTGGCAAGGAGATTAAAACGTTTCCGTGAGAATATAAAGCAAAAATGCCCATTCCCTGAGAGAAGCCCGGGCTGGGAGAACACCCAGGCAGACCTACCTGGGAGAAACACAGTTTACGGGAAAGGGGCCTGGAACTGATTAGCCCTGTACGCAGCGCTGCTGCTCCGCAGGAGTTAACGTGCAGCTATCAGGATAAAACAAAAGCACTACGGGAAACCCTTGTGTATTAAAATGAGTTAATAAGGACATATATGCATACATAATTTGCAGTCACATATTAAGACAAGACACAGTAAAACGTAGAAAGCGTAGGAGAGCTAGTACCTTTCCTGATACCCGCGTAGGTGCTGGCCAGCCCGCTCCTCTTCTTGCGGTGCCGGTAGAGCCAGATGCTGAAGACCATGAGGATGACCCAGCAGGCCGCGCCCAGGCCCGCGATGAACGCGGGCTGCTTCACCACGTCGGAGATCTGCTGCGCGAGGCTCACCTGGTCCTCCGGGGACACCGGGTTGCCATGAGAGTCTGAAAAGCCATCTTCGGATTAGTTTGGGTTTAAAACTCAATAAAATAATGAGCTCAGAACTTACATAATATAAAACTGCCACCATTATTTTGTTAATGTTTGGACAATAGCTTCCGTTTCTTAAGGTGCAACACCAGCCTTTTTAGTTAAAATAGTTCGTGAGGCCCTAACCGGTTTGGCTCAGTGGATAGAGCGTCAGCCAGCGGACTGAAAGGTCCCGGGTTCGATTCCGGTCAAGGGCATGTACCTTGGTTGCGGGCACATCCCCAGTAGGGAGTGTGCAGGAGGTAGCTCTGGTCTATGTTTCTCTCTCATCGATGTTTCTAGCTCTCTTTCCCTCTCCCTTACTCTCTGTAAAAAAATCAATAAAATATATTTTGAAAAACAACAACAATGTTGGATTCTATTTTAAAAAATAATTCATGAGATTTCCCAGCAAAACTATATTTGTTTTATTTATTTTAATTTAAAACAGATATGATAGAATTTTATGGAATTTATTTTGAAACAAAGGCAATGGCACACTTTTTTTTTTTTTTTTTTTTACTCCAGAAAACTCTGTAGCTCATTGCTTAGATTAAATTTCACAGGGAAGTGCTGAGATAAACACAAAAGTACAATTGTAAAAAATGAAATACTTACAAAAGTATACAAATAAGGGGTTCCCAATAAGTAAGTATAAAAAAGATATACTTTCTCAGACTTTCATAGGAACCCTCAATTAAATGTTCTAAAAAAAGGTAAGTAATTACATTTTGTTTCCTGTATAAAGTAGATATTGAAAAAAAAAATGCATGCTGTAACTTCCAACTCTCCCATTGCCACCTACACACATCCACACCCCACACCACCACACAGACTATATCCTGACTCTTAACTGTCTTAGAAACACATTATATGAACTTATGTTCAGATGAGGCCTATGAAATTCAGGATTATTAAAAAGCAATAATAAATGAAGATAATGCTACCACTGAACAAAGTATCTTTCTTTTGAAATAACAACCACCATAAGGAATAGATATAGGAACACTAAATACAGACAAGAATGATTATGTTTTAAAAATCAAATAGGCTTATGTTTTCTGATAGCTATTTTGATTAAAAAATTAAAAATTGATGAAATTTATGGCTATTAAAATTTACTTATTTTCTCTTTATGTATAAACCTAATAAGATATTAATGTTTTGAGCACACCATTTCATCGGCACACAGAGCAGTCCGGAATCTTACAGGAAACCGGAAGCTGTTTTTGTTTTTAAATATATTTTATTGATTTTTTAGAGAGTAAAAGAAAGGGATAGAGAGTTAGAAACATCGATGAGAGAGATTCATCGACCAGCTGCCTCCTGCACCCCCCCCACTGGGGATGGGCCCGCAACCAAGGTACACGCCCTTGACTGGAATCGAAGCTGGGACCTTTTAGTTCCCAGGGAGACGCTCTATCCATTGAGCCAAATCGGTTTCGGCGAAAATCGGAAGCTGTTGCTCTGCCATCAAAGCAATACCCTCCTCTGCTGGCACCGACTGCGGCCAGGCTGGAGGGCGGCCAGTGGGCAGAGTCCCCACTCGGTGTGCAGTGTGAATGTTCTCCCCCCACAACATCTGGTGAAGCAACAAGGTTTTTGCCCACTTCTCTACGATGGGGTTTTCTTATGATTGACTCTGAAAATCTTCTGATATTACAGCCTGCTTTAAAACAGAAACATTGGTTCTATTCCTCAATTTTTGTTGTTCAGAAAAATAACTGGTATATATCACCATATGGTAACATTTCTCCAACAGAAAAATAAATCCTACAGAGTGCCTTTCCTTATTGCATGATACTGCATTCCAATCAGACATCGTCGGAAAAAGCAGCAGCATTCAATGAACAAGAAAAACAGCCTTTGGAAAATAGCAGCGGCTTCTATGTAAAATGGCTACATTGCTACTTCCACGTGTGTGTGGTTTTTATTTATTTTTCTCTCTTGAACAGGATTTCAGATTTTATTCTATGGAGGGTCAAGGCTGAAAAACCTATTTTCACAAGCAGTTACCTGCCTTCAACTGTTTGTTGACTGAAAGTTCTATTTCACGTTCCGGGCACTTTTATCTATGGTTACCCTAAGAGCACTTCATCCTCTCAGAATTCGCCAAGCAGACCTAGTCTTTATTCCTAACACACCCTTTGTGTGTGCGGGGCCTGTGGATTCCATGGCTGTTGGTGCCGGGTGAAGGCAGGGCGCTGCGGGTGAAGGGAGACAGCCAGGAGCGGCTCCATGCAGGCAGCCAGATGGGCTTACAGAATACAATGCGGTGTGACTAGTGGATTAAAACAGCCACGCTCCCTCTCAGTCTTTGTCTCACAGCAGCTGAGGCCATACTGAGATTCGAAAAAAACGTGGAGCTTGCACATTTACAATTTCAAGCAAACCGTCTGTCCCTTAAATCCTATGATTTAAATCTTAAAAACAAAATTCCAACTCATCTTTGAAAACCCAGGACTACAAGTCATATGTCATCAGAACAGGTAAATGACATCAACAAAGTATAGGGTTATCACAATGTAACTTATAACTTCAATTTTAATAAGTCAATACTGATATTTCATAAATATGAGCAACTGTTTGGGTAAAAAAAAGTCCATGTTTAAACTGGTTTCCCTCATGTCTTACATAACACTGTAGTTTTGCAATAAGTGAACCAGAAATAAATCATGAAGCTATTTTCACATACAAGTTTTATATATCAGCACTGTTTTCAAATGTGCAAAGTATAAAAGGAAACACAAAAAGCAAATTCTGGCCCATGGCTGTGGCAGACAGCAAGCCATCCACTGAAGGTAGGAATGGGACCCCCACAGACTGGGGTTATTGAGAGGTAGTTCCCTAGACAGTGATGTTTGTGTGTGTGTGTGTGTGTGTGAGTGTGTGTGAGCATGTGTGTGAGATGTTCCCATTCATCTATTAGGAATCAGGTGGCTGAGTTTTGGGCAGCAGCCATGGGCACATCTCCAGACCTGCACCATCAAACCGTCTCACAAACTGTTTCAACACTTCCTTTCTGCTCCCCCAGGGTGAACCTTGGAAGCTCCTCAGCCACGTGTGTTTGGAACGAAGTCGCTCTCCACAGCCTCTGGCTTCAGGTGGACTTCACTGTGTTATGCAACCATAATTCTGCAAGTGTGTCTGTTACAGCAGCTAGCATCGTCTTAACAGGGAACATCAACAACTTTCCAAAGCAAATGGTAAGTTCCTTATGTTCAGTATAAGGTTTATTCAAAGCCAAATGTTTCTTAATTTTGTTTAGAAATAATTTCTAGGACATCATCGATATTATCAACATGCAAAAATACTATGTACTTATTAGTTATGCATAAAGATTCATATATCTGATCCTTTTTCATAATTTAGCAACTGACAAAATATTACTAATGCCTAACTTCTGATCTGGAATAATCTAACACAAAGTTGACATATACTTTTCGGCATCTTTCACAATTTAGATGTCACCTCTTAATATCTGACCCTCTCCTCTTCCCTTTCCATTTGCAATAGTATTTTGTGGCTGTTTTTGATGTTTGGTAACCACTTCCTAATTTGTATCTTTATGCTCATGCCACATTTTCTATAGTGAATTTTTGTAATGAAGGATTCTGTCAGTTTTTTTTTCCTATTCATCTAACTTTTAAAGCATGCATTTAACTAGATAAATAATTAGCATATAAACATATTCCTATGTACTCTGGCATCTCAATCTACATTTTGTTATAAAAAGCAATAATAATTTTAAGTAGACAAAAATGGTGAATATAAATTGCATAATTCTAACAACTTCTAATACCTAATATAAGCTTTACATGGAAGTTTGTTTTATTTTAATCCAAACAACTGCAATTTACATGAGGATGTACATTATGCCTTGTTTGCTGAGGTACCTTTAGTGCTCAATTAATTGTATTTTTTGACTAGATGAGAAAATTTAATAGGGCAGGATTAGGATCATACTGAATACTGACAGCATTTTGCTTGGAAAATCATTGAATGTTCACTTGGATAAATTTAAGGTTAGTTGTCCTATATATTAAATCTAACGCCATTATATTGTAGCTGCATTGCCACATTCCACATTCCATTCAACTTACAATGATGGCTCCCCTACATAAAAATAAATAAATAAGTAAAAACAAGAGGCCAAAGGGAAGAGTGATATACACTCCCAACCAGCACTTACCTAGTTGGATAAACTGTGGCTCGCTCTTCACCCCTGGCCCAGCCCCCGTGCTGGCGGCCACCTCCACGCTGTACCGGACCCCGGGGACCAGAGAGGGAATGACCACAGACAATGTGGAACCATCCACCGTTTTGTTTATATGGTAACGAGTTTCATTGCCCAAACACCAAACCTATCAGAAGAACACAATGAATGTTAATCTAGTAAATTCTTTAAGTTAATGCAAAGGTCAACATAGTATTGTGGTTTTAGATCTAGTCAGAGTTCAGATCTATCATGAACCTAATTCGGGGAATTTCAGAAGTCTGTTTTGCCTAGAATCTAGTTCTCAAAAGACTCGCCCAGGCAAACCTATTGTTAGTAGAATCTTCAAGACTTCTTTACACTTTCTCAAATACACTGTTTTCTCCTTTAAGCGTTTTTATAAATATTTTTATTGTTGAAAGAATTACATATATCTTCCCCTCTTTCCTCCCCATAGACCCCTTCTAGCACGCCCCCACCACCCACTCCAAGCCTTCACCGCCATATTGTCTGTGTCCACGGGTTATGCTTTACGCATACAAGTTCTTTGGTTAATCTCTTCCCACCCACCCCTACCTTCCCTCTAAGATTCGACAGTCTGTCCCATGCTCCTGTATCTCCAGATCTATTTTGTTCATAATTTATTTTGTTCATTAGAGTCAACATATGCATGAGATCATGTGATAAAGCGAGACTATAAATTTTTGTTTGAAGACATTAGTTGCTATGATAATGTGTGTTTTTAATAAACAATAAAAAATCATTTGCAAAGGGGAAAAAAACTCCTAGCAAAAAACTGTGCACATCTCAATAAAGAACAATAACTTATCTACCACCATGCAGCATTTGCACTCCTGCTGTGGGCTAGGTGTGATACTAGATTACCAGATATCACAAAATAAAGGTGAGGAAGAAACTCTAAATCTAGCACTTTACTTCAACAGATCTCTGGGATAAAATTACCTGGTGCTATCACCTTTTCTAAATAACCAAAAACAAAACCAAGAAGCAGTGATTTAAAGAGAGAGCTTATCTTACATAAGTATGGTTATTAAAATATAACTAGTGGGTGGCTCAGTTGGTTGAACATTGTCTTGTACACCAAAAGGTTGAGGGTTCAATCCCTGGTTGGGGTTTGGGAAGCAACTGATTGATATTTCTTTCTCTTCCTCTCTTAAATAATAAAAAACATATCCCTCAGGTGAGAATTATATGTGTGTGTGTGTGTATTTATAGAACATAAGAAGAATCATCCAGGACTTTACTCAGCTTATGATATGTTGTACTATTAACAAGGAGAGAAAATTAGCACACTGATCTTGTAGTTAATATCAATAGTAATTAGTATTTGATAAAATATTAGGTTATAAAGAATAACATTTGACATGAAAGAAAAATGTCCTTATAAGAAAATTATTATATATCTCATTAACTTTGATAATGGCATTTGTTATAGAAAATTACTTCCAAGAAATAAAGATTTCTGCTCTAGACTGTAATTTTTAATTTAAATTTCACACTAAAGGATTACTTACTCATAGGTAATCTTTGGCAATGTCCAAAGATATGGGTATGGTGCATGACAGTACATGAACTCAGTTTCCATAAGAAAATGATCTATGAAGTAGTAAAACATGCCCCATATTGTTATGAAGCAAGATGTAGGATTAGCTTCAAGTAGCCTATTGTCTAATAGGAAATGGGATTTAAAATAAATCCAAGAATATCAGTGTCCTCTATCATGAGGGCACTAACCTTTACTTTATCTTTGAAAGTTAATATTATTTTAATATAGCTTCAATGTATAACACCAGCGAATGGTCAGAATCTATACCAGGATCTGACCATTTGGAAATAAAGAGTCCTTTGTGATTTTTCCCCCCAATTACATTACGCAGCTGAACCAAAGCCACAGACCGATTTTGTACCAGTCAATCAGGTTCAGAAAGGCATTTTATTATTTTAAATTGACCGTGAAGTTAAGTGAAATCCACTCTTTCGAATTTCTTCAGGAGAGAAATGAGTTCTGACTCTTAAGGGAAAATGCCTACATTACACAATTTTGCTGGAGAGCTGAGACATCACCTCATTTTAAATCCTTAAAAGTCTTCATAACAGTTTATTTTTCTACAATGAACTATAGAATCCTGACACTCCCGGTATTAAAATAACCTTGAAATTCACAAGAAGGCACTTGAAACTGTCAAGACTGTTACATTTTAATGATACAATTACCTAGAAGATCTAATTTAAAATATTTAAGAAATCACTTGCCAAAAAAGAAGTTCCTTGCAAAAATTCTTGAGAAAGAACAACTTATCTACCATCATCCAGCATTTTAAATACTTTGGGAAAGTTGCCCCTTTAAACATGTACACAAATTTTCAGTTTATATTTTTAAAAAATAATTTAAAAATAAAATATTCTACCTAAAATTAAGCTCAGCATATATGATTATTGTGCAAATCATTTGCTACTTCAAAGAACATTTGTTGTCTTTATTTGGGCCTTAACAAAGAGCACACTGCATAAACACTCAAAAAGGCCTATTAAGATATTAATATATATGCAAGAACCCTATTAGACCTACTAAATCAGAATTTCTGAGCATGGTAGCCAGGCATTTATATTTAAAAAAATAAGCTACAGTGATTTTGATGTTAGCATGTAATTACCAGTATAAGGTAAATGAGTTTACCTTCTTAACATCAGTTTCACATCAATAGATTAAGTATAAAATACTTAGATATGCGATACTCTAATAATTAGAAAAATACTCAGGCATCATAGAAATTTTAAGCAGCGTCTAGAGAAATAATTTTTTTCTACTTAAAATTTTTCTAGCATGTAGTGTGTTTATATAAGTGTTGAAAAAATACACATAAATATATTTTCTATTGTGATTGTTCTGATTCAAATTCATTTATTGTAACTCATTTAACTATCCCATAATTCAAAACAGATTCAGTGATAGGATAAATGCCATGTTCTTAACTTAGGTTTTATTCTTCCTTGGTATGCTTAATATATATTTTCACAAAATGATTCTATATAAAACTCTCTAAATGCAGAGAGGATGACTTCACAGGAAAAAGTTATTATTCTAAAGAATCATTAGATTAAATCCCTTGACACTATATCACATTAAAAAATTCATTTAAACATACAGAAGTTTATATGTGAATTACCTCTGAGACATGAAATATTGCTTAGAAACTAAAACAATGATTACAGATAAAAATGATTTTCACATACAGTAAATATTTATCTTAGTTTCAAAGTTCTAAGCTTTCAAGCATACATACTAAAATATTAAAAAAAGAAGAAAGAAGACTACATTTGATAGAATGTGAACCCGAAGCCAATTCTAGGGCAACCTATACAATATATATTTAAGTTACTTTTAGGGGGAAAAAATAGCATTTCATTGGTTGTTTATGTGGTATTACACCAACTTAAAAATTCTCTAATGTTTTTCAAATAGTTTAAGAATTGTATTCCACAATTACTGAATAAACAGGAAAATGTTTTTAAACAATTTTTACATACTGTATGCAGCCCAGCAGATGGCGCCAAATATCCATGCACAATGTAAAGAAGGTTTCTTTTCCTTTTCTTTGCAGGGGAAGAGGGATGTCCCTCAGTGAATTACTATGTAGGGATTACCTTGTACTCTTGGACCATTCCATTTTGAGTGTCTTCTGGAGGAGGCTGCCAACTAACAAGAATTGCAGTTCCATTTCCATCATTCTTTGATACAGTTACACTTTGAGGTGGGGCACTGGGTGCTAATAAATTGTTTCAAAAAGTGAATATATTATCAGTGGCATTAGAGGACATTAAAAACAAGCACCGAAAATGTACAGTCAATAATAACCATATAAAATTTATATCAATATATGCATATGATTTAAAGAGGCATCTCATCCCAAACTAAGTATTTTCAATATTTCTAAAGCATTGTTACTATGAATGTTTTAAAACCAACATTACAGAGATTATCTCCACAAAAATTCCAAAGGAAATCCCTATTTCTTTTATCCTGCCACCTTAGTCTCATGTTCTCTATAAAAGAGTTTAAAAAGTATGAAGATGAATTTGTCATTCACGATATTAACTATATTCTATCATTTATATATTCAAAGTAATAAAGATAATTTAGGAAATGTTCTGGAGAATAGTTGTGACATGTTACCTTTGACCTTTATTTAAACATTAATTTTTAATTTCCAGTTATAAGGTGGCCCATCATACCAGTTTGTCTAGAACTGAAGGGTTTCCAGGGACATGAGTCATAAGTATAAAATGCTAACCCTGGAAAGTCCTGGGCAAACCAAGACATTACTCACCTTATTTACCAGTCATTACTCAAGATAACATTTAATAAATGAATGGCAAATAATGCAAAGGCAAGCAAATTGAAAACATTTCCATCTTTAAATGTGAATTTTATTTCTGAACGATTAAATATATCTATATAGGACATTAAGCAATAAAATGTTTCACATTTTTCTATAGGCCTCTATTAAAGCAATTTATAATAGTTCTAATTAAACAAATTCTATTAGCCAAATATAATGTTCAATATAAAAAGAAAGTTAATAATGTCACTAATAAAAAAATTTCAATCGTGTTAATAAAAGCCTAACAAATGTACTGTTTAACACATAGAAATCACACACTTCATTATACTTACCTTCTTCCAGGGTTTTAGCAAATTTAATTTCACTGTCTGCTCCTTGAAATTCATTAAAAAAAGGACGAGCTTTGATTTCATAGTTGACTCCCTTTTTGAGATCAGGGATAACCACGCTATTTTTGGTTGGTGTTCTCACTTCAAAAACTAACCACTCCGATTCTCCATGGTTGGCTCCAGATGGCCGATAAAGAATTTTATATCCTTGAATGTACTGAGACTGTTGGTCCACCTATTAAAACGACAAAAAAAATGTAATCATTAATATCTTTTTGTTGGTTTATTAGAAAACTATGAAAATTGGACTTTATTCTGTGATTTTCAAATTTACACAAAGCAGAAAACTAAAAACAGATCACTATCTTTTATAATGTGTTTCATTTTTCACCTTAATATATAAATTAGGTATTGATGTTGATACTTCATGCAGAAATGCAAGTCATCAAAGAACTTCTGTGACAATATCCGGAAAGATGTCTCTCAATGTTCAGGGGATGAGGAAAAATGTGTTTATCCACTTTCTAATTTTTTAAAGCCTAATTAATGCTTAATGTAGAACTATTTGTAAGTTAAAAATGTGATCATCCTATCACAAATTAATTTATCTTCATGTGTCTTCCCTCTAAAACTGATAAAGTCCATTATTGCAGCATAATAGATAATATACTACACAAAAATAAACTTTTCTCTGTTTAAAGCCAGTCTATAGATACCATCATAAAAAGATTACATTATAAAGTTATTGGTGGAGTGAGCAACACACACACACACACACACACACACACACACACACCCCATACACTAGGGGACTGGTGCAGGAAATTCGTGCGCAGAGAGGGGTTCCCTCAGCCAAGTCTTCACCCAGATTTGGTTTTGATTGGTCGGTTTCTATGCCAGTCAGTGTCCCCGGGCCTATCTCTGGGCCTGGTCAGAGAGGCAGGGCTGAACAGCAGTACCTGTGGAGGCCTGGTGAGAAACAGAGTTGTGGCTGCTAGTGAAGCCCAGAGAGAAAGAAAAGCAATGGCTGATCAACAGCTGCCATGGAGGCTGTGAATCAGACTCTGCCTCTCTCTCCAGGCCTCTCTCCAGGACTGTTCCGCAGCCCCCTCGGCAAGCCAGCAATGACTGCAGGACTGATGTTCAGTTGAGCCTTCGGCCAATCATTACAACCTTGGGATTGTATATCGTACACACACACACACACACACACACACACACACGTGTGTGTGTGTGTGTGTGTGTGTGTGTGTATAATTTAACTATGTGCTGTATTTTTTTCCACATAATAATTTCCCAGAGGTCACCTGCATATTAAAACCATGATCAAATACTGCATCAACAACAACTCACTGTCCAGTGAACTTCGATTGAAGAGGAAGAGAGGATGGTTGGGTTGTGGAGGTGCAGTACAACATCTCCCAGTTCCCTCTGGACCTGCTTGTGATCCACTCCCTGACTTGTTGGAGGAACATCTGCAAAAAACCAAGAATACTGTGTCAGATCTTACACAATGTCAATGACTTGAGTGAAAACTCGGTGAAACAATTCTCTCATTCAATTCAACTCTCAGGAAAAAAGAATCATTGTGATTGTGAAACCAACCTGTGATACAGAATAAAATAGGAACAAAGTGACCTTTTTGTTAGGAGGATAGGAGGTGCATAGATGATAGATGTAGATGGTAGATGGTAGGTGTAGGTGTATGTGTAGGTGTAGATACAGGTAGGCAAAGATAACAGTGGCAAGCAGCAGTATTTCAGAGCTCCTCTTACCAGGTAATGCTTCTTTTCTCTGAAATTGAGCAGCCTAGTTAGTGCAAACCCAACTCAGTTTGTTATTAATTTCTGTAGTGACCCTAATTATGCAAAAAAGAAAGCCTGAAATTGCAACACCATGATGAGTGTTAGACACCTTACATCTTATAAGAAGAACCTGAATGTCTCCCAAATTAGGTGATTAAGTTAGTGGCTATGATGGAGGAATACAGAAGCCACCAGTAAAACAGGACAGGACAGGACAGGACAGGACAGGACAGGATAGGGATAGGGATAGGGATAGGGATAGGGATAGGGATAGGGATAGGGATAGGGATAGGGATAGGATAGGATAGGATAGGATAGGATAGGATAGGATAAGATAAGATAGGATAGGATAGGATGATAGGATAGGTCAGGACAGAAAAGGATAGGGTAGAGTAGAATAGGATAGAATAGAATGGAGTAGCATAAATCTGATGAAAAAAGGTACTTATATTTAACTGATGATGGTTTGGTTTAATTATAGTGCCACTGCAAAGAAGGTTTTACAAGTTTTTAACCTTAAGTACACCAACATTTTAGAAAGGAGACCAAGAACATAGTAAAAAATAGTGTTCATTTATGCTGCATTTTTCCCAGCAAGAAAGGATGGTTTTAGTGTTTATTGTTGAAAGTATTAATATATGTCTCTTTTTTCCTCCATTGAGCTCTTTTAGCCCACCTCCTTCCCCTCACCCCAGGCCATCACTACCCTATTGTCAGTGTCCATGGGTTATGCATAGATGGATACAAGTTCTTTAGCTAATCTCTTCCTACCCTCGCACCCTCTCTTGCCTTTCCTCTGAGGTAACACAGTCTGTTCAATGCTTCTATGTCTCTGGATCTATTTTGCTAATTAGATTCCACATATGAGTGAGATCATATACTTGTATTTCTGTGCCTGGCTATTTCCCTAAACATAATACTCTCCAGGTCCAATCATACTGTTGCAAATGGTAAGAGTTTTGTTTGTTTGTTTGTTTTTATTGCTGCATAGTATTCCATTGTGTAAATGTACCACTGATGGGCACTTGGGCTGTTTCCAAATTTTAGCTATTGTAATTGTGCTGCTATGAACATAGTGATGCATATATTCTTTCTGATTGGTGTTTCGGGTTTCTTGGGATATATTCCTAGCAGTGGGATCACTGGATCAAATGGGAACTCCGTTTTTAATTTTTTGAGGAAACACCCTACTGTTTTCCACAGTGGCTGAACCAGTCTGCATTCCCACCAGCAGTAAACTATGGTTGCCTTTCTCCACATCTCACTAACGTTTGTCCTTTGTTGATTATAGCCACGTGACAGGTGTGAGGTGATACCCCAGTATCTGTTTAATTTGCATCTCTTGGCTGATTAGTGACTGAGAATTTTTTCATGTCTCTTGACCTTCGGTCTGTCATTTTTGGAGAAGTGACTACTTCAGTCCTTTGCCCATTTTTAAATTGGGTTGTTTGTCTCTCTTTTGTAAGTTGTATGAGTTCCCTGTTTATTTTGGAAATTAACCCCTTATTGGACGTATCATTGGCAAATATGTTTTCCTATGTAGTAGGCTCTCTTGTCATTTTGTTGATTTCTTTTGCTGTGCAGACATTTTTATTTTTTATTTTGATGTATGCCTACTTATTTATTTTCTCTTTTGTTTTCTTTGCCCTGGAGATATATCCATATACATATTGCAATGTGAGATGCCTGAGATTTTGATGCCTATAGCTTCCCCTAAGACTTTTATGATTTCACATCTTACATTTAAGACTTTTATCCATTTTGAGTTTACTCTTGTGTATAGTCTAAATTGGTGGTCTAGTTTCATTTTTTTTTCATGTACATGTCCTATTTTTTCCAACACCATTTATTGAAGAGACTCTCCTTAGTCCATTGCATACTCTTGCCTCCTCTGTCAAATTTTAATTGAGTAAAATGGCTTGAAGGAAAAGTTTTGTTAAACTTAATAAATTTATTATTAAATAAAAATAGTCATTCCTATAGAGATGTTCTAAATACAGATGTTTTGCTTAGTTTATAATAGTTAAAGAGAACACTGGTGAAAAAGAGGAGAAAATAAAATGTTGTTTTGCATCCCAGTGTTCTCCAGAGAATATTGTATGTAGCACATTTATTCTAGATTATCTGCCATCCATAAACAACAGACATAGCATTTTTAGTTTTCTGAATGATTAAATACATTCAAAGTGCTTACTGTATAGATGGCAAAACATGGATGGAAAATGAGGCTAGAGAGTATCTTTGATGGAGTCCAGGGAAGACAGATGGGAGAGAAGACTGACCAATCCCTGTCCAAAACTATAACTCATACCCTGAATAAATGGTCCTTCCCACCATGGAAAACAATAGAGAGTTTCCTCAAAAATTTAAAAATGGAACTCCCATTTGACCCCGTGATTCCACTTTTAGGAATATATCCTAAGAGACCGGAAACACCAGACAGAATGAATATATGTACCCCTATGTTCTTAGCAGCAAATTTACTGGGACTATACATTTAGAAAAATAACAGATGATTTTTGTTTTTCATACTTTATCCTACCTTAGAATGTCTTTGGCTAATAGTGGTCCTGAGGTACCTTTGATCACAGCCTATTGATAAAAAGCACTTGGTTGTCAGTTTTCTATCTCAGGCATATTTCATCCCCAGCTATCTCATTTGCTCCTGTAATGTCTGTTCTCTCCAATTTCCAGGGTAAGACTAAATTACTTGGAATAAGACAGTCTTGGGCTTGCATCCCAACTCAACAACTTTACAGCTACCTACCACTGCGAAGATTTTGGGACTTCACATATCTTCTTCACATGTTAAGGTGACGTTGATGATCCTCTTCTGAGGACTGCATTTGGTAAGGCAGGTAGAGATCCCTTTCTTTGAGTGCGGGGATCTCTACACACAGAGTGTGCTCATTGAACATTGGTTGAGTTAAAGTGATTTAGTGTACGGGAAAGACACATTATTTTAGCACCTGAACATATTTTCCCATATATATGCTCCATCCTCAGGGATTCTTCTGCCTTATAGGAAGTATCTTTAAACAGGTGTATACACCCGTTTAAAAGGTTTAACTACTATGATTTAATTGCAATCCTTAATTTCTCTAGTTTGAGGTAAACTAGTCAATTAATACCTTATTGGAAATGACTAAATTCCCTGGTAACCATTTTGACAACAGCAGTATAAATTATTATTTTAGAAAGTTTCCCAATAGAGAAAAAAAATGGAAAATATTATCTAATTAGGTAATATTGAGAAGTTCACAAATTGGTCCATCATTGTTCTTGTTCTCCTCTGCTACCTAGAAGAAATATATTAAAATGTAAATGGTCCTTTCCATTATTCAGAATTAGAGTTGGAGGAAATCTCCAATATGATTCTATCCAGCTCCTTCCCCAATATGGGAACATACACTCTCTGAGGGGAGAGTATTCAGGCCCACTTCGTTATGTGTAGTTAAGGTTTATTATTATCCATACCATATCTAGTCTGTACATCTGGTGTTTGTGTACATATTCCTTAAAAATAAGGATCAGAAATACTGTGTGGACATGATGTGAAGATGAAGAATAGCAGAAACATGGCAACAACTACCTTCCCTCAGCAATGACCACCACCACCCCTATTTGCTAGCTACTCATCTCATCTTCCTTGTATTGTCAGATTTTGGTTTTGGGAAGATATTTTGATTGTCCTATGATGTGGCTGTAATTCTAACTGTGACAAGGGTCTACCTCACTCCTGAACTGGAAACCATGCCCTGATAATCTCTTGACACATGATAATCTCTTTAAATGTAATGAAAAGACATCATGCCTTCTCTAATGTTATAATTTTGAGGGTTAAATCCAAGATGCTTGGATTTCTTTTCAAATATGTGATTTTTACCCTTCATGCAGACCCACCAACAACCTCCTCTTCTTCAAAGTCCACCTGAACATGTGGTGCTCAGAAAGGAACACTTACTCCATTCGAGATCTGACTTGCTCAGACTGAAAGGGGAGATTACTTGATCCAGACATAATTCTGCTAATTCCAGCTAAGACTACATTTATTCATTTGATGACTACATCACTCAGTTGGCTCGGAGAGACGTTTTAATTGACTTCAAACACTGAAGTCGGCCTGTCCCACACCACCTTCTCACATACTCATAAGAACTCCCTTTAAGTCCCAAGTCCTCAGCCTGTCCTTCCACAGCTAATTTTTAAAATCTAAAGTCAAGCACCAGACTTTTAAATATGCTCCACTTGTTAGTGCTGGCCCATCAGTTAAGTCTGCCAACATATATTGAACTCTGATTCTCTAATTCAGCACACTGCTAGCTTTCTCATTTTTTATATTTGTAAATTTTATGAACTTATTTTCTTTTTAGTCCATACAGTGAAAGAAATACAAGTCCAATTACAAAGTGTAATGGCATAAAATAAAAATCTGAGTTTTGTATAATCATACATTGATTCGTGGATTTAATTTTTGTTCAATCCTGTGGCGTAGGTATTTTTAGCCTCATTATATGAGAGGAAGCTGAAGATCAGGACTAACTTGCAAAGGGCCATGTAGCTGGTAGATTAAAGAGCTGAGACTAAAAGTTCTTTGATTTCAAAGTTATATGTCTTTTTTGTTCTATGTCTAGTCCTCTTCTTGATATAGCTATTTGTGTACAAAGGTATGTTGATTCTCATTTTAAAAAACATATTCAGATAAATGGTAACTATATATACACTTACAAATAAAGATAATGTATTACAAAATTATTTATATCATTGTCAATCAAAACTCCACTTGGAGTCTGTTAGGTAGAGACTACTCACTGCACTGGCATCAGAACTGGGAATTCACTGTATAGCTGCATAGTTTTTTTCATGCTTTACAAATGCACATCTAACACTGAAATCCCCAAAATGCCTTTAGGCAGTTCTGAGAATATGAAAGCTCCTGTTGAGGTGACTCATGATAGCAAATATAGGCATCTGGTTGTGTTGAATTCACACAGCAAGAGACAGACGTGGGCATGTTCTACAACTTGGTTTGCTTTTGCTGTGAATTCTGAAACAAAAAGTTCTTCCAAAAAGATTGTTTATATTCACTGGAGAAGAGAAAACATGCAGCATGTTTGCAGACCCTCTCCCAAACCAGGAAAAAAAGTAGTTGAAGTGTTTCAGTACTTTTGTGGATGGCTTGTTTCTATCACTATAAGTAAGTTACATAGAGAAATTATAACTCCTCTGTAAGTTGAGAAAAGAATTTTGCATTTCTAGTCACTATAATCTAAAAGTACCCTTCTTTATTAATATAAGAGCAACCATATTTTAACTGCAACGATAATTCCAAAAAGGTACAGGATGATTTACATTCACCTCTTTTATTAATACATAAGTTTACCCTTATTAAAGTATTAAAATAATAAGGGGAGAGGGGGACTGGGAGATAATGTGAGCACTGAAAACTAAAAATAATTTCTATTCATAGGAGACAATAAACAGCAATGTGTCCTGAAAGCTGTGGTACATTTACACTATTTGACCATAAAAAGGAAGAAAATTTTACCTTTTGGAACTACATGGATGTACCTGAGAACATGTTGCTAAGTGAAATAAGCAAGTCAGAGAAAAGACAAGTACCATATGACTTCACTTATATGTGGAATCTGATGAACAAACTAAACCGACAAAGAAAACAGAGGCAGAGTCATAGAGAGCAAGCAGACAACTCTCAGGGGGCTGTAAAGGGATTGAGCAAAAATTTTTAAAAAATAGAAAAAAATTCATGGACATGGACAGCAGTATGATGATTGGGGTTTTGGTGGGGGTGCAGATAGAGGGGGCATAGAGGAGATAAATGGTGATGGAAAAAATAAAGGGAAATACAAAGGAAAAAATCAGTCAACCATATTTCCAAATATCTCTTAAATTTGCATGATTTGCAGAAAAGATCACTTGTAAAATTTACTCAATTTTAAATGTAAGTATTGTAAGATAAATATTTTATATTCACATGTAACATTTTTTATTCAATTTTGAGAATTGAACACAATATTTTTGTCTCATTAGATTTGTAATTTTATAAGATCAGAAACATTTCTGTTATGAATTTTATTTTGAAGTGCTTTGTCCAGGAAATAATTGTTTGCAGTTACTGTGTTTGTGTATTGAAAGTTAATTGAGCAACTTGGACAGCAGAACTTTGTTAAATTCCCAGTCCTAGCATGTAGTACAAATGATGTACCTGTATTATCATAACATCTAAAGAAAAGTAGGTGTCACAGGTTGAGTAAATCAACATTTACCTTGTGTTTTCACTGGATCTGATATCTGGCTGGGATCACTAATTCCATATGCATTCGCTGCCCTCACAAGGAAAAGGTAAATTGCATTAGGTTTGAGTCCTTTAATGGCAAAAGTTTCTGTTTTCACATTCTCTGCTACCGTCTGCCAACTGCTACCAGATGCATGGCTAAGGAGAGAGACATGAGTTAGAACTTAACATATTTAGTGGTAACTCCCAAGAAAGGACTACTAAGAAACATCATTTTCACTCTACCTGAAAGCTTCTAGAATATAAGATGTTGGAGTTGCACCTGAATTCAAGTTTGGTTGCCATGACAACGTTACTGTATTTCTACTGACATCTATAACTTCAGGTTTGGAGGGAGCACTAGGGATTAAGTTTGGGTCGGTGGGTCTGGGAGGCTGAACTGGAACTCCAAATTCTACCAAAGGGGAAAAAGACAAAAGATGTTTGCACACGCACAGATAAGTACATAAACAAATGTAGGTCACCTATCCACCCACCCAGGCATCAGGATCCACTTTATCTATTTACCAATTAGTAAACAACTGCATCTGAAGCTTTATTTTAAGGTAAAACAGTATCTAATTTACCTTGGACTTCAATATAAGCACTCCATGTTGCTTCACCACTTGGGGTGGTTGCGATGCAGGTGTAGCGACCAGTGTCACCCAGCTGAGAAGACAGATGGAAAACAAATATTTGGAACAATCACGAGCTCAGTGGGCTGGAAAACCAATTATACGGTTTGTATATGGCCCAAGAATATGGATAACTGCATTGAAATTCACTAACCAAAAACTACCTCCTCATTGATTACATTTTTATTGAATGTGAAGGAAAATATAGCAGACATAATATATTTTATAGTTATTTTGGTTATATAATAAAAATAATTGAATAGTTTTTTTTACAGTATTAGTGACAATAAAGAATTCAAAGGGTTAATCTTGATTACTAAATCATATCTTTACTGGAGGCCCAATCACAAAATTCGTGCAAGAGTAGGCTTTCCTTCCCAGGGCTGCCAGCACGGCTTCCCTCTGGCACCCAGGATTCGGGGTTCCCTCACAGCCCAGCTTCATCCAGAAGGTCCTCTGGAAGGACAACCGGAAGGATGTCCAGTCTAATTAGCATATTATACTTTCATTATTATAGACCAGAAGCTCAACGCATGAAATTCATGCAAGGCGATTGGCCCTTGCAGCAGTGGCAACTTGCCTTAACCCTCGCAGCCCTGGCTTCGTCTGGAAGGTTTTCCGGAAGGACATCCAGAAAGCCCCTTGGCTGTCCAGTCTAATCAGCATATTACTTTTATTATTATGGATATTTAGTAAGTCACATAATGAGGCTGATGAAGTTTAGTCAATTACTATTCTTATTTCATATTTTATCAGTGTTACAATTATACTTATATCTGAGATAAACAGGTATTTTTGAAAAAACGATGGCTATAAAATGAGTTGTTCTTATTTACTCCTTTCCCACAATTTAAAAACCTGTAATTCAAGGCAGTTTAATAAGTGTGAAGCTAAACCCTGGCTGGAACGATCACTCTCTCTCTCACTTCTGAAGACTGAGTGCTGGAATACAGCTCACATGTCCAACTTTAAATTCCTCAACATCATGATGCCCCCACGCCTCTGCTTAATGTAATTGCTCCATCTTCAGGTAATGTTGGATAAAGCAAGAATGCTGTCATCTTGCTCTGGTGATTACAATTACACAGATACAGTATTTTCCACAAAGTATAACATATTCTCTTTTGGAGCACATAAAATGAACTGTTAAAGCAGATCCAAAACTCCAAAGAAGCCACCTATAGTAGGCAATAAAGCAATTGAAATTTATGTTTATTGCTGACGAGGCTGATCTTTCATATGCCTCATAAGCTTGTCTGAACTTGACCTAAAAGAAAAAGAACACAGCCCTGAAGGAACAGGTATGGATGTGATGCCCTGGGAAAGTAAATCCTTAAATTGTTCCCACAAACCTGTGGGCTTTTCACCACAGGTTTAGCATTCTGATTTAAATGTGCACTCTATGGTGTGTACATTGCTTTATTGTTTCAGTTTGCATATATAGCAATCTGTAATTGCAAAATGCTGAACCAAATATTCACAATAGGAGAACTGTTCAAGTATGTTGCATGCAAAATGGTTCTGGAAAGTATCTTTGAAAAAAGGCTTTATGGAATGAATGACTGCTTCACAATACTATTTAGAGAATATTTTTCTCCCACAAATTCTCATTTATTTTCCTCAATAGGTCTCAAAAATATTTTTTCTCCTCCATCTAAAACCTTAAATTATTTGCCATGGGCTAAATTATGAGTCAAATCATCTTAAATATACACAGTGGAATGTCTGAAAGAATAAAGCATCCAATTTAAAGTATATTAATATGTTATTTGGCATTTCATTAATTCTAAAACTGGAGACTTCAAAACTAGTTGCTGGAGGCAAAAACAAAGTGAAACAAAATGGGAAACCCAGGGTGTCATTTCAAGTTACCTTCGCATATCGGATCTGCAGAACTCCAGTCTCAAGCTGTTTAATTCGAGAATCTTGGGTTGAAACAAGAACCCCATCCTTTCTCCACAGAATTGTGGGCACTGGACTGCCTGTGGCCACACAGCTGAGCGCTAAGGTACCATCCACTGCTACCGTCTGATTCACAGGACCTTGTCGAATGACTGGGGGAGGTCGGTCTGCAATCACTGCCGGAAGAAACAACAGGAAATATATTTCTGCAACTGCAAGCAATTTTCTAACCATGGAAGCAACAGCAGTTGCTCTAGGCTTTGAAACAAGTAATTAAACAAGTAATTAAAGTAAGAGACATGCATTATTCAGAATGCATTTGTATGATGCACTGATTCAGAATATTAAAATGAGATAAAATGTATTCCAACTGACTGACTGCATTTGTATGATGCACTGATTCAGAATATTAAAATGTGATAAAATGTATTCCAACAAATAACCAACTGACTGAGTTTGCTACATTGTTAAGGGTCCTACTTAAGAGTTCAGGGACTAACTAAGGATTGTGGGTAGTGAAGTAGATGTACAGTAATGAGAAGTGGAATGCTGTACTTTTTAAACTTTAAAATATGTAAAAAATAAAAAACAACAATAACAGAACAAACATTTACCCCCCAAAAAAACTTATGAGAGAAATTTTCATAAATGAACCAAAGCCAACTTGATATTTGATAATTGTTTTGTGTCACATAGGAAAAAAAATGATTGTATCATACCAGCATATTTGACAGTTTTAGACTCAAAAAGGTATTTGGATTTTCATAATTTATAAGTCAATATGGTTGAGCTTCCTTCATCTTGGAATTCTTTCTGTTAAAATAACATGTGGGTAAAAATTTCCCAATACTAATGAAATGAGAGAAACTGAAAAACTTCCCAACTGTATTGCTGGTAGGTAATCCAAAAATATTACTCAAGTTGATGTCCTGTCCTAGGCAATATCAAATTTCCATATTAAGATGATAGGAATGGGAAAATACTTTTGCCAATTCTATTATCTCAACAGTTTTAATTTAGTATAGAAGGAAACAGTGGGAGCCATTTTTATAATTTATAAATGAAAGTATTATCCTACTTAAAACCTAAACATATTACCTGAGATAATAAGAATTAAAAATTGCTTAATAAAATTTGTGCATAAGCTTTAAAATTCTAAATATCAGTTTAAAAACTATAAAAGTTACAAATATACAGAAGACAATTTTACAAAATTGCCTGATTAGCGGAAACTGGTTTCCAGAGTAACTAAATTTCGGATGCAATGATTTGTAAAGCTGGATGTGTCATGTTCCAAGTTTTCTGAACCAAAGATTTTCACAAGCTGGGGTCATACTTCAATTTGTTCCTCATTTATCATGCAATGATGATTAGTTTTGTGCATTCAAACTGAGAAAAACAAGCAATCAAAGGAGTGAAGCCAGCAACTGTGGATTTTTACTCCATCCTTCCAATTCCCTTTCATTGTTGGTTACTGGTGTGGAATTCATTAATACCAGTGGTGGTGGATTAGAAGGCTGGAGTTTAAAATTTGGCAGGAGTGTTTCAGATATTCCATGGATGAAAAATATAAGCTAATAATTCCTTTGTTTAGAATTATTTAATCTTTCTACTTTATCTGTTGAGTTGGCTAAAGTCAAATCAGAGGCCCTCCTGATAAGTATGAAAAAATAATGAATGTGTTTCATTGCATTTAGATTTTTATAAGACTGCCAAATGTGTTCTATTGATTATAAGAATAAGTGAATGTTATTTCTAGGAATTAATTAAATTTGCAACAGAGCACTTCTTTACCCCTGATTAGAATTAATCAGTTACAGAGTAGTTTATGTTTGGTAGTCTGATAATTTAGAAACAATCCAATGATTAAGTCAATATCCCATACCTTTACAGTTCTTTGATATTTGCATATTTAGCATCTGCACCTCCTTACCTTATCCCAATACAATTTAATGATACTATTTCTGTGGCATTTATTTTTTTCCTGGTTTGCATTGGGCAGTTTACAAAAATAAAGGGAGAAAAGAGGAGGAGGGTCCATTATCAGTTCTACTATCTACCTATGCTTTTGGGCAAGTTCCTTAAATTCTCAAAGCCTCCTTTAAAAAAAAAATCTGTAAATATAATAATATTTGAGGGCAATAATACTTGTTCTAACCATCTCAGAGGTAAGCTATGAAGATTTAAATAGAATAGTAGATGTGAAAATGCTTTGATAATTGCAGAAAGCTAGTCATATATGAACTGACACATTACCACTAAAATTTTCTGGGGAAAAAATGCAAATCAGAGCTAAATGCGTTTAATAAAGCAATTTCACATTTTTTGATAGAAAAAAAATTGAAACATTTTGGTGTTGACACAGATTAGAATAAAATACTGATGAAATATCTAAATTTACTCAAAGAAACTTAGTCCATTTATGAGTCAAAACTAACCTTAGGATTCATGAGATACTAGTAAACCTCAAATTAAGGTTCTAATATTTTACATTAAGATTATTAGAATGAATATATCAGGCTGAAAGTTTAAAAGAACAGAAATAACTTTTAACAAAGTAAGGAAGTGCATAGACTTTGGAGTTAGAAGATGAAGCTCTGTAACATGAAAAAATGTCTATCTCTGCCACACAATACAGAAGCAAGACTTCAAAGCACCTGAGTATGGTCAGTGTGACTGAAGTCCTGGGTGTGTAATTTTATTTTATTTTAAGCAATTTAAATTCCAATTTAAACAGCCTCACATGGCAAGTGGCTACCACTTGGACAGTGTAAAATGTTGTGTTAAGTCTCAGTTCTGTTGCTTGTTATCTGTATGATGTGGGCATACCTTTTCTCAGCCTCCTTTTCCTCATCTGTAAAAAGAGATGGGTTCACATTTGAACTTGTTGATATGTGAGAAGTCCTTAGCCTTGTGCACAGCACAAAGAAAGACTGAATAACTGCAACTTTTTGTTATCAGTAGAGTGGCAACAGTGTTGGCATAAGCAGCGTGACAGGTGGTGTAACCTGGTCACAGCAGAGTTTATAAAAGTTTACCTATCTTTTCTCCACATTCAATAAAAGATTTAAAGACCCTAAAAAATGAGGGGATATCATTGGGTTAATATTTTCTCACCTCAAAATAATGATCATGAAGACAATGTCAATACATATAAATATATCTACAAAATATTTTAAGTGGATAATAATACAAAATACCAAGCAAACACTGACTGGTTTAAATATGAGAAGTTCACATTTATACACTAAAAAAATATCAGTTATAGTATGTCACAATTGCTCAGTTTGCAAACATATCTCACAAATCCATAATTTAGGCTGTAAAAAATTATGCCATTTAGGAATTGGGGACCTGAAACTTTCAAAGTGCAAGTGATTTGTCCAAATTAAATATTAATTGGCAAATCTCACTTGTTAAAATTAAAGTTAACCCACTTCCCACTGTATATTAATAACTTTTGAGTGTTAAATGCAGAAGATTTTAAATTACTCACATAATTTAATATCAAATATATTTTCTTACATTCTAGTAATAAAGAGAAGAAATATTTTAATTAAATTGGTGACATGAATTTCTATTTTCCTGAGTCAAATGGTACTTGCAGTAGGTCACAAGTACACAGAAAGCAACAGTACAAGAGCAGTGGCTACTCCATTTTTTGCGCCTTATGTTTTACTCTGCTGTTGCCTTTGTGTTTTGTAAACAATAAATAAAAAAATTTTAAAAGCCAAAGTTAAATAGTATTCAGAAAGTATTCTGCCTACTAGCCTTTGCTCTTGACTTGACTTGGTAAAATATAAATACTGATATTGTCAACACTCGAGGTAGTTATAGCTTACTTATGAAGAATGAATCCATAGGTTTGTATATAGAATCAATGAACTCTGAAATAAAGAAAACAAAACTAAAAGTACAATTTTACTATGGCAAAACAAAATCATCTTATATCTTTCCAGGGATTATAAGGTGAAACAGGAATGGTAGGAGTGAATTCTTACTAGGGATAAATCACAAATCCACAAATTTAGTTTTGTTTTTGCCTTAATTTAGCAAAAGTTGCTATCTCTGATCTATTTTCACTAATATAAGAATTCATGATAATGCCATGCCAGATGGCACATAGGAAGCTTTGATTTCAAATTATTAATTATGAGACTAAGGAGAGATACTTAAAGCTATGTTACCATAGTTTTTTGTTTTTGTTTTTGTTTTTTATGAGGGGGGCCTCTTTTCATGAATACAAGTTGCTTTATAGAGTTGAAATTATAAATGTATGTGGAATTTTATGTTGTATTTTTTCTGCATATTGATTATATTGATCTTTGTCAAATTCATTTGGATGGTCTTCACAATCATTATTTAATATCTGTTCTTAATGTAAGAAATTTAAAAAATAACTTTTTAGGTTATTCTACCTTATTTGAGCCAATACATCTATATACATAAAAAGGAAGTGACCGTGATGACTGAAACAACTGGTTGACCAAATAGCAGGCTGCATGGGGCAACCAGGCTGGCAGGGGAGGGAGGTTAGTGTTTACCAGGCCGGGCAGGGGGGCGGGGGCAATTGGGGGTGACCAGGCTGGCAGAGGGAGCAGTGAGGGGCAACCAGGCCAGTGGAAGGGCAGTTGGAGGTGTCCAGGCTGGCAGGGAGGGCAGGGAGGGGTAACCAGGCCAGCAGAGGGGTAGGGGCACTTAGGGGCAACCAGGCAGGCAGGCAGGTGAGCAATTAGGAGTAGGTGATATAGGACTATGAGAGGGATTGGGTCTAAACCAGCAGTCGGATATCCCCTGAGGGGTCCTGGATTGGAGAGGATGAGTCTGAGCTGAGGGGACCCCCACCCATGTACGAATTTCATGCACCAGGCCTCTAGTCTCTCTATATAAAAAGCTATTGTGTTACGTGTTCGACTGGTTGCTATGACATGCACTGTCCACCAGAAGACAGACAGACCATGCAGGAGCTACCAAGCTGCAGTGATGTGGCAGCAGCGGTTCTCAGGTGACGCACCCCAAAACCAGAGAGAAGGGAGCCCAGTTTCTCACGGGGCCATGGGATTCCAACTTCAGACATGGGTTCTGTTGTTACTGGGGCACTATTTGCCCCAAATCTGTTTTACTGCACACTTGTGCTGGCAATCCACACCCTGTATGACAGCAACCTTGCAGTGTCCTCTCGCATTCTGGGATCCCGCAGGGGATTTTGGAGATCCAGTTTTGGCCCGATCCCTACAGGCCAGGTCGAGGGACTCCACCTGCCGGAGGGACCCCGTTCACTCCGCAAGAAGCCTGGGAGGGACCACTGAAGGCTGGCTCCTGGGCGTGTCTAGCCCATCTCTCACAGTCCTGCCCATTTGACCACTTGTAATGAATTTCCTTTCGATGTGCACGAATCTATACACCGGGTCACTCGTACATTATATGTATCATAGACAGTGGTAGGAGTTTAGATTTTAAATGACATAATCCTAATTTTGAGTCTGACTTAACCAATAGCGAGGTGTTCACTTCTTTTTTATTTGCTTCTTCCATTCATGCAAAAAATATCTCAAAATCTATCATGTGTCATACTTTGGAGGTTACGGGATATATTTAATTTTATTAGGTAAACATGGGCCCTGCTCTCAAGGAACTTATTGTCTAATGAACATTATAGGAAAATAAATAGGGAAAGTACAGAATATGGTGATAGATGATAGATAGATAGGTAGATAGATAGATAAATAGCAGCAGTGAGGGCATTGTACCCATACTTGAGGATTTAATGAATGCTTTTTGACGGAATTGAAATTTCATGTCAGTATAAACAGCATGCACATAAACGTTAAAACAAAGGAAAAACTCAGCAAATAAAATAAAACTGGGGTATGTGAGCAACACAGTATCTATAGATAAGCCTGTAAAGGTGAGATTATGAATTGTAAAGCATATTAAGGAATATAAACTTTATCCTGAGTGTACTGGGAAACAAAATAATAAAATTAATGTATTAAAATTATTTCAGAATCTTTTTTAATTTCAGGATATTTATAAAATTCTAACTACTTATGGATAAAATAATAAATACTTTTCCCTTTGAAGTTAGGATTAAAAGAATATATCTACTATCACCAATTTTACTAATTATATTGATGGTCACACACCATGCCCAACAAATAAAAGAAATAAAAGGTATAAAATATATAAATATTGGAAAGAAATAAAATTGATTTTCTTGATAGTTGACATTTTTTGCTCATAGACATTTCAAAATAATCTACCTATAAACAATTAGAAAAAATGAGTGGATTTAGTAAAGTTGCTGGATACAGACTAAATATACAAAGTCAACTGTACATTTTACTTTAAACAATAACATAATGAAATTTAATATCTATACCTGCAATCTTATAAAAAGTTATAAAAATCATAGATATAAATCTGCCAAAATATGTGAAAGATGTCCATCTTAAAATATAAAATATTGTGAGAAATTTAAAGATCTATCTAAATTGAATACACCAGTTCCCTAATTTAAAAGACTCAGACTATTAAAATGTTAATTTCCTTTAAGTTGTTCCATGATTTAAGTGGAATGAAAATTACTTAAAACTCAGATTTGTTTGTTTGTTAGGATATGTGTGAGTAGATGGAGAGAAACGGAAAAGCTGTCTTTAAAGCTTATGGGGAAATGCAGAGGGCCTCTACTAGCCAGCCCAAAACAAGAAAACAAAGTGGGAGACTTACACTACCAGTTTGTAAAACATAATATAAAGCTATATTTATTAAGACCATATATATGGTCATAAAGTGACCAACGGAACAGAATAGAGAGAACAGAAGTAGGCCACACATTACTGTTCATCTGAATTATGATTAAGAACCCACTGGGATTCAGTGGGGAAAGGACAGTCTTTTCAAAAGATGATAATGGAACAGTTAATATCTATCTAGGGGAAATTAATTTTCCCCTTATTTTATACTATACACACAAATTAATTTAAGATGGATTAAATATTAAATTTCAAAAGTACAGAGAATAAAGCATCCAGAAAAAAAAAAAAAACTTAGGAGAACATTCTCATGGACTCAAGATAGGACAGGAAAGTAAAAGCAACAAGTACAAAATAAAAAATAATACTTTGGTCCTTATTAAAATTTGTTACTTTAGCACTGAAATCATCATTTAAAGAATTAATAGGAAGAAATATTTATAATACGTGTACTATGAGAAAAAGTAAAAGTAGAGAAATGATTACATGAATCCACCAAAGGCAAACTAAGAGAATTGAGTTCACATGTCCACTAATAGAACTGCACAGGTATTGTTAGCTTTATTAATAAAAGCCCTAAACTGAAAACAATCCATCAATAGGAAAATACAGAAGTAAAATCTGAGCTATATATGCAATGGAATACTACACACCAACAAAAGTACATATGTACATCCTATATAATAAAAGCGTAATATGCAAATCGACCAAATGGCAGAACCACCTTTCAGCGGGGGTTGGGGCCAGCAAGCAGGAGGCACCAGGTCAGTGTGCCAGTGGACAGAAGGGAGGGGATGGCGATCGGGAGGCAGTGGTGACCAACGGTGACAAAGGGACAATCAGGGATTGGGGGGCCAGGCTGGTCAGCCATCCCCTGATCACCTGCCCGGTTGCCTCCTGCAGAGGGAGGCCGGCCTGCAGGGAGTAGGCCTACGCTATCAGTTGAACATCCCCTGAGGGCTCCCAGACTGAGAGAGGGCTCAGGCTGGACTGAGGGACCCCCCTGAATGCACAAATTTTCATGCACTGGGCCTCTAGAATACATATATTTTTATATACTTACTTGTATATTCTTTTTTTCAAGTTATTACTATTACTAGAGGGGTGGGGCAGCCAGAAGGAGAGGCTGCAGGCAGTTGGCAGGATGGCACCGCCCCTGGTCGAATTCCTAGTGGAATTCCCAGTCGGACAATTTGCATATTAGCCTTTTATTATATAGGAGGATTATCCATCTAATGGTTTGGAGATTACCTCCATCACTGTGTCTTTATAATGTATTTGCCATTAATTGATCATGTTTGGGGAAGTTAAGAAACAGGACAAAAATCATATAATTAAAAAAAAAATGTTCATTATCGTAAGTTGTGAGTAAAATTTAACAATAATTCTCTTATCTCCTAAACTTGGAGGAAAGCGAAAGGATGGATTAAAAGAGATTTTAAAAATTATATATTTTTTCCCAAACTTGGCAACATTCCTATGTATAGCTATTTAGTACAATTTTTTCTTGGCATAGCTGCCATGCTTTTATGAATCTGACAGTGCTAGAAATTTATATTAAGGATAATTTAAGACTTAATCATTGTATTACCATCCTCTTTAGCTTTATACAAACATTGATGTAAGGATACAAAGTTGAAAATAAATACTTTTACTGGCATTCCCATTAGACCCTAAGTGAAACGTGGACATTTTGAAATAAATGCTCTACTTTACCATCGGTAACTTCCAAATATGCTTTTGTGATGATACTTCCGGCAACATTTAAAGTCTGGCAGATATAATAACCAACATCAGATCGCTGGACATTAGTAATAGTGAGGTCACCAGTCTGGGAGACTGAAAAACGGCTGGATGACTGTGGTGGCTGATATGAAAACAGTAGATTCTAGAACCCACAATTTGGGGAGGGGGGGAGAATAACCATAGATTAATTGCTGTGCTCCAATAATTTGCATATATATATTTATAAATAGATAAACACACAAACATAAAATACACACACACACAAGCAAGCTAAATATTCTTTTATCCCATGCTCACATATATAGATGTGCACATCCATATACACACAAATACAGAGTTTAATTATCTAATCTTAAAAAGGATTATCAAAAATTCTAAATATTGATATATGTTTTTATAATTATTAGTTTCCAACAATACTAGATATAAAAGGATATTAGGTATCATTAGAGTTAAAAGTTTTACATATTCAACCAAGGCAGAGTCAAAAGCTATTTCATATATATATGACTATTAGGATTATAAACATATTTTTTAATTATATACAGTAAACAAAATGAAAATTTAAGCATAATTCTGACAAGTTCAAGAACATCATGTTAGCACCATAACAAATATCTCTGCTAGCCTTCCATTATATTATAAAAGTTCAATAGCCTCTATAAAATTGTTAATAATTTCTTTTTTATCTTGCTGAAAGGTGACCACATAATGAATATAAGAATTCATAATGGCACTTTATTTCTGTAAAGTTATTGTAAACACAAATTAGAGACAAAATGTGATGTTATTTTTGTAGTACAAATTTGTACTATGAGTTGAAATGTAATGTTTGTCAGAGGCAGTGACTATTTTATGCAAAATTACATATCTTGTTATTGTTTCATTCATGAAATAAAATATATCAACGTTTCTTCTAACAAAAGAAAGTTACTTCTTTTTCAAAATTTAGTTGCCTTTTAATATACATCAACTCATAGAGACTTAACTACTATTCCATGATATATCTCCAATAAAAATTTTCTTAAAAATAAGATATATTGCCCTGGCTGGTGTGGCTCAGTTGAGTGAGTGTCATCCCATACACCAAAGAGCTGTTGGTTTGATTCTCAGTCAGGGCACATGCCCGAGTTGCAGGTTCAGTCCCCAGTAGGGGGAATATGTGAGGCAGCCAATTAATGATTTTTTCACTTCCTCATTATTGTTTTTCTCTCTCCCACCCTCCTCCTTCCTCTCTCAAAAAATCAATAAAAATAAATAAATTGTATCATTAAACCAAACAAAATCAAATTAAAATTATCTTGAAATTTGATGTAAAATTTAAATATCTTAAGGAATAATTTATTTACATAATTAAATGAATTGCTAAATGTTACTTTATTAAGAACTTCTAGTAGAAGTTCTAGAAGGAACTAGTAGATTTATTAGTATTGCTACACAAAATTTCTTATATAATATACTTCCAGTTCTTCCTGTTGTATTATACTAAAATACTTTGTTTTTTCTTGTCTGTCAGCAAACTTAGTCTTTTGAGGCATAATGGAATGTGTTAGAATCAACCAAGTTACTAGAACTGGAATGATGTCCTACTTACCATAATCAAGTTAATATTTGCTTACCACAGGACAAACAATGGTAAACTTGCTGTTACTGCCTACAGAAGATGACTGAGTACAGTGAGGAAACTACTTTTATGTTATTTAGCACAGTATAAGCAAGACCATGAAACAACACACCCATGAGTGATTTAAGCAAAAAATGAAAGAGGTTAGGAATATATATATATGCATTAAAAATGAGTGAGAACCCTTTTTTTTTTTTCTTTTTTTTTTTTACCAGTATCAGAAACAAAAGGGGAAAATGTCCCTTTATTGAATAAGGCAAGTTATTAAGAGATAAGAATAAAAGAGTTACACTTTAAAAGCTATTTTATTTTAAAGTTTCCTATTATTTTAAAAGTAAAATTGTTTCAAAATTTCCTTTTCATTATACTGAAGTCCAATAGTTAACTTAGAGTCTGTAAGGACATACATCTCTACATCATAGTTTCAGGGTATATAGAAAATTATGATTTATAAAATGTTTCTCGGGGAAAGGGAGGGAGGAAGAGACTGAACATAAACTGTGCACCTATGGATGAGGACAATGGAGGGAGGGGAGGGGGTGGATGGTGGGGTGGGAACCTGGTGGAGGGGAGAAGAAATGAGGAACCTTTGTAATAATATGAACAATAAAGATTGATTTAAAAAAATAAATAAATAAAAATGTTTAGATAGTATGATTTGATAGTAAGTGCTGATCACATAGGAGTTTTCTAAGAATTAGAATATACTGAGCTATATTTAGCATGCATGATATCTATGTTAAAGAAAATTCCATACTGTTTGATTAAATTTTAATTGATATATAAAAGAAGTGAATAAGACATTTCTAATTGCTGGTGCTTTCAGAGATATTGCACTAAATAATTGTCATCACTGTTTTAAATGTGTATAAATATTTAACATATAATTATAGATATTTGCATAACAGAAATTATAACTAATTATGTTAAGAAGAACATTTTTAATGTTGCTGAATTATAAATAAAAGTAAATTTTATATAATAAAACAATTACTATTCTATATACCACCCTGTGTATCAGGCAGGAAAATTGCTTTGGGAATTAAAACAATGAAGAAAATTTTGTCTTCTCTCTCAATGCAAAAATTTCTATGACACTGATATTTCACAATTTCTTAAAGTGACAGCTACATGACTAAATAATGTTATACATACATACATACATGTGTGTGTATGTGTATATACACAAACACATATATTTATACATATATGTGCCTGGCACCTATTTTTGCTTATTGAAATAATAGACCAAACCCATACCTGACTCCCTTCTCTCCTCCAAAAAATAGCTGGTTGAGGATTTCCGGTTGCTTCACACTGGAAAGTTACAGTTCGCCCCAAGGCCACAACCTGGTCCCGGGGCTTCACAACAAAATGTGGAGGTTCTAAGGAAGATGAAACAAATTACACTGGATTAAAAGCATGTAGTTATTGTCTCAATTGAGAAACCTGCTGACATCCCAACTGCTGTCATCTTATACAACTTGTTAAGGACTGTAGTCCGTAATGTGCAAATTTCCATCCTTAATTCAATGGATGCTTAATTGTATATTTATAGAATGAAATAGAGTTGTTTTGTGAAGAGGTGTTGGTGTGTGTGTGTGTGTGTGTGTTTTATTACCTGACCTTCCAAGGTTAACCTTCATATTAAAAAGAGTTCTTGAACTACAATTTGAGCCCTTACATTCATTCTAACTAATCCTGAAATTTGATTGAATAACTATCTTTTCTCATTTAGAGCTGCTTCAAGGTGAATGGACTGTAATTATACACACAAGAACCTCCTGATGTAGGCAGGTCCTAAGATTACTTTAACTCAAAAGCTCCTGAAATGCTACCATGCAAATTATAACCCTTTAAGACCTTTAGTCCAATTACTTGAATAGAAATGCATTTAAAGCAATAGTAGAGTCCAATGCCTCCTTCATTTACATAGGCAAGGGCATGTTCAAACAGAATATATATGGAAATGAGGGCAAATTTGAAACATCTGCTCATCTTGACACTATAATGCTGCCAGCTTTGTCCAAACTGTTTGATTTATACAGACTTAAATGGCCACTTCATCCAGCGGTAAATAGACTGTCAGAAAATTGTCTCAGTTACATGGAGACCAAATGGCAATTGAAAACATTAGGTGTGCTGATGGAGTCACTCCTGCGGGGGTGGGGCATGCTTGTTTGGACTGTGCTCTATGCTTGGAAGAATGTGCACTGAATGTAAGTCTTTCTACCTTCTGTTTACACTTTTCACATTCATTTCTTATCAACTGTCTGAAACACCTAATTATTCTCTTCTCCTCTCAGTTCAAATTGAAGGGAATGTTTCAAGCCAGGCATTTAACAGTTTATATAGGTTAGGGTTCTTCTAATCCACTTTTTAAGACTGTTTCATTGTTTCTAACATTTTCCTTAGAAGTTCTTTTAGTTACTTACGTCAGTCACTTAAGTTACCTCTATAACAATGATATTCAGATTATTTCTACAAATGCTTCATTCTGCTCCCAAGAACCTTATTTATTTGTTAATGAAGGTGAAGATTTGAGAGGGTATTTTTCTCTAGCTAAATATTTCTCGTTAATTAATCTAAGATACAGACACAAATGTTTATAATATATTCCATCTATAAATTTTATAAGTATATATATATTAATTAATATAACTCTTCAGAAAAAGGAATATGTAAAAGAACTTAGCCGAAGATAACAGGATGGCAAAACTGAAGAAAGCAATTACATCTCATAATTTCTTCTATACTCTCTTTTTATTTTTAATTGAGGTTTAGTAGAAATTATACCATTTGGTTAGAAAATTACAGGACACCAAAAAATCAGGTCAAATGCCTTCAAATGTTTTATAACTTATAGGGAAGAAAATACAAAGTTAGAAGATACAGCTTAGGTTCAATTTGGTAACACTCAAGTTCTAGCTTATAATTTTTTAAAACTCTGATTGTAATTGAATGGTTTACTCATGAATTTAACTAACACTGTCATTATCCAGGTATAATAAGCATGGCCATCATCGCATGGGGACTTTCCTCCATACACATTCGTACAGGAGCATTGGATTCCTTCGTTAAGGGTTGGAGTGATTGATTGATGTAGATATCAGAGGAAAAACTGAAAGGACGGACTGGATAATAAACTAAAGCCAGAAGAGTCTATAATTTGTTTCAATAAAAAACACCAAATGATTAATTAAGTGAATGGGAGAATATAACTTTCCAATATGCAGGGAATTTGGGTAGACAAATATAAATATTTTAACCATTTAGACAAGTAAAAACTTAGGGTGGTCTTTTTCCTATTCTCAGAAGCATGTCTAATAACGTGTGCCAGAATTCACTTTTCTTTCATAAAATGCCAGCTCGCCTCCAACCTCAAAGACCTACTTGGGAACAAGGGATGCTAACTACATTTATCCTGTAGCAATCCTTCCACACAGGATATTCGACTGGAAATGAATTTATTACGCTTTATGGGTACATTTTGAGCCAACATCAACAGTGACATCAGCCACAAGATATGTCTTAGAAATAAAACAAAAAATGTACAGGGGTTAGCAAGAATAGGTTTACAGTTAATACATAAAACAGTTTAATCTTATATTATTATTTATTAATTATTGCATTATTTTCCATTCAACTATAAACCTACTTTTGCCAACCCCTCTATGGTAAGCATCAGAGGTAAATGTATCTCTAAAAATAATTTAAATAAATTAAATACACCTATGAATCCACCTTAATCAGCTATCCATTTATTATAGATTAAGAAGGCCATTCATAATATGTATCTACTTGATGTTTATAATAAAATATTAAAATATTTTCAAGGCTATAACATTTAAACTTGCTATAATAAAAAATCAAAAATCATGGTACTAATGTTATATACGGTTAGTATTGAAAATTTAAGAAATTAGACAAAGAAAAGAAGTAAAATAACCTATAATTCACCTATGCAAATTTGGCCATATTGTATTCACATGCAATTCATTTTAATGACTATTTAATAATCTATGTACAAATTACCTTAAATGATATACCCAATCCATTAGTTTTTTATTTGGATTGTTTTCAATTTTTACTATTAAAAATAGTGGTGATATTAACATCCTTCTCAATCATATTCAAAATTATTTAAACTCACACTTTCTCTGATGGGCACTTTCCTCAAAAACCTCATAGACACCGAGCATTAACATCTCAGCCAAACTGAACTTGGAATCTCTTATTAATTAGCACTTTTACATCAATTTCATTAAGCACTTATTTTCATGTTCCTTGTTGTTAAGATCCTATGTGTTGTAGACTGTCCTATGCTTATCTTTTTATTTCTAAGAACTATTTATAGACTAAGATTTTATCTACTTCTCAGATATGTTATAGATATACCTTCATATTTTGTTAAATCTTTTAAATCTGGTTAGATGTCATTGTTATTCTATCAATTATATTATATTATGTAGATTATGTAATACATAATATATAAACATTCAACTCCATTCTCATCCTGTCTTTATTTTTTATGTTCAAGTTTTAATCATCTATATTTTTGTATATAAAGTTGTATTAGAGAAAGCTGTTTTTTCAAATAGCCTATTATTGTATCACTATTATTGAACAACCCAACTTATGTGTATTAATATGAAGTGACACCTTTATAAAACTTGTGCAGCTTTTTAACTGAAAGAAAAAATAGGGAGATATTTCCTGGCATAACACTCAGCATATGCATACAAAATTCTCCAAAAATGGCATTCCTGCATCTCCTTAAAGAGTGAATGAACCTTCCCCAATGTACTGACCATGACAGTAATTAGAAACCTAAGGACTATTTATATGAGAACAAATGTTTATCAAAGCAAACTCTAATAAATTTTGGACACATCATATAGTTATTCCTTGCACAAAATGTAGTCAATTTGACAAATAGATTTGAAAATGAGTGCAAACAGCTTGAACTGCAAAGTTATTCACCAATAATACTTTTAATGACTATTATTGAACACAGTTATAAAATTTCAGATAGACAAACATGAATACATTAACATGTTTTGAACAAAAAAAAGTCCAAATTGTTTTCTGGGCACCTATTTTGGTTTATCTCATGAGATATAAATTGAAACATTAATTCAACCAAGATAAGGTCTATCATGTATTTTATCACTCAGGAGAGAAAAATAAAAGGACTCTGATCACACATAATTTAATAAGACATAAAGTTAGCAACCCATTACCTTTACTCTTTGTCAGTTACCCATACTTCCTGCAGACTTTATTCTGTGCAGTCTGTCTTTGTGGCCAATGACAAGTGAAACATGGAGGCTGATTGGTTGAAGGACATGGAAGGGTATGGATGGAAAGGGGAAGAGAAGTTCCAGTCACAGTGACACGATGATTAGAAGATGGCCAATAAAATGTCAACTTACCAGACACAACTAAAACGAAAAAAAAAAAGAAAACATGGAATAAATAAAAATAAAGAAACAGAAACGAAATAGAAAAAGTAATAAGATTTGACTTAATGATTTTTCTTTTAAAATAAAATAAAGAACACGTTAATATTTGGATGCATGGTTCATACTATCCACGAATGAGTATATTTTGTTAGCATTTTAAGTATAATCATGAATAATTTAAGAAAATTAGAAATGAATCTTAAAATCTCTTCAATGAATAGATGACAGAGCTACAGTGGATGACAGCTATAAAATTATAAAATACTTTTCAATGACCTTAAATTTTTTTTTTTTTTTTTACTAGATGACAGGATTAGGTGACTATATGTATAAAGAGGGTTTAAAAAAAAAAACCACCATAAATATTGAGAATGTTATGTAGATTATTTTGATATCAAACATCTTAATCAAAGATAAAGAAGCATTAAATACTATAACTCCATCATCAGATTATTTTGTAAAGGTTTATGCTGCCAATAATATTCTATTAAACTGTGCCTCTCATACTTGAATTAGCATACAAAATCACCCTAAGATCTGTTTAAAATACAGATTACGATTCTATAGATCAGGAGTGTGGCCTGAAATTTTATGTTTCTAAAAATCACCCAGGTGCTGTTGGCCCATGATCACAGGTTGAGAATCAAGGCTACTAAAAGGAGTTACATTTAAATTATTGCATATTTTTAATTGAGAAGACATAAAAAGAAGTGAATACATCATGAAAACATAGGAAATTTTATAACACTATCTAATAAAGTTATAATCATATATTATCTGGTTTCAATGATGAAATATCAGGTATTTTAACATATCAAGTAATACATATTTTACATACTGGAAAATTATTGTTTTGTTTCAGTCTTTTAGAAGCAATGGCAATTCCTACTGTCAAAAGTAGAATTTTTTCATAAAATCCCAGGAGACAACCACAATACATTTTATTCAGATTAATAATTCTCATTTCTGCAAGTTCAAATTAAAGAGACTTAATATATATTCCTGTAGTTTAATGAAATGAACTATCCCAAGCACTGCTGCTGTGAAATGATAAAGTTTTAAAAGAGATAAAAGTTCTTTAACCTATTGTTACCACATATACAAAATTTAAATGTAACTCAAAAACACATTTTAACTCACACTTTACCTTCAATGTGAATGAAATAACTTGTCTTTATTTTTCACTTGAAAGAAAAATACTTTAAGCATACTTTTTCACACATTCAGGCAAGAAAAGGGAAAATCTTTCTCATTTACTCAAGCATAATGTTCATAATAGAATCACTTATGCTATCCAGATTTGAAAACACAAAGTAAAACAGATTTGGTTACACTTCTTGAAACCTCAAAAATGATGTCTCTTAAATGACAAGAAGCAATACTTGGAAACTATGAGAAAGAGCCTGACAACCTGTAGCAACAGAATTTTGTTTTAAAAAAAGACCATATAAAGTTGCAGAATCATATTTTGGGATAATCTGTGAAAATACATTTGATCTAATTATATTTTTACAAATCATGCCTATTTAAAATTAAAGGATAAGAGAAATGATTCCTAAATATTTTCTAGTATATTTTCAGCAATTTAAAATTCCTTAAACATTTCAAAAATATCCAACATGTTAGAAATAAGAAACTTACTGGAAGGCAGCTCATTTAAAATTAAATAAATGCATTTTCCTTGCATATAGGTTTTACTAGCAATTAAGTCATAGGTGTTGAGTCTTAATGTGTTTAAGAATTTGCCCAACTGGCTTGGCTCAGTGGTTGAGCGTTGACCTATGAACCAGGAGGTCACAATTGGATTCCAAGTCAGGGCACATACCCAGGTTGCAGGCTCAATCCCCAGTTTGGGGCATGCAGCAGGCAGCCTATCAATGACCTCTCAGCATTGATGTTTCTACCTTTCTGCCCCTCTCCCTTCCTCTCTGGAATTAGTAAAATTTCAAGACAACCACTGCCTATCATGCCAATGACAGTAACTGGAAAATATTTCATAGTCTCTTAAGGACACTAAAAGTTACCTAAGAACAACATCTAACATAGAAGCTTCTAAAACATAAGTTTTTCAGAGGACCCTATGCTGAATAATTAACTTTTAGCAACCATTATCCTCAGGAAATGATTCCTCTTATCCAAATGAAAACCTGTCACAATTTAATCCCCTTTTCATTTGTTAGGAGTCAGGATTTTCTTTCTATACAGAGTTGATAACTTCTCTACAATAGTTAATGCCCATTATTGTCCAGTTAGGTATGTCCAGGAACAATCAGAGAAAAGCAGAGTCACAGTCGGACATCCTTAGTGCCGCCGGCTCAGGGCTTCTGGCTGAGCAGTCCTCTCACTGTGGGAGCGCACTGACCATCAGGGGGCAGCTCCCGTGTTGAGCTTCTGCCCCTTGGTGGTCCCTATGCATCACAGTGACCAGTCCTTCTGCTGTACAGTCGATTTGCATATTAGCCTTTTATTATATAGGATGTTTGTGATTTATGGGTGGCTTTTCCCTTATCCCCTCCTCATAAATCTTGTCAAAAACTTTTCTTTCTGCTTTAAAGGCTGGTAGCACCTCTATTCCAACTCCCTTTCCCCCCCACCAGAAAGAAGAAAAACCTTTCTATCTCTAATAAAACAACAAAACTCTAAAATGTTAGTGCTGGAAGTGACCTTACAACTTATCAGGTCAGTCTAACCCCATCCCTTTTGCAGGAGAAACAGAGAACCTAATTCATTAAATAACTTTCTCAAGGTCACAGATGACTAACCAAAGACTGCCTTCCAGGCCTCCTGACTAAATCCAAGTCTCTGTACAAATGTTTCAGCTGGTTAAGCCATTCAGGGAGAACTGTATATGCAATAGAACACAAAATATACTTCATTTTACAATTAAGTTGTCATAAACCGTTTTACCTAAAATCATTACTACTTACTTATAAAAAACTATTTTAAAATTCTTTGTGATATTAAAAACCTTTTAAGAATATTTAGCTATTATTTAAAAAGACATGGGAAACTAAAAGGTGGGAAGAACACAGACTTAAAGCCTCTTAAAAAGCTCCTCTTTTAATGAAATAAAAACAATTAACATAATCATTCTTAAGGGTGGATCAATTTTAATCAAAATACTTAAACTGAAGAAAAAAATACTCTTTTGAAACATGATAAAATATTTTAACAAAAAATTCCTTTTAAGGTAAATATTGCAAACATATGTTAAGAGATTAAAAATGTGCTATTTAATTTTTTTAAGCTTTTATTTTTTTACTATTGGTTTTAGAGAGAGAAAGGAGAGAGAGAGAGAGAGAGAGAGAGAGAGAGAGAGAGAGAGAGAGAGAGAGAAACATTGATGTGAGTGAGAAACATCAATTGGTTTGCTCCTATACACTCTACCACCAGGGAACAAATCTGCAACCAGGACATGTGTGCCCTGACAAGGAATGGAACCCGCCACCCTTTGGTATACAGGATGATACTGCAACCAAATTGGCCACACTAGCTTGGTTAAAGGTGCTATTTAATTTTTAAAACATAGCAACATTATGCAGATTACAATCCGTCTCCAGTAATTAGGTGAAGGGTTAGAGGACTTGCTGCAATGCTGAATTTGTAGAAACCATATTGTTTTCACCTCAATTATATTTTCTTATGGGGAATGGGGGAATTATTGGAAGCCTAAATTGACCCAATGCCTGAACGACTGGTGTAACAACTGTCGCTATGATGTGCACTGACCACCAGGGGAGCAGACACTCAATGTAGGAGCTGCCCCCAGTCACAGACTCCAGGCTGGCCAAGGCAGGTGCCAGCAGGCCCCCCTCCCCGATCGCCCTGCTGGTTGCCCCACAGATGGTCCCTGATCACTAGTCAGACCTAGGGACCCACCCATGCATGAATTTTGTGCATCAGGCCTTTAGTATATATATATATATTTGTATGAGACATAAATTATATGATTATAAAACTTGTTTCTTTTCACATATAAAAGGAAAAAAGGATAGCTTTCATTAAAGATAAAATAATATACTTGACTAATAGTAGATTTTTTTCTAAAGAACTGTTAAAAGTTTGTGAGATTTTAGCCTTTCTCTATCTCTCAAATACATATACTTATGCCTAATATAAAGGACTTCCTCTCTTGAATGTTATAGGTTAGTTACTTTGAAATCTTCTTTCTAAGAATATAGACTGTTTAGACAATAATCTTTAGTTATAAGGATAAGCTAAAAGAGAAAGAAGGTAAAAGGGGAATGAAGAAAGAGAGCAAGGAAGAAAAAAAAGGGAGGAAGGAGAAAGGGAGAAAGAAAATACTCTTTTTTTTTTTGTAATATTCAGGAGACAGAAGTAGGATAGATTCTAAATGTTTGAAAAAATTACTACAAGCTGGAGAAAGAGACATTTTTTGGTCTGAGAAAATAAGTTAGCTGTATAGATACTTGAGTCTTCAAGTCAAGTCTATAAATACAGGGAGCAGCCAATCTTGATAACTACTTAGGCCAGACAAGAAGATAATGGGCCTAAATAATAGCACAAATGACTTAGGCAAAGTATAGAAGAGAAGCAGTTAACAGTAAAGGTCACTGAACCATGGATTGGTTGCCAACTGTGATGTCTCTAGAGGTCTTTAAAAATGGGATTTATATCCATTTGGCAACAACAGCTTAGCTATAACCCCATCTGGTAAAAGAATAGAGCAACTGACTCAAAGTGCTTTCTATGTTATGATTTTGAGTTTGGAAATTCAGAGTCAAATGAGGAGAATGGCTATATATCCCTCTGTTCCCAATATTTTCTTATGATTACTTATATACAAATGTATTTTCTACAAGGAAATGCCCTCAAAGATACTGTTTTTAGTTAATATTACATTAAGCTGATGAAGTACTTCATACATATAGCTCATATGATAAATCCAGAAAATAGCAGAAATATTTCAGGAAAGTAAAATATTTACATAATAAACACAACATTATGACTAAGGTTTT